TCCCAGTTACAAAAAAGGGAGCCCCACCCCCCGCGCCGCAACGTACGTGAAGGAAAACCCCTGTGCCGGCATGGGAAAACCATAACCCTAACCTAGTATCTACCCCACCGTCTTTCCAAAGCAACATTGAGACGTGAGTATTATTTATACATTCATCCCTACATTATTAGCTTGCAGCATAAAATTACGACACCTTCATCTTGCTGTTAATTATCACTAACAAGGCTAACGGAAGACCGCGAGTACTAATCTGCGATGGCTCTGAGACCCATCCGCAAGTTGAGGTGTTGACTACGCCCATAACGCCAGTAACAACAGAAGGTCTAATATCTTTACATACTTTAACCCAACAAGATGCTCATGCACTTCCCGACGAATCAGGCAAACATCGCCTGCAGAGACACGTACAGAAACTGAAAAATGCCGCTCAGGTATCTCTCGCCAAACAGGTTCTCCTGGAAGATCAGAATCAGTTCTTGTCGAAGTTGAATAAAGAAGCTACACTCCGTCCTGCCGATCGACCAGGTCTGTTGTCTTGGGGAAAGCGAAGGTAATGAGCTACGAAGACCTTGAAAGAGGCGAGGAAGAAGCGTGCTGAGAAGGAGAATGCCAAAGCTACTGCTATTAATTCTTGCAAGCTGATTGCTTAGTTCTAGCACACGAGGCATTTCGTCACGCATGGACGTACGTTGGATGCCTTATCTTAATCTGATTAAGGGCCATGAATGTATTAGACGCGATTTAAGCCGCAAATGCTGTTATGCTTTGTAAGAAGAGGACGTACAAATCTAGCGAGAAGATAAGGACGCGCACCTGATCTATAGTACATGAGCTGTTTACTATGTACAACAAGAGCTCCTGCATATTACAGGTACTGACTTCTAGGTTATTCTATCGTTTACATAGAGTTGGGGGTTATTAAAGTTGAGGTATCTCGCTCAGTTTCCCTAAGGGGAGGGGGCTTTCCTAACTACGGGATCGACGTTAGTCCAATGGCAATATCAAAGCCCAGTGAAACCCAGTAGCATCACGTAGCCCTTCTTCCAGCCTAGTCGGCTCGTATTGAATTGTATTATAGCTTAAGTCATGAACATCCGGGTGTCGCGAGCCGCTTGTTACGTCCGCTTCCTGCTATCACGTGCGTGTCCTAAAGGGGATACATATCTGGTGTTCTAGTGATGGGAGAGATATCGCCGAGGGCTTTTATTCAACAGACTATATATAGTAGTGTCTTTGGCAAGATACTGAAGTGAATTGACTACAAAGAAACAAAGGAAACTCATTACAAAAGGCCTCAATTTGTGTTCCTTCCTTCTGGGGATAGGCGCGGTATTCGTTGGACTCTTAGCTGGCGACAATCGCGACACCGTCACGTCACTCATTATTGTCTAGCCACGCTCGGTAGGCCGCTCTAGATAGATGCCGTTAGCAGGTTACTTGAATAGTACTTGAAATTTTGCACCAGGAATTACATACAGTGCATTTTGCAGTTCGTCGATACAACTTTCCACTTCCTCAAGCGTCCTCCTATCTCTCTCATATTTTCTTTCAAGGTTCTCTAGCTCCCGGCGTTTGTCCGCTATTTCCTTGCCTTTTTCTTCCTTCTTTTTCCGATACTCCTGCTTTTTCTTTTCAGCATCTGGCTTCGTAGCCGCCCGATCTTTTACCTGTCTAGCTGATGTAGATGATTCGATCTTTTCTAGTTCGAGATCAAGCAACCGTTTCTCTTCTTTAACTGCTGTTATACGATCGGCCTGCTGAATCAGATCTTCTCGCTTCTGTCTGGCAGAATTCAAATTGCTGATTACTGCTTCCGCTGCTTCACGAAACGTGGCAGCTTTAGCTTCAGCGCGTCCGAAGTCGTATTTCCGGTCCATAGCAGGCAGGAAGTGTCCGTTCAGATAGGTTTGGAATATTTAGAATAGAGATTTCGAGAATGTCTCACGACTTTTTGAGTAGAAGGTAGTAGCTTGAGGGAAGTGAACGGCTGTTGTGGTTCAAAGCAAGCATTTTATCACTTACACCCCAACTGACCGGTGAGCTGACCGGCGAGCTGACCGATGGTGAGCTGATAGGCGAGCTGACCGATGAGCTGACCGGTGATGTTACACTTGGACTGCTCATTGGGTCTCCCAAATTGTTCGCCAACCCCTGTGGTTCTCTTGGGTGGGGTCAGTGTGAGGCACTCATGCTGCAGATAACTGGTAGTTAAATGCCAGAAAAGACAAGTAACATCCCCCCATACGTGAAGGAAAACCCCTATGCCGGGATCTGGCCCTCGTTGATGCGATCGAATGAGAGCGGACACTGTTCCTGAATTTCTGTTCCAAAGTCATCCTCCGTGCCCGAGAAGGTGGGCATCATCATATCCAGCAGATCTCTGTGCTGAGAGGATAGCATGATGATGAACCTTTGCGATTTTCAGGACAGGTGTGTTGGTGTGGTGAGAGGTGAGCTGCTCCTGGAGAGCGGGGTAATCCCATCCGGTCGTTGGTTGTTGCTTGGAAAACGCACATAACACCAGTGGCTCGGCTGATGTCTGACAAATGAGAGCAGTTCTTTAACTACTGACGATGTCATGTATAGAGAATGAGGATAAGTATACTTGCTAGTAGCTCGCGTTTGCGAGGGTGAAGCCGCATTCGCTAGCACTGTACCTAGGATCATAGTAATTAGCAGACGAGCATAGAAATACTACTTAATAAGTTATAGCTAAACGCTATAGCCAAATAGTCACTAGCTCTTCGGAAAATAACAAGCGTATACTACAATAAGCTGATCACGTAGCCCTGCTAATCTAACTATTTCTAGAGATTGCCTTTTCAGAAGTACCGCTGACCATAGCGACTAGGTCTGAGTGCTCGTATAAAGCAGAGAGATATAATTTATGTAAGAAAGATAAGCTAAGCTTACATAATTTATCAATAAAAAGTACATTTTCTCTATAGAGTAAAAGCTACAGCGCACGACCAATACCAGGGATTCAATCATTTCATTGTTTTACATCAAAAATGTAGTTTACTTGAAAGCTGAGGTAACCTCGCGTAATTACCTCACATAGTGGGGTTATATTCTCATCTATGGGGATACAAGTTACCTCTCTGCTCCACAATCTTAATACAAATCCTCATCGTCCGCCGCATCCCCAAACCCGCCCTCGGCAATATCTACACTGTTCTTACTCGCATGTCCCTGACCCTGCTGCACTGGCGCTTTCCCCTTTCCCTTATCCATCCCAGCCGAGCCATTAATCTCCAGTGCCTCAACACCCTCCTCAATCGCCTTTGCCTTGCCCTTTCCCTTCGCATCCCCATTACTCGCCCCCTCCTCCTTCTTCCCTGCGCCCTCAAATTGCGCCCTCACTCTCTGATAATGACGCAACTCATCCGCGCTCACACTGGGCACGAGTTCGCCATGCGCCTCGACGAAATCCTGCTCTGTGACCATAACGGCCGTATCCTCCTGTGTCGCGATATGGTCGAAGAAGTACGCAATTGTGATCTTGGGTTCATGTGCGTTATTATATTCCGCAACCTTCTTATCGACGGCACGAGCCTGGCGCGTGACAGCCTTGAGCATGGCGTCGGAGCACAGTGCGTACATGTCTGCACCGGTGTATGTGAACGGCAGGCCCTGGGAGACGCGTGCGAGGGAGAGCGAGGGGTGGAGTGTGAATCTATTTCCTCGTTAGCAAAGAACACAAAACACATGCCATTACAGCACATGATAATTAGATATGGACTTACTTCCTCGTCAGCGCCTCCAAAATAGTCTGCTGTTTCTCATGCGTGTCTGACACACCCAGGTACAGCATCTTGTCGAAGCGGCCGGGACGCAAGAGGGCTTGGTCGAGTAGATCGGGGCGGTTAGTTGCGCCGATGACGAAGACGCCTTCGCCGCCGTCGCTCATGCCGTCGAGCTCGGCGAGCAGTTGGCTGACGATGCGGTCCATGACGCCGCCGCTGTCACCTTGATTACCACGCTTGGGCGCAACAGAGTCCAACTCATCGAAGAACACCACGCAAGGTCTGGCGTCGCGAGCGCGTTGGAAGACGCGGCGCACGTTGGCTTCGGATTCACCAATGTACATGTTGAGCAGCTCTGGGCCCTTGACGCTGAAGAAGTTGAGGGAGAATTCTGTGGCGATGGCTTTTGCGAGGAGGGTTTTTCCGGTACCAGGTGGGCCGTAGAAGAGGATGCCGCTGCGCTTCTTCATGCCCTTAGCGAAGAGTTCGGGGCGAGAGAGGGGGAGTTGAATGGTTTCCATGACTGCGTCCTTGACGTGCGTCAGACCACCGACATCCTTCCAGCCGACATTCGGAATTTTGGGTGCTCCAATGGCATCTGCAAAGTTCTTGCGCGCAGCGTCGACGGCACTGTCGAGATCCGCTTTGGTGAGACTGTTGCTGAAGTGGCCGCCGGCGAGTTCAATGTCTCGTGTTGTGACGCTCTGTGATGAAGAAGCTGCTTTCGTTGCGGTTGCTGCGAGTTCTTCTACCCGAGTACGTTTCGCGACAAGTGCTCGGTCCACGACGTCAACGAGATCGCCTGCTACGAGCGCCGCAGTCTTTACAGCCACGTTGCCCAGTTCGACATCTGGCGACAGTCTGATACCAGCATCTTCAATGATGCTTCGCAGTATACCCTCTCTTTCGCCTTCGTCCGGAGCCGACATCTCAATCTCATGTGTGAACAGTCCACGGATACCCTCGGGCACCTTATCGATCTCTGTCGTCGTGGCGACCAAGACACGAGAGTCAGCCAGAATCTCCTTCAATGCAGTGTTCATCCGATCAGCGTTGAGCGCATCGATGTGCTTGACGAGCAGAGCAGTGTACTCAGCGCCGCACGTGAAGGCTCGCTCGGCTCTTGCTTTCAAGAAGCCTTCGGTCTTGACATCTCCACCTCCTGCACCGCCTTCCGTGACGATGTCGAAAGCATCGATGGAGAAGGTGTGAAGGCCTAGATCTTCGCATGCCTTGGTCGCTACAGTAGCTTTTCCAATTCCACGCTGAGTCGATGTGATCAAGACGGCTATTGGTGGCAGTCCTAGATGTATGGCTCTTGGGCTAGTGGCAACGGACATCAGCTCTCGCAGTCGTCTGCGAAGCGATGAGACGTATGGCTTCGGCAGCTCGTCTAGTGCCATTGTCTTCTGAGAGCTGGCAACCGGAGGTCGCTTGGCACCGAGGTAGTATTGCCATGCATTGTTGATCGGAGCAGGCGTCTTTCCCTGCTCGCTTCCGTTCATCTCCATCTTAGTGCTGGCAGCATCAACCGTCGCAGCACCGCCCCACAGATCGGCTTCTTCGCTATCGCGCGGAGATTGAGACGAGGTAGACACATTACCGATCTTGAACCATGCAACCATCTTTTTGCTTTGGCCACTGGTACTTGCGCCATTCTCACTCGCAGTCTTTCTAGACACAGCAAGCAGCTCCTCGCTGCCAGCCTCTTCTTCTGCTGCAGTTTGGAAGACCGCTCGGCCAAGAGACTCGTCTATTGAGACTCCGATGAGATCTCCGCTCTTCACAACTCGTCGCCTCTGCTCAAAGTGTTCCTTTAGTGCAGCGAACAAGCTAGGCTGTAGCAGGCGGTCAGATGACAGTGGTGTGGAAACCTTGAGAAGGGTGACCTCTTTGGCGGAGGGTGGCGTGGAGGAACTTGTGAGTCGAGGCTTCGCCAGAGCGCTACCTCGAGGTAGTAGTGACGAATGGTGAGGAGCTAGCGGTGTGATTCGTATATGGGAAGGGCTATCCAAGTTCGCTAAAAGGATAGGTGAGAGGTAAGCTTGTAACGAGGTGCTCGAAGAGGGGAATGTTGGGACGCTGGATCTTCGCTCGCGGTCGGCTGTCTTGTGTACTTGGTAGCGCGCAATCTTCTTCGACATGCTCTCTGGCAAGCCATAGACGCGGACGGGGCGCCAGTTGGAGTTGTCTTCGTCGTCTACTGCCCCGCCAAAGAATCCAAGGCCAAACAGAGGATGTGAGGATGGCTCTTCGGTAGCTTCGATCTTGACCCAATCGCCGGAGAAGCAGCCAATCTTGACGAGCGTGTTGGTGTCAACAAAGACGCGAGCTTCATCGTCGTCCTCGCCGCCAGGCTTTGGATGGACCAAGTCATCTGGTATGCTTTGTAGTAGGCCCTGTGTTTTGAAGACCTTGCTTTTGGTCGATGTCGGTCCTCGTGCGGTCGTTGCGGTGAAGCTGGAATACACCGATCCTGGCGTCGCGATGCCGTTGGTCCTGCCACCGAGATAGTTGCCGGGCCGCGGTGTAGCTGAGGTGAACGAGGAGAGCACGCCTGATGACTGGGGCGGCAATAGCGGCGCACTCAGCGAGATGATGTCCTCCTCATCCGACAAACCCTCTCCGTCTGTGCCTGACATCTCCGAGTCAAGATTGTCCGTCGATTCTGCGTCTGGTGGGGAAGTTGTTCGGGACTCGGAGCGGTCTTCGGCGGCTGAGTAGAAGGTATCGTTCGATGTATCGTCCGCTTCGTCGTCGTCTCCGAAGCCGTTGGTTGCCGGCGTAGGCCTCGAAGGTGGTAGGATGACGGCTTGCTTGGTGCTGCGATGCGACTGAAGCACAACAATCCTCGTGCTAGGGAGCAGGAGACCTTGCGACACGGGTTCGCACGCGGTGATCTTCGCAGGTGGCGGCGCAGCATGTGTGATAGGATGCGCGGGAAGCGGTAGAGGAAGCAGGTCGCCGGTGTGCAGTACCGTGGGCGATTGCAGAGCGTCTCGCACCGCATTTCTCCAGACCTGTTCTTGTGCAGACTGATCAACCCTCGCCGCCTTCCCTTTCGCCCCATTCACGTCGAGATAGCGGTTCTTCGGGCCCCTAATCGAGCCATTCGACCTGTCCGTGAAGCCGCCGCCAAACTTGGCGTGCACCTCGTCCAGCTTCCGCAGCGCTTCCGTGTCGAGGTTGACGTAGACCGTGTCCAGGCCAATTGGCACAACGTCGTGTATGCGCACTTCGATGGGCGCATCTCGGCGCTGGGTTCGGTTCGGGGCGAGGGCGTGCAGGACTTGGGAGAAAGACTGCAGCGCGAGCGAGGACGCAGGAATGCGGAGCGACGAATGCGGGCGCACGGTAGAGGACTCGTCTTTCTCGGCGATTCGGACTGGCAGGATGGTCCACGGAACGCTGTGGGAAGCGACGACAGAGCTCGGAAGCCACGGCGTGATTGCGACGTGCTGGATGCCGTCTGACTCTGAAGAGTCTCCGTTGATTCCTGCCCTTGTCAGCCATACCCATGGTGTGCTCCAGTCGCAACTACTCACCAGAAGCCCTGAAGCCGGGGAACAGGTCGGTGAAGAGGTCCTCGGAAAGCACTCCCACTTCACCCTTCATGCGGTCGTCGAGCAGCAGGCGCGCCGAAATCGCTGGCCGGTCGAGCCGTCTTCTCCGCCGCCTCTTGCGTGGATGGGGCACACCATTTGGCGCGTCCATCTCGGTTCAATGGAGCAATGCCTCAACGTGTCGAAAGGGTATCAATGAATGCTGTCTTTCTGTTGTCGCGCGCAGCTCCAAGTCGGACCGCCAAGGATGAAGTGCTGTACCTCGGCAGCTCCAGGGCTACTCGGTATCTCGAGAGCCTATCGTCTTCACTGATTACGATATCAGAAATGATCGAGTTAATTGTACATCACTCTGCACCGCTGCAATGATTCTGATCATTTTCGTTTGGCCCTGTCCCTGGTAGGCATCTTCACATGTTGCAGTGCGGAGCCGCTCTGCGCCGACGCTGATTGGCTCATAGAGTAGCAAGCTCAACTCAGCAGTTGTCGAGGTTTGCAATGCCCATGGGAAACATGAAGTATATAGATTTGTACTATGAATGAGGACGACGGATTATTACACATGCCACACGGCATCACATCATGGCAGCATTCCCAGAACGCATGCCTCTCGCCAACTACCACCATCTTTTCTTCTGCGTCGGCTGAGCTAATCTCTTGCCAAGATTAACCGTTACTCGACTGTGCAGCTGCACTGTCTCAATGTTGAATGGCAACCCGTTCGCTGGGGTTGACTGTGCTGCGGGAGGAGGAGGTGGTGGTCCAACTGTCGTTCCAGCCCCTGTGTTCCCCTGGATCTGGGATTGTGCTGGTACGCTTCTGGCCTCACTTGTCGTAGAAGCGGCTGAACTTGCAACGGCCTCACTAGCAGCCGCTGGTGGTGTCGAAATGGCTTCGCCTACTGCTGCTGCTGCTGATGATGATGATGATGCTGATGATGATGATGATGCTGATGATGGTGTTGCAGCTTCACTTGCTAATGTCGCTGATTCGCTTGTTGCTGCGGCGCTGCTGGACGGAATCGAAACTGCTTCTTGAGCAGCACTAGATGCGGATACTACAGTCTGCATAGTACTCGCGGCAGATGATACCATGGAGCCGAGCTGGAATGGCGGAGGAGCCTGAGCATTCATCGGGAAGGATCCTGCAGGACAGCTACATTTGCAAGCACAACCACCGTTCTTAGCGGCCTCTTCTGCATTGGTAACGTTGGCTTTTCCGCCAGTGCCTGCGATAACAGTCACCGTCCCATTGGCGGAACCCGAGCCAGCGGCGCCACTGCCTCCACCAGCGACAACAGTTACACCGCTTGCCGAGGCTCCATTCGCTGACGATGTACTGGCCGAGGCACCACTTCCACCAGATCCAGCTTCAACTGTGATTGCTGCTGGAGGACTTCCTGCTTTTGCCGACGTAGCATTTCCGCCCACTCCAGCTTCCACTGTTATAGCTGCTGGTGGAGATCCTGCTTTGGTGGACGATGCCATTCCTCCTGATCCCGCTGACACTGTGACCCCGGCTGGAGGAGCTCCTGATGTTGCCGATGTTGCACTTCCTCCCACTCCCGCTTCTACAGTAATAGCGGCCGGAGGAGATCCTGCCTTTGCCGACGTAGCATTGCCGCCCACTCCAGCTTCCACTGTAATAGCCGCTGGTGGAGATCCTGCTTTCGCAGACGTAGCATTCGATCCAGATCCGGCTATTACGGTAATTGCACCTGGAGGAGCTCCCGCTTTAGAAGATCTGGTTGCCGATGCAGATGATTTCGCTCCAGATTCTGCTCCTCCTGCTGAGTCGCCGCCAGCCGAAACAGTAACACCGGCGGCCATGGTGCTGTTGGCACTGGCTGACGAAAGTGCCAGAGTGAACGACGGGACTGAAGTGATCAGTGCAAATGAAGGGATTGGGCTGGCTTCAGCCTTGTTTCCCTCGGCGGACTGTTCGGAGTCATGTTAGCATGTGAGCAATCAAGTTTAATAGACCGAACGTACCGTGGTAATACGAGCTTCTGGTGCAGACTTTGCAGCCTCCATCACAGCCGTACTGTTCGCCGCTTGTTTGGGTACCTCGGCTGCGGGAGCAGGTGGTGCTGGTGGTGGTAGCATTCCCGGCTTTCCTTCAGCAGGCGGGGGCGGCATTCCAGCCATCGGTGCTGGTGGTGGTGCAGGCTTGCCTTCAGGGGGTGGCAGAGCTGCCATAGGAGCCGGCGGTGCTGGCATTCCTTCCGGGCCTAGGCCTGGTGACGGTGCAGGCTTACCTTCAGGTCCCGGCTGAGGCATCTCGCCCATCGCAACTGGTGGCGGTGGTGCAGGCTTGCCTTCAGGGGATGGTAGAGCTGCCATAGGAGCAGGCAGAGATGCGGACATCTCCCCCTTGGGAGCCGGAGGGGGTGTTGGCTGAGCTGCCGCTGGTGGCGCTGCAGTTGGTGCTGCAGGTGGTGCTTCGACAAGCGCTGGCGCTGGAGACTGTTTTCCTACCTCCTTAACGACATCTGTCTGGATCTGTTGACCATTTGCCTCCATGATGGTAGTCTTCTCGACCTGAATCACAATACCGTTTCCAGCACTGTTCTGCGGTGCCACTTGACCTCCAGCATTGCCTTCTCCTTTTGGCTTGCCCGGCTCTTGTGATGTGCTCTGGTTCTGCGCACCACCCTTCCCTTGTCCGTTGACACCCCCAATGATTTGATCAAGGCTCGGAGATCCTCCACCGGCAATCTGATTCGCAAGGTCGCCGCCAATGTTGCCGGTACTTGGCTTGTTGTTTCCACCTGTATTGCCCTCTGGTCCTTGGCCGAGGCCATTCAGCAAAGCGCTGGCATCCAATGGGTTTCGTGCCTCGATGGCGGGTCCCGCGACCCCTTCCACATTGTTCCCTTGTGCTCCCTCAAGTGGATCTACCGCGTGATCAAATCTCTTTTCTGCAAATCGCGGCGCGTTCGTGAGATCCAGTCCTGCTTCGGCGGCTCCCTGCGTACAGGTCAGTATATCTGATGAGGTCCTCGGATGAAGCGCACGTACTGCTCCGATTAGCAGGAGTATCGCCCATGAAGGTCTGATTGTGCGCATGGTGAAAATCCTGATGTCTTCGTGAAGTTTATATCAAAGACACGACGTGAAAAGAAGAAAGTTATTAATTAATGCATGAACAGCGCAGCTGTCGTAGAATCAAAGGCAATGTCGCAGACATGCGCGACCTGCACAGCAGACAGCAAGAATGGAAGAGGGTTGGGCGAGAGAGCGGATTGAGACAAAAAAGCCCAAAGCTTCAAACGGAGCCTGGTGCGAGCATCATGCTATGTATGGGTAAAACGGAGACCCTGCCCCATTGTGTTTGCAAGAAGGCGCTGGGTTTCAATCTTGGCCGTTCCCGCGGCTACTCGCACAAATCCCATGTCGCATGGGACGGGTCAAGATCCGGTTATGAAGGGATGAAGCATCCGGCAGCGACATTGTACGCGATTCGTGTTCACCATGGTCTGGCCAGTGCGAGGATCGTGAAGTCTGACACGCGAGGTGCAAGAAGCGAAGACCCTCAGACTGCATTCGTTTCAGGTTGCGGAAGAGGACTATCGTATCGATGGATCGAAGATGCGAAGGTCCGCGCAGAACTATTAGCAAATGGCGCCGACATGGTGTGTTATTCAGGGTTCACGTGTGGTCAGCGGAATCATTGATGCTGTGCTCCATGGGAAGATCGTGGGCCAGAGTCAATAAGCTTCGAATCGAGCTTGGCGGCCTAATGAGGTCATCGACCCTGTCTCTCAGCCCTTTTCAAGCCAGTGCACACACTTGGTAATCCTTCGCCGGTCAGATTGTTTGTCGATGAGCAGTGCTTCGGGGCGCAGCGGACGCGAAAGTTTGTTATATGTAGCAGCCTGCCCTGCACGGTGCGACGCGACGAGACTTCACTCGTCAAGGATACGCTGAGCGATCGACACCATGGGACGCGCCATTCATGTCCTCGATAATTACTACCTCGCCATCACATTTCTAGTCACTGTTGGGTATCAGGTAAGTCCCTGGCGAGAGATCCTGGTAACATGTTGCGCAAACTGTTCGCAGATGAGTGTCACGTGACTCACATACAAGGCATCGCTGACATCGCATCTCTGCTACTATAGCTATTCTTTTTCGCCTGGGCTTACAGTCTGAAATTCGACAAACTCACTGATTTCGCCGGTGGTGAGTAAGAAACAATCCTGTGCGTAAGACATGCACTAATAATCTCAGGCACCAATTTCGTCCTTCTCGCCATCCTCACGCTCGCATGTAGCGGAAACAGAGACCAAGCGCGCAATGTCGTTGCTTCAATTTTCATCATGGCATGGGCCGCAAGACTTAGTGGCTTCCTGCTCTTCAGGATCCTAAAGACCGGAAAAGACGATAGGTTCGATGATAAGCGGGATAAGTTCTGGTCCTTCCTGGGCTTCTGGGTCTTCCAGATGTTTTGGGTATGGACCTGCTCGCTTCCAGTCACGATCCTCAACTCGCCAAATGTGACCCAGTTCGCTCAGCCTGCCTTCGGCACCGGCTGTGATATCGCAGGTGTCATCCTTTTTGCGATTGGCTTCATCATCGAGAGTGTATCCGACGTCCAGAAGTTCCGATTCCGAAGCGCACATGGAAGCGATGGCGCAGTCTGTGATGTGGGCTTCTTCGCTTGGACTAGGCATCCTAATTATTTTGGCGAAATCATGGTACAATTTGGTAAGTGACTCGAAAAGATTACGAGAGAATTATGCGTTCGCTTTGTATTACTTCAAGAACTGGGCTGAACAACTCAGGCATCTTCACCATCGCTGTTGCGCCAGCAGCAAACAACTACGTCTCAGGAGGTGCTTACGCCGCACTATACGCATCGATTCTTGGACCTTTCTTCCTGACATCTCTCCTCATGTTCCTCTCTGGTCTGCCACTACAGGAGCGTCCAGGTGCCAAGAAGCGATATGAGAAGGGTACCAATTGGCCAGCATACGAAAGATACCTACAGCGCACCAGCATCCTCATTCCCTTCCCGCCTCAAATCTATGAGAAGTTGCCAGTCATCTTGAAACGCACCATCTTCCTAGAGTTCCCAATATATGTTTTCGACCCAGCGAAGCATGCAGACCAAAGCAAGGTACAAGCGCGATCCGCTGAAGAAGGTCAAGGAGTAAGGCAAAGTGACGAGCAGGGTCTGAGATCATGAACAGAAGGACACGGAAAAGCGAAGTAGTTGGCCTGAGAAACTGGGTATTCATGGGAAAGCAGATGCTTGTCAGCACTAAATCCTGGCCAAGCAGTTGTGCCACAACGTAGGGTTCGGAAAAGCAGCCGCTCTTCGTAAATACGGCGACCATTTCTAATCTCCGCCTCGTCTAATTCATTCTAACACTCTTTCTGTCCTGCACTATCCACAATTGTTTTATTGTCTTGCCTTATTTGTGTTGTTATCCACTGTCGGGTTTCGGAGAGTGGTGAACAATGAATTCCGGGCGTAGGATTGTGACGTAGTGGGGCCACCTGAGCATCATGTTTTTGGGAAGCTGCAAGCCTCGCCCAGCATTCGGATCCTTCCCAATCTGTGACTTCCACTGTTTATTTCCTATTCATTCGACTCGTAGATTCCTTGCGCCCTGAGAGGGCGCATTGCGACACTTGTTTGACGAAGTCAGTTTCCAAACATCAACTGCGCCAAGACGACACACCAGATCATATGCTTATCAGCGGTGCATGAAACATGCTACCCACACTCGCAACTCTAAGCCAGGCGTTCGCCGGCTGCTCGCCGTTACCACAGCGCCTTCCGGACAACAAACCCACCAGCGCGTCGAAATGGACGGCCCGGCATGAGCTCTATCCTGCTTGGAGTGCTACTGAGGATGCGAAGAATCAGGCACTAAAGCTCGCCGATGCTGCTACAGCCGAGTTTGAAAAGGCGAGCCACAAGGCCCAGGATAAAGCTGGTCACATCGAGTTGTACTCGCCTAAGTACTACGCAGCATGTACCTTTGGAGGCATCATGGCCTGCGGCCTAACTCACACCGCCGTGACGCCTCTCGACCTGGTCAAATGCCGTCGGCAAGTGAATTCGAAGATGTACAAAGGCAACTTCGAAGCCTGGGGCAAGATCGCGCGCGCCGAAGGTTTCCGTGGCATCATGACGGGCTGGGGTCCGACGTTCTGGGGCTACTCCGTCCAGGGTGGTTTGAAGTACGGCGGGTACGAGTTCTTCAAGAAGTTTTATGGAGATCTGGCGGGTGAGGAGAATGCGCAGAAGTACAAGACTTTCATCTATCTGGCGGGATCTGCGTCGGCTGAGCTCATTGCGGATATTGGACTGTGTCCGTTTGAAGCTGTCAAGGTTCGAATGCAGACTACCATTCCTCCATTCGCTACGGGGACGTTAAATGGTATCTCTACTGTCACTGCTAACGAAGGCTTTGGTGGCTTGTACAAGGGACTCTACCCGCTTTGGGGCCGGCAGATTCCGTACACGATGATGAAGTTCGCATCGTTTGAGACTATTGTAGAGGCCATCTACAACTACCTCCCGGGCTCGAAGAGCGACTACGGTAAAGGTGCGCAGACCGCTGTGTCATTCACTGGAGGTTACGCGGCTGGTATTCTATGCGCAATCGTCAGTCACCCGGCTGATGTGATGGTTTCGAAACTCAATGCTACCCGCAAGCCTGGTGAGAGCTTTGGAGGTGCTACAGGACGCATCTACAAGGACATTGGCTTCGGTGGACTCTGGAACGGATTGCCAGTTCGAATTGTGATGATCGGTACATTGACTGGTCTGCAATGGATGAGTAAGTCTTGTGACAGGGTAGCTGCTACTACAAAGCTAATGAGTGTACAGTCTACGATTACTTCAAGATCTTTATGGGTCTACCAACGACTGGTGGTGCGCCGCCTGAGGAGAAGGTTAAGCAATGAACCTCGAGGTCGTGTTAACAGTTTCTTTCTTTTTTGTAGAGCATACAGTACCCCAAGCCACATCTCAACTCAGAAAATATTCTGTCCAGGTGAAGCTCTCGATGATAATTAAGTGATGCACATATGGAGATCATGTATTCAGACCTTTTGACTGCCTACATCAACACAACTTGCCCTCAGATACTGTTGATTTTATTGCGCAAATTGTTGAGGCACTCTGTTATTGGGGTCCCGTGGATAAGATCCTCAACGAATAGATATTCGACGAAAACGCCCACGCCAGGCAGCGATGTAAGCAAGGCAAGATACAAAGAAAGCTGCACCTTGCGCCTTTCACATACCCCGCACAAGGCGGATTGACGCCCTGTGCCACTGAAGGACGATAGGCTATATATGATTAGATCCTACAGTCTGCTGCTGCAACTCAACATCTCTTGCGCTGTACGGCGTCCACTACCAGCCGTATCATGGCTAATGTTTTCAAAGACTTATGGTGCCGTAGCAGTCATGGTCTCTATTGCTATAGAAGTTGTCCTGAATTACTAGTCGAGTCGACGAATTTTGCCATTCTCGATAATTGGCGAGCGAGTTTGCAAGTTTTCTTGCTACCGGCACTTGAAATCTTTGATCAGTGGCAGCAACCGACTAGCTGCTTTAGAGAGTACTTCGGGCGATTTTTTGATAATATAGAAGGTGCTAACGAGGAGTTTAGATTTTTCTTCCCCTACTGTGCTGGCTCAATTGAACGGGTTGGATCGGTACGGCCCGGGCAAGTGGTTTGGTATTGCTGCGCATGTCTTGATGGGCCTTACGGTTCGTGGCAAAATTTTTGCGAGAACTGCTCGCATTTGAGATGCGGTTATTGTGTATTGGAGTTATATGAAGATCCGGCCAACCCAAACACGAGTGCTGATACTTTATACCATTTTTGAAGAGAGCCTATGCTATCGTATTCCGTTTTACCTCAGTCCCTCCTAGTACATAACTCATCCTCGGTAACAAACACTTATCTACGAAGCTTTGTAAGCTCCCCTTGTGTTGACTATAAGACCCTTCGAAGATCTTGACATTGAACTCCAACAATCCTTTACGAAAACGATCCTCTTCTTGTATCTTTTCAGTCTCATCCGGCGTATAGCACGGCCATGGCATCTTTTCGAAATCTGGTTCACGAATGAATTCAATCTTGGCAAGATTGCAGCAAGTGTGACGGATGCCAAGTAGTGAGAATACCAAGACTCGAATAAACTGAACAACAATCCAATGGTATGTGAGAGATGTAGTAGCCTTCTCGACACATCGAACCACATGTTCAAGCTCCCAGCGATCTATTCGTTGAAACCTCGATGGCTTGATTCCTGCACCAGCACTCGTATCGAGAAGCTCCGAGACTGAGCCTATGTAACCTGTCTGGAACCGGTATGAGGCTTTCCAGAATGATACAAGAGCGGTGCAGCCGCTGGTGCTGCAACTGCATTTGCAGGTGTCTTTGAAGTTGTGACTTAGTGTAGCCGTCAAGCTCTGGGAAGAGATTCGATCCATGGGTTCACCCCAGCTTAGCATTGCAGCTTTGGTAGCCATACAATGCAACGCCGTTGTTTTCGAATTTGGCCAGCACTCCATTATGTCCGCTCCATGAGATAGGAACCATTCAGCAATCTTGAAAAACCTCGGCAATGGTCCGGAACTCGGATAAAATCTCCTATAAGAGACCATCGCAAATACGAGCGGCGGACAGGTTGGTTTCAAGCAGTGCGAACATTTTCCGGCTGTCATTTGTCCAAAGCCGCTGTCGTACAATCTCTGGAAAATCCACAGTGGATCTCTGGACTTCTGGTATACAGGTGGCTGCTCTTGGTACATGTTCCTAACGCTGTACACGCTGCTGCCAAACGGTCGAATCGCCGGAGGTACCTTTACACCTCGGCTTATGAGCAACCAAACTACACAGGCTGCGTGAATATCGAGGAGATGATCGTCGCTCAAAGAGACTGCATCAGGGATGTCAAAATCGCTCGCAAGCTGTTGAAGACGATTTCTTTGGCTGACCAAGTGCGACAGGAGTATCTCTGCGATTTCTTCATTGTGACAGATTTCCGAGGCGTGCACCAAAGCTGTTTCGATGTTCCCAATATATGGTAAATGGTTCGTGCTGGCGTCATCGCGTACTTGGAGCCAAAACAATACCATCTGCGGATTGCGGGACTCGATAGCATCGTGTATTAGTGGTTCAGATACTGACAAGCGGTTTGGTGGTTCCTCGATCATCTGGGGCATGTATGCCAGGCCTGCTTCGAATAGAATTTCGCACCCAGCCACCCAGCCCATCCGAGTTGCCAATTTGTAGAGCCTTTGCGTCTCTCCAGCCGTGATATCACCTGCAGATGTGTACGATATTTCCTGCAAGTACTGTTTAAGATGATGATCTGACTTGGTCAACACAATGTCCGCCGGCCCATAATGATGTGAGAAAGGTTCAGCAAAGCTAGCAAACGGAATTTCAACCCAGGAACCATAACTCGGGAATTTGCCATCAGGATGACAGTTCGGGGTCATCTGCAATCCAGCCTGGAGAAGGTCTGTGACCAGTGCGTTCCAAATGTGGTCGGCTGGATCAGTTGCACGCAATAACAAGTCGACACATGTACTTTGAAACAGTATTAGTATCGTGATCGAGAGCAGAGATCATCATATCGCTACTCACTTCCCCTCATCGTCCGTCTCTGATGCAACATCTTTAACGAAATCAAAAACAAGCCGGAGCAAAGATCGACAATGCTGCAGTTGACTCTTGTCTATGACCCAGATTCGCTGTCCGATGTGACCACACATATACTCCCAAAAGTCAGCTAATCACTGCCTGGATAGATTTTTTATGTCACGGGAGAGCCTGATGGAGAGAACTTACATGTAGTAAAGTCTGACCGTTTGGCAAACGATCATCGGTTGACGCTCGTCGCGTCTCGAAAATCTTGCGAAGGTCTCCAAACAGAATTGGAATTGTCTGCGCACCTATAGACGAGCTAAAGACCGCATCGACGGCCCTAAAGGCTGGAGACGAAGAAGCCTTTACTGCTCGATAGCATTTGAGACCTGGCAGGATTGAGATAGGTCGAGTTCCAATCGATAGTGTCAAGAGCATGCGCCATTGCATCCCAAGCGCGAAGTAGCACAAGATAAGCCCAAAAGTGATACTCGTCCTGAGACCTTCCGCTGACCAAAATGGGCAACCGCGGTTATGAGTATGGAATGTGGCTTGTGTCCAGAAGAATGGCCGCTTGAGGACGCGTTTGATCGTGTGTTTCCCGTAGCACGTGCAGGTGTTTGCAGTCGGGGCGCCTGTATTAATAGTTTGTTCGTGCATGATTCTTGACGGCGGTGTTCGCAATTCATGGAATACCCGAACCTGCTGTTGCAATTGTAATGTCCGCTGCAGTACCGCCAATTCTCCATCTCTTGAGACGAGACTCTTAAAACGGGTGACCGGATAGCTTCAAATGATCGACAAATTCCAGCAATCTCCGTATGTGCTCGTCGATACCGTGAATTCTTTCATGAAGTGACGACGATACTCCACTAATTTGTGCTTGTAAAACTGACAAATTCAGTGCGCCTTGATCACTAGGATGATAGTCAGCTTATCACACTCTGCATTCATGTGCACAGAATCGGTTATTACAGCAGCAGTGCAAATAGTGCAGTTTGGAGGTGTTGTTGAATGTAACTTAGCACATCTTTCCAATACTTGATATCCGCCTCCTTGAAAGGAAACATCAGACGTCGGAACGTATTCTTGAGCTTAGCCCAAGGCTTCGCGCAAACTGGCTTGTCTCCACCAAGTTTTAACTTCACAATCTCAATGGCCTGGGCACACTGGTAGACCCCTCGCTTTGCTGATGTCGCAGAATTATCTGCACACGCTCTGTTAGTGATGGATTCCAGCTCTTCAAGTAGATCTGCCAGGTATTCCATTTCGGCCAGAATTTGTTCAGCCTTGGTCTTTGCATCTTTGACGGCACTTGTGTACTTCGATACCTTGTCGAATATTTGGATGGAAAGGGAAATGACATCGAAGATTGTACCCGCTACTTCCGCCATAGCTGAAGTGCACGACGATTTGCTGTGATAAGGTTGAAGTTGCGTTGCGACCATCGGGAGGCCGGCAGAGTGATATGTCAGCTTCGAATTACGAGGCGAGGCGCAGCATAGGGCGGTCCAGATCGCAGGCAAAGCAGAGATCATCGACCGGTGAGCTCGAGGGAAGTATGCCTGAGTACGAAACTCTGCCTTGCAATCATCTCAAGGCTGCATCGCGGATAATACCTCAGGGAAAGACTCGAAGGTTTTCGTATGTAGTATTCAAGCTTGTAGTCTTTGAAAGTGTGGATGGCTTCCTTTCTTTCGTAAATCAAGGAGTATGGGGTACACTCTCGTGGCACATACGAGCGAAAGTGACAGGGGTAGCTCCAAAACACCCTACCGGGACGTTATTAACATGGACACCAATTACAGTAGGAGAATGCTTACTTCGAGCTATAGCTCCTCGGGTTTCTTGCGTATAATATCTAGTTTCACTCGCCGAATATTTTCTTCGAAAGATATGTCTTGCTCTCACTCCCAACACCATTACATACCTAGCCAATTAGAATACCTGTTACCATACTCTAGAAATGGAAACTTAGTTCAGAGATAGATCGTTACGAACCAGAGGTAGATCGCTCGACGCTGCGCCTAAGACTTACAACATCGCAATATCTTGTACAACAAGGTTGTATTTAATCCGAAATTCGGCCCCGTTAAGAGTTCTACGTACATTTAGGATCTCGAGATGCAGTAGATACGCACTCAGGTTCTTGATATACAGAAGCAAGAACTCACCTCCGGGAAGTTGACAAGGCTTAGCAAAACTAAGACAAGGCTTTCAAGCGTGGATACACCATTAAGTAGGCTGCACACTGCACTGTTGCCTGCAGCATGCTGCTAAGTATATACAAGTCTTTTGCTAGCTTCTAGCTACATGTCAATTTTCAGAACACGTCTTGAAGCCATTGATTAAATCAGGTGATGCTCGCAAAGAAGATGACGTAGTTGGACCCTTGACTGCCTTGAATCTTGACTTCCTTGAACTGTTCCTGCGCAAAATCCCAGACATCCTCGTGCTTCGCCAAAGCCTGCAACACGATCACGCCCTCTGTGCAGATCCAACGCAACACAATCGGAGACGTCGCTTACATTCGCCTGTCCAGGAGCGGGATAAACGACCTTGTAACCCAGGCTCCAGCGAATCAATCCATGTTCTCGGCCTTCGGCGTACCTTATCTTTGGCTCAAAGTCCCATAACGTCATCGCTACAATAACGACATAAACCATGCGCTGGGTCATCCTACCACACGTTCGGTCTCTTCCTTGGCTTTCACGTCTTGTTGGACAATTCGGTGCCGTGTGATGGTCACTGTCCGGTTTTGACTCGGAAGTTCTGTCCATCCCGCGTCGCCAATGGCTTGACAGTGATGGGACGCGGTTGCGTCATATATCGAGCTCGCAACGGCTGGTAGATTGCAAAGAACAAATATAAGAGCGCCTTGTCGCGTTTACTGGCCATCCTAGCACACACCTACAGCTTCGATATCAGGCCACAGAATCTGAGATACACACTTTACTTTTACAAACAGCACAGCCAACCAGACATGTCCACTCAACCTATCCACTCGACTGGCCGTGGAGGTGAAATTGCGCCTCTTCTTCAAATCGCGCAATTCTTCGTGCTGACTGCTCCCAGGCGCGGGCAACATTGGCCCAGACACCCACGTCTACACTGATGGAGGCATCGTTCGCGAAGGCATTCAGGGCGAGTCTGTAGACGGCGAGTTCTCTACAGGTCGTGGAGGCGCTGGCAACATGGGCAAATCTCCACGACTAGACGCGCAGACAGAGCACACTGGCCGCCGCTCAGTCGATTTCGTGCCTGAGATTAACGCGCGAGAGGGCCAGGAAGAATTCCATACAGGCGTACGTATAATGGAATAGGCAAAAGATTGCGCATCGCTGACTTTCTTGCAGCGTGGTGGAGCGGGCAATGTCTACAAGGAGAAGCACGGCGGCCACAGCCAGTCTCCCGACCGCAAGGGCCTCGGTGAGAAGGTCAAAGAGGCGCTGCACCTCGACAAGAGCAAGAAGCATGAGCCCTCTCCTCTTGCGCACGGTGAGACGGCGACAAAGCAGTAGATATGATACCCGATGATTGGTGGAGGTTAATGGCAGAGCACGAAGGATGTCGATGATACCTCTCTAGGCGCAGTCGCACTGCAACATGGCCTGCTTTCTTTGAATATAGACCAGAATGATACCAAATCTTCTTAACACTTGCAGCACGAAACTAGATAAAGCTTTGCTTGGTGCCTGACTAGAGTCACGCATGGTGGGGTTTGGGGAGCCCGTGCCACGTGGGGTGGGGTGAAGCTCGAGCGGCTGTCGTCATTTGGCTCGTGAAATTCTAACTTACTGAACCTCAAACTTCTCAAACAAACATTCACTCGATTTCTCAATATACACGCAATGTCCACCACGGCACAAGATGTCGAGGCACTTGTGCACTCGGACGACCCGAACCACCCCGCAAACCACATTTGCACGCTCTGCGCAAAGTTCTACACCCTGGGCTGGGTACGAGCAACCCTCCCGGCGGACGTCGCACGATGAAGAGATAGACAAAGAAACCAGGACTAACATGAGACATCTCGCCAGGTGACGGGAACCGGCGGAGGCACGAGTATCCGCCATGAAGACAAGATCTACATCGCGCCCAGCGGCGTGCAGAAGGAGCTCATGAAGCCGACGGACATGTTTGTCATGGACTTTGAGAGCAAGGAGTATCTGCGAAGGCCACAAGTACTTTAGATTCTCTCTCTGGCTTCGTAATAGCATGCTTATCCGACATCAGGTCCTCAAACCCTCCGCCTGCACGCCCCTCTTCATGGCCGCCTTTGAGCGCGGCGCCGGCTGCTGCATCCACACGCACTCCCAATGGGCCGTGCTCGTGACCCTCCTCGTCGAGCGCGACCTCGGAACTGAAGCGTGTTTCGAAATCGAGGAAATCGAGCAGATCAAAGGCATTCCCAAGGGGCGTGGGAAACAGGGCAATCTCGGCTACTACGACCGCCTGCGCATACCGATTATCGAGAACACGGCGCACGAGGAGGATTTGAGGGAGAGCTTGGAGGCCGCGATGGAGAGGTGGCCGGATAGTTATGCGATATTGGTGAGGAGGCATGGCATGTGAGTATTATGTGGGCAGTTGAGTGGCAGGTGACTTGGGTGTGCTAATGATGGGATAGATATGTTTGGGGGGATAATGTGCACAAGGCGAAGACGCAGTGTGAGAGTATCGACTACATTCTGCAGTTGGCTGTCGAGATGAAGAAGTTGGGACTGCCGTGGACCAAGTCGTAGGGACTGCGACAGAGAGCCCACGACGTCTTAGCTCTATGGCACACCAGGATTTGCTCGTAGCATCTATAGCGCAGGATAAACAGGACTTCGTTGCCGCTTTCTGTGCAACACAAAACCGTCAGCCCGATCCAATTCAAATGCTTACTAAGTTATGCAGGAATAGTCAGCATGGCCATCACCACTAGTGTATTACTCTTGCTCAAGTGCTGAGGGTGGATATTACGCCCCAAGTACACAGTCATTGGTCTTTGGTAAGCTGTGTCTCCACAACTACCCTTGCGACACGCCATCAACACAGGTAACCTTCCAACTTCGTATCGCGTGCATAACGAATGGTTGAACCCAAAGCTGGTCGAATCCTTCAACATGGATGCAATGTCAGCAACTCGACGTTAGCTTCAGCTGTGCCACATCATCCAAGAGTCTTCGGGGAAATGCTCACGATGTATACAATATGACATTCTCTCCCCTATATCGTTGACAGCTTCAATCACAGCTTTTCAGTCCGCAAAGTGTGGTGAAAGGAAAGAATGGTTCCTTCAATATCAACAGAGGCTGCCTCAGCCCTCCGAACTTACATCGACAATGCCACAACCGGCACTTCACCTACCATCCCAGGCGCAGTCCTGCACATCCTCGACGCCAAAGCCAATACTCTCTTCTCCCACGGCTCCAGTAATTCCACCACTCCGAACGCCCAATCCATCAGCATAATCCAATCCCTCACCAAACTCGTCGGCGCAATCGCATTCCTTCAACTCGTCGAGCGCGGCGTAAGCTCCCTCGACGACCCATCCATCATCCCAACCCACCTCCCTGAACTTGCCGCCAAAAAAGTCCTCACTGGCTTCACCACCGACGCCAGCGGAACCAAATCATGGCACTTGGAAGACAGAGTCGGCCACATAACGCCCCGCATGTTAATGAACCACACCTACGGCGGCGGTCACACATACATGGACACTCTCCTCTTCGAATACTTCCAATCCCAGCCCTCCATCGACTGGCCCACCACAAACGAAGCCGCCGACACGTACGGCACACTCCTCGCTTCTCCCTTATTATACCAGCCCGGCACGAAAACCACCTACGGCCAGGGCCTGGACTGGCTCGCCGTGCTCATCGAACGCCTCACACACACACGTCTAGCCCACCATCTGCAAACCACCATCTTCACCCCGCTAGGACTGGGGAGTATGGGCTTCGAGCCCGCCTTTGGCGGCACATCTCTCTCCCACCCCTCCAACGAGGGAAAATTCTGGCCGCGCGTGCTGCGCTCGGGCGATGCGTACACAGCCCTCGACCCGCCCCATCCCCAGACCACCATCCACCCCGACGCGTTTCCCACGGGGACGTACCACACGGCTCGCCTGGGTACAGGCCTCGTCTCCAGCGCGCACGACTACGCGCGCCTGCTAACCATCCTGCTCCCGGAGAACGCGGGCGTAGACCTAGACCCCGTGAGTGCGCATCGCGTACTCTCCCCTTCCTCCATCCGTGAAATCTCCACTCCGCAACTCTCAGAGCTGCTGAGACACGATTCTCGTAACGTCATGGCGTCGGGTGCGTCGCCTATCATTCTCCCCGCGTGGATACAATCTGCGCACATGGACCCGCAGGGCAGTTTCGGGCTGGGGTGCGGTGTGCAGGGGGCGGATAGGGTACTTCAGGACGGGAGGAAGGGGAGGAGCAGGGGGAGTGTGTATTGGTATGGGGCTGCGAATACGGAGTATTGGGTGGATGGGGAGGAGGGCGTTGTGGTGTTTGTCAATGGGAATTTTTATCCTTGGAACGATGAGAAGTGGGTTGACTTTGTTGCCGGGGTGGAGGGGATTTTGTATGGGGGGTTTGAGAGAGGGTTGAGAGGGAGGTGATATTGTGGGTCTTAAGATGTGTTAGGTCAGATGATCGAAAGGTTTGGAGTTCGTAGTCTGTGTATTGGATAGCGATCGTGTCCAATGCTTGTTCTCTCTGCTGGCTATAATATCATACACGTTCCTTCCACTCGTTCAGACGCCTTAACTATACGTGCAAGAAACCAGGCACCATTGCCGTTGATCGATAGACTCCCAACACCCATTGATTCGTCGAAACGCCCAGATCTTTATGATGCAGCTTTGACTTCGAGTGAGCCATTAGCACTATCCCTCGCCATCTGTCCGTCTCCTTCAGCCTTTATAGCCGGCGTGACTGACCTCTCCTCACCCAGTACCTCTGGCCGCCACCTAAGCAGCAGCTTTCGAGCGCTCGGTTTTGCGCGGTCGTTTTCTTGCCACAACTCCGCCAGTGTGTCTACCACGATCCTTCGAACCGGTGGCCGGAACATGTACAAGTATTGTAGGGTCTGACACGCCAGGTCAATGCGCTCAGGATCCCTTGCCATGATTTTCAGGCGAGACAGGATATCGTGATCGAGTTCTGGGACTTCGGATAAAAAGCGGATCAAGACCTTGTCGGTATGCTCGATAAATCCCAAAATGCCGTCGAACATGCGGAGCGCGCAGCGTTGGTAGTTGCCTTGCTTCGTGTTGTTATTGGACGGAGTATGGCCATTCACTCCATTTTTCGTCGTTTGTTGAGCCAGTACCTTATCATTGTACCACTCTTCGTTGAGCCACGATATGGCAACGTCGATGCGCCGCTTCCAATCGTGAAGGATATAGTTGTAAATCCCATCCCTTACTGCTTCGCTGATTGAGGTGCTGCCCTTGGTCCCTTTGACAGCGTATTCATCCTTCACACCACTTTCAGGATCGTCCAGACCAGCACTCGCACGCGTAGCTAGTCGCGACAGGATAGTGACCCATGCGTCCCGACCGTAGTCTGTTGCTGCGAGACGGTTGAATCCCGACTTGTTGGCCTTGGTCTTCTGAGTTTCGTCAACACTCGCAAGCATACCAAATGCCCGATAGACGGTTTGGTCGCCATACTTCTGCACTTCCTGTTCCGACAGCGGCGGCGCCTCTGGAAGTTTATAGGGTGCGAGTGCTGTTCCAGGTCCTGACTGAGGTACATCAGTTGCAGGATAGCCGTCAAGCCTATTGACTATTTGTTCGGCGTCTTCAGGCTCGAAGTCGGGTTCGTATTCCTCCTCGTCTTCAGCAGCAGGAGCTGCCGCTAATTTGGCAGCCGCTTGCTTGGTTGCAGCTTGACTGAGGCTGAGATAACGAGAGCGGACAATCTGTGACGACATGTTAGCCTACCCATATCTGAGATTCATGCGGACCCCTGTCGCCCCACGTGACTTGGCGTGCCGTCGGGACGCGGGCGGCTACTGCAGATCCCAACAGGGTCCGAAAAGAGGTATCACGTACATTGATAGCATGATCGAGTTTCTGTGCATCGACAGATTGCAAGACAGGTACGACGATCCTCAGCAATTGTTCCGGGTCCTTGAACATTTGCACATCAAAGTTCACAGTGCTTTTGCCTTCAGGGTTGAGCGTGTACAATTGACGCCAGCTGACCTCGCCAGCCGGCAGAGGCGGAACAGAGGGCGCTTTGGTAGAAGCCTCCACAGTGACTCGCTGCCTCTTGGCTTGCTCAAGCCCATCGTTCGGTCCACTAGGTGCTGGTCGCTTGCGAGACTCATCAAAGATCTCGATGCGCGTTCGGTGCATGCGCTCCAGATACTGTTGGATCCGCCCATTGACCTGATTCTCAGGGTGCCTAGATGATTGTTTAGCCAGGTCAGAGACCAGCATAAAGTGTCAACGCACCTCTTCATGATATTCACAAGCAAAGCTCGTGTTGTACGTTCTATTGACTTGATGATGACTTTGTTTTTGGGTGTCATGGGGGCATTGGCAAGCTTCAGAGCGTTGAAGTTGAGCACGCTGTTCAATATCTTGTTTGCAGCAATTGGACGACGATGCATCAGTATGCCCAGACTGTTCAGAGTTGCCGTTACAACTAGCCCGTCGCTGTATCCTGTCAGCACTGCCAATTTCTGATCAAATGGCTTATCTGACCTGTGATCTCCATGTATGATATCCAGCAATCGATCGAGGAGTCCGAGCCCTTCTGCTTCGAGGCTCGCATACGGTATAACGGGGTGGTCGCGGGAAACGAGGGCAAGGGAGATGTCGCCGCCATCGGGTCTCTGTGCATGATGAGCATGATTTCCCAGCACTATGGCACACCGTACGTACCCTTGGGTCCACGACGCCTGGTGTCTGCACGAGGACGGCTTGTTGCAGGAACTTGATGCAGCATATTCGTACGCCTGGCGTGGCGCTGTCCATTCGTCGCAGGATGCTCGATTTGATCGCTGACATGAGCTGCCAGTCTTGGGCATCGTTCGGGTTCGAGACACTGAGGCACAAGAAGTATGAGGGAGAGTTCGATAAAAGCTGCTCTGAAGCAAACGCAGGGGCGGCAGGGAGCTGAGCCTTGCAAAACCGCACTCATCATAGGGGAGGTTTCTATCTGATACTCGAGGGTTCACTTACACATGTCGGTATACCAGCGGGTATATGCTCGCAGCCGCCTGTACAACGCTTTTGGTCACGCTCTTGTCGTCAACATGCTCCAGATAGTCCTTCAACGTCGCGAGCACCGAGGACGCGCTGGTCTCCTTTGCGTCCTGAGGCCACGTGGGAGAAGCAAAAGCCTCAGCTATGAAGTCGGCGCCCCAGCGCTGTATGTCAACCGCCTGATTGTCTGCACTGTAGCCGATAATAGGGAGCACGCCTGGTATGATGGTAGGATAGTATCTACCGTCGCCTAACGCGAGCGACCGTGCTGACTCCAACTGCTGTATCGTCTGGGCACTCATGGTGGTGAGTGGGTGCAAAGGTCACGGGCGACGAGCTTTGTTCCTTTCAGAAAGGCCGAGGGGTGGTGTCGCTTGTTCACGCGCGCGCCGCAGTCAAAGTGATGGCGCGACAAAGCACAGTTGCAGTTGATATACGCTTTCCCATCCCCCGCAATGCTAATAACTAATGTAGGCGAAGGAGTGTGGAGAAGGGAAAGAAACGCGCCGGAGTGTGTTGATTGTCTTGTCGCAGCTGCTGGATGAGGTCAGTGAGACCTGAGGGACGCAGGTGAACGTTCCGCGCTGCGCTAGGGCCTGCTTAGTCATCCGAAAGTGGAATGGCCCATCGCCGCGGCGAGACGCATGTTCCCTCTCCGCAAGACTGCCACTCTCAGCACGCCACCATGGGATAGTGAGTCTCCTGGTTATAATGAGGATAGAGTGAGGTGCTGACGGCAACAGCAAACCCTTCCAATCGACCTACTATGACGAACGCATGCGGGCCTCGCCGGCGCTGCTGCGAGCTCGTGCACCGTACCTGGTGAAGAACACCATCACCGGGTTTGCTATCTGCAGTCTGGTGATTGGCATCTGTATGCTTCCGGAACCTTGTTCATATGCACCGTCTTACATTTCGTAGACACTTACACCATCAACGCCATCTCTCAAGACGAGTTCGAAGATGTCATCGTACCCGAAGAGCCAATGAGGCGACCGCAACAACTGTCTGGAGGAAATGTGCCGGGCGCAACAACACAAGCCATTGTCGATGCACGAAAGTGAGCAGCACTGGTGGTTCACATGAGGGTGTATAAGATTTGTTTGCATTGGGTTGGCGCTTCGGACTTTTAGGACAATACCACTATTTCACACTTTCATCGACCCCCGCGCGCATTCCCCTGCATTACCTCTGGTGTCCTCCTTGCAGTGAGGAATAGAGCATAAACTCAACGGGTCTAGCTACATTTTTTAAGGTGACGAACTTTAAATATCGCGACCCAGGAGTACGCTAAGAAGGCGGTCTGTTCTCACAACCACAACCTCTTTTGTCGACTGAGTGGGCTATGAGCAATGCCACATTTCGCCATACGCTGCTACGCAAGACCAAACTTTCAGTATTGTGTATAGACTAGGTTGTGCCTGAGCACTTGCGTCGCATCTTTACGGTTACTAGTATGATTAGGATGCACTACCAGTTGAACAGGCCAGATCTCATGCCCATGATCTTTGGTTAGAATCACGGCTCCTTTCCTCCGCTCCGACTACATTGTTTGGGGCAATTTCGATATCAGGCACTAATGTTGTCTAATTTGAGAAGCCGCAAGAACGGGACCTTGATGAAGTCGGGGTCCCGACCAAATTACTCCACAAGCCAAAATAGTCTTTTTCATTTTCGCATTCATATTCCACAAGTCAGAAAGAACGCTGTTGTGCCTCTTCATAAGAAAATCTAATCTCTATCATAATCTTGCTACATCAACATAATACCTCAGTCTCACAAATATGCCTCCACTATCAAGTGACACTAGCACCAGTCATCTTTCCACACGAAAAGCTCACCCAACAACTCCAAAACCTCTTCGCCTCGAAGTCAGAAAAGAATCCCTGGTCACAAAATCACTACCAACCCTAAGCAAAAAGTCCCAAGCCGCCAGCAAAACTGCCCCCTCCAAAAAATCCACATCAAGCTCCCACAACCGCGAACTCAAGGGCAAGAGCATCTCGACAGATCCCGACTCAGGCCCCAAGCGCGGTAACAGAGCCGCTACGAGCCCTTGCCGTGTCCCTGCTCCAGACGTCAACGCCTTCATCCAATACATCGCAACCCACGACCGCCGACGCTCCAACTCCCACGGCACTCCGACCATTGACGCCGCTCGCAAACCCGCCCTCAGTCCGCAACATGCAGGTCGTGAACATGGCGATATGATTCCCGCGGCGTTCAATAAGGCGGAGGATGGGATTGGTCAGAAGGAGAAGGGAAAGATCACGCAGGCGGTTTGGCGGGAGTTGGGTAGGCAGCAGAGGATGGAACGGGCTAGGGGTGAGGCTGGGGTGCAGATGAAGAAGATGGAGGGTGGGAATGGGGGCGGTTTGACGGTGTTGCTGGGGGCGTTGAGGAAGAGAGTGGGTGGGTATAGGCATGGTGGGGAGTCTTGAAGAAGTGTAGGTCGCGGTTCATGCATGATTTGGTTCGGGAAGTGCTAGAATTTTTGATGCTTTCTTCTCGTCAAACACGGAATTCTCTTTTCCATGGTGTTGATCCAAGATATATGTCCTCGGAAAAGAGTGATTCCGGGTGTCATGATTTTGTAATACTGGTATGGCAGACAACTGCATATTTGAATAGCTTACGCTGCACTTTCATGTTCTCGAATCACTCGAAGAGCCTCGTCTACGTGTCTCTGGCGAACGCTATACTCCCACCTCGAATATCTGCGCGAGAGTTTCAACCTTTGCGGATTAAATCTTCCTAGGATATCATGACGGTACCTTCGTTCCTTTATTGAGAAGCCAGTGGAAGACCACTTGGTTCTCTCTGTCCATGCACCCAATCGTATCAACAAGCGTACCATGTCACTGTTGCCCGAATCAACAGCTGCAATAAGCGGCACAACGAGTTTGTCCCCCTCTTTTATATGCTCGATGTTCAGGTCCATCTTGAGTCGTTGTACCAGTAATTCCACAGCGCCACAGTGTTGGCTGTATATTCCAGCAAAGAGAGCGTATCGGATTAACTCTCCCGACTTTTTCCGCTTCAGGTGATAGCCATTATCGAGGAGATAATTGAGCATTTCAACATGGCCCTTCATTGCTGCAACCACGGGAAGATGGTCCGGGCAAGTGTCGTCCAGTTGCTCGTGCAGGACAAATTCGAGTACCTCCACGTTACCGCCAGACGCCGCAGCCCGCAACAGGTTTCCCGTATTTCGCCTTCTGTCGCAATCGTTTAGAAGGGCCTTGGACTGTATGAGCTGACATGTACTCAAGTTCCCCCCTTCCGCGGCATACACTATAGGCGCTCCGATGTTGTCATTTGACCAGAACTCATTTAGCCAGTATGTGTCGCGTACGAGGAGGCGTTTCAACATATCGTCCCAGCCGTTAAGAGCCGCAGCAGCTTTGATAGACTCCACTGCACCCATCCGCGGATTGACGGCTAAAATGTGCTCAAGTATCTCGCGATTGTTGTTCTTGGCCGCTATACTAGCCGCATCACGCAAGCTGTAATCATCCTCGTCGTCGTCATCGGCGGCCTCGAGGAGCAATTTGACAATGTCAGCGTGATTGGACTCGATGGCGCACAATAGGGGATGTGGTACGAAATTTGGCTCCACATCTCTGTCGCTCCGATACTCGGCGCCTGCGTCAAGTAACTTTGAGACTGTATGGCGGAGTCCAAGTCGACTTGCCATCCCCAGCGGGCTGTACAGGTAGTAGCAGACGTCGTTTATTGGAATGCCATCAGAAAGTATCTTGTCTTGTAGCTCTTCGTCTTCCGCAAGCACAGCAAACATAAAGCTGGTCATGCGAATTTATAAGCGGTGTTTCTCAGGGTCCTCGCGGTGCCAATCGAGTCGCGAATCCCTCCATTCTGCATGCCAAATATATCTACCTGTCTCTATGGGTTCCCCAAGACTGTTGCAGAGCTTGCATCGATTGAGTCCGTCTAGCAGTACTTCAAGCCATTGCTCTTTCGTTCGACTGGCCATGTAGTCGCTTAGATACTGAGCAACTTCATGAATCAGTCGACGGAGACCATTCACTCCACGATCCTGGTCTCCGATGAATAACTTGATGATACGTTTTCTGAATTGATCCGGCATGTCCTGCGCATTCTGGGTCGTGAGTTTATTGTAGATCCAATTGTCGGCAATCGCTTTTGTCGCCACTCCCTCAAAGAACCCTAGGTCATGAGCTGATGACTTGTTTCGAGGATGGTCGAACTTACTGTTGACTTCTCGAAAACGACAAATGTCATAAAGCTCCATCTCGGACGCTGCTTCTGTGATGATGTCCCCCCCCCCCCCCCCCCCCTAGCACAGCGGGTAGTTCGTGGAGGAACATGTTGGTGGAAACCTCTTCCTGCTTTCTCAAACATGCAACCTGAGCTTACTGAATGCTTCGTTCTCAGATGAAAAGAAACCGTGAGAAACTTGTATGCCACAAAAAGGTGATTATTTCACCCGGGCAGGCTGCAGCCCGACGCTACAGCCTCGCATGCCTGCCCGCGCTACGCCAGCTAATAGGCAGATATTTTCGCATGATATATGCTCGAAGTACAGATGGCGAACTCCGATGAACACAGAAGCCAGGACCTGTGAGATGCCAAGGTGTGGCACAGCAACGGCTGTGGCGTTCTGGACTGCCCGGATTTGCTATAATCCACAACGAGCCGCTTGCGTCTCGGAGCACTTGCCGACAGGCCTCGTCACGACGACCAAAATTCAACTGAGACTGCATGATGAGATGATCCGTTATCATTCAGAACAACATGGACCAAAAAGTTCCTTGATTGGACGTAGGCGACAACAATTTGCCGTGTCTCTCGATCTGTGACGTAATGCGCAGCTCGCAACCAGGCGGGCGCGTTAATCCTATCAGCCACTCGCGTCGACCTTGCGCGCAATCTGCCATGGTTCTTTTGGCTCATTTGTATCTGCAATCTTCTCTTCCCTTGTACGATAATTTGCGCGTTAACCTTCACCTTCGCCAGGCGTGCATGATTGTCCTTGACGACCACTGGAATTTGTTGAATCTCGCATGGCGTCTACAGCTACTCCACAACACCGTCGCTCGCTACGCTAACTTACCGGCACGATGAGCACAACCACTTCTACTGCCACTCAGCGCGCAGATAATTACGCTTGCAACGAAACTCCATCATCAAAGACGGAAGCAGCTCTTGAATTCGCGCAACAAGCTGAGAAGCTTGGTCAATATGCGCCACATCAAGAGAGCGACGCTACCGGATCGACACAAGCGGTTGAAGCAAGGTTTATCACTGCGCAAGACCCAGTCATTGAGACTGCAGATGGTGGTCGCCTGCCTGCTGTGCCCATAGAAGAGGCAACAAGACTCAACAGGCTGCGCAATGTGGTCGAGAGTCGAGATGAGTTTCCAGATGCACCAGTCGGGCCTAAGACGCGCATTGCAAAAGATGGAACTGTACATGGTCTCCTAACTGAGAAAGAGGAGGAAGGTGGACAGGGAAAGAGTGACGTTCCCCTGGGAGACTCGAAGGCGCCATGGCAGACAAGCCCTTTGTTCCCACCTCTTCCGATGTACGGGCCTCCGACTTTGATGAGGAAGGCTCAGTGTTGGACCTTTCGAATATCCTCTGCAATTCTGTCATTCTTGTTCTTACTCGTCATCATTCTTGGAGCGGCATTCACATCTATCCCTGGTTGGCTACATAGTCTTGGACTTTGGCTAACCTTGAGGAATCCTGCAAAGAGACGGCCATTCTACGATGAGGAAGATAGACGGAAAAGAGTAAGAAGAGTGCAGGAGAGGGCCTGGATGAAACGACACAATTCAACGCAAAAGAGAGAGGTGGGCAAAGACTTGGAAGACCAGAAAGAAGACGAGTTTCGACCCTTAGAAGGCGGGCCTGACCCATTGAAGTGCGATGTGCGAATCTATGCTCGTCGTGTTGGGCTCGAATGCGAGATATTCGACGTCCAAACTGAAGATGGCTTCATCATCGAGCTATGGCATTTGTACAATCCGCGCGAATATAAACGCACAGGCAGATCGGAACGATCGCCGCACTCCTCTGAAATCTTTCCCGACAATGGCGATTCGGAAGGTGTATCAGGTTCGCAGTACCCCGAGGGTGACAAGAAGTACCCTGTACTCATGATCCATGGGCTGCTGCAGTCCGCAGGCGCTTACTGTACAAACGATGACGACAGTCTTGCATTCTTCTTGGCAAAGAGCGGATACGACGTCTGGTTGGGCAACAATCGCTGCGGGTTCAAGCCGCGACATGTGTTGCTCAAATACGATGACCCAAGAATGTGGGCGTGGAACATTAGACAGATGGGCGTTATGGACCTTCCTGCACTCATCTCGCGAGTGCTTTCTGAGACTGGGTTCGAGAAGTTGGGTCTCATCGCACACAGCCAAGGCACAACCCAAACTTTTGTTGCATTAGCAAAGGAGCAGCGTCCCGAGATCAGCGAGAAGATATCGGTATTCTGTGCTTTGGCTCCAGCAGCATATGCAGGCCCGCTGATCGGCAAAGCGCAGTTCAAATTCATGAGCGTGATCAGTCCCCTCATGTTCCGGATGGTCTTCGGGATTCACGCTTTCATTCCGTTCATGATGGCCATGCATAGCCTGCTGCCAGGCAAGTTCTATGGCGACATGGGCTACAGGGTATTCGCATTCCTGTTCAACTGGACCGATGATCGCTGGGAACGGGACATACGAGACCGCATGTTCCAGTTTGCGCCTGTCTACGTCAGTGCAGAGAGTATGAGATGGTGGCTCGGTCGTGAGTGCTTTGCGAAACAAAAGTGCATTCTGGCTACGCGGGAGGAGAAAAACATGGAAGATCAGGAGGATGAGGAGGAGGACCACAAAGCTTCTCATGCAATTTCTTCTGGCGTAAACTCGGACGACGACCACAAAGCCTTGGATACCTCACAGCCGGGCACCAATGCATTGGACCGAAATAAGCATGGTATACAGAGAAGGAATAGTAGCAATGCCCGCTACGCTTGGTATGGTCCGGACACGCCACCGTTCGCTCTTTGGGTGTGTGGTGCAGACGATCTCGTCGATGGTCGCCGTCTCCTCCGCCGCTTCGAGCGTGGCCGCGAACCTTTTGTTGATGTTGTGCATTCGAAGATCATTGAAGGCTACGAACATCTCGACGTCATTTGGGCCATGGACGCGATCGAGAAAGTGGGGAAAGAAGTCAGGGAAGTGCTTTGGAAGACCGCACCTGAAGAAGCGAGGAAGATTTGCCGCACACCGAAGGGCTGTGAAGAGGTCGATGACTTCTATCAGCGCAGAAGCAACGAGCGAGAAAACGCTACAAGACAAGTAGAGGTTACAGCAGGCGAATGGAGCGAGAAAGGAAAGGAGCAGGTCGCTGGTGGTAGTGGAGAAGGCGACCGTGATCTTGAGGCCGAGATCAAGGAGACGAAGGAAAAAGTGCTTGCCGATGAGTAGAGCAGATGATAGCCTTCTAGATAGTGGTATTTCTTTCAGCATACACGATATACCCTTTGTTGTTACGCATACATTAGGCGCATACACTGAAATTTGATAGATCTTTACAGTCGGATCATAATTTTTTGTTACCTCCCAATTACCTCTACAGAATATCATTGGACTTGTTGTTGTGGACCGAGCCAGCCCCGATCACTTTGTGGTGGATCTAAGAGGCGCAGCGGCTACATTGGCCTAGTTATGGTTTGAAACAAGCATCCGATTCGTCAAGGCAAAGGCATCATTGGCACCAGTCAAGCTTTGAAACAAGCACCCTGCAGATGAGTGAAATGCACTGCATTCGGTCACACGCTAACAATGCGGCACAGTTTTTGAATGTATATGATAGAAAGAGGCCGACAATGATTCTCGTCAAGAACTGCAGCTTACGAACTCGTGTCTGCAAATCCACAGAATGCTTCTCTCGTCATTCCTACTCCTCATGAGTGTATCTTCAATATGTGCGATTCATATCCCGATTTCGCCAGTCCCACGCGCATTTCCCTTTCCAAGGCCTGTTGTGCCGGAACCACCCATCTCTCTACCCATTCCTCCAGCACCCAGACCACCTTCCCTAGTTCCCGACACGCCTACGGTCCCGAACTTAAAGCCGAAGCCAGATACACCAGATGTGCCCGATGTACCAAATAATCCCGACGATGGTAGCGTAACGACGAGCGCTAGACCGCCAGTACCTACCACGTCGCAATTGTCGTGGAGAGAATGGTTAAACGCGACTTCTACGTACAGTGTTCCTGAGACTAGAAGTAGTGGACTTGTAACCGGGGATGGGACAAGGATACTAGCAAGATCGGGACTAATGGTAAGTCTGGCTCCATTGAATGAAAAAGAGTGGAGGCATTGACACAGAATAGTTTCTCGTCCCGTTGGTCGCTGCGATGATCACTTAGTATGCTCGCGAAGATGCCCTTAAGCATGTATTTATTTTTATCTTGCATAAGCCATTGGCTTCGTTAGGTATCGCTTAGCCAGGCATAGCTTACTGTAAGGCGGACTTGGTGTAGATCACCTGCGAGGTGGCGCAGCACCGCCCTGCACTAGGTAACCCTCATCAGCCCTAGAACACAGCCATCTACGCCTGCGGGATCATGCATCGGAGGCCTAAATGGTCATATAAGATGGAATACTCTTCGCATGCTCGGGCTTATAACCCTGTCGCAGAACATCTGTTCAGACATCACAGCTTGTACAACCATTCACCATGCAGTTCTCTTCACTCCTCCTTCTCCTGCTAGGCGCATCATCAACAACATGCGCATTAGACTTCTCAGATTCTCCGATCCGACGCGCTGGTGCTGGTCCTCCACCTGCAGCTCCAGCAGCACCGAGACCTGCATCGCCGCCATCGGTTCCAGCGGCACCAAGACCTGCAACACCCCCATCTGCACCACGGCCACCCAAACCAGACAGGCCCGACGCACCTGATAGTCCTGATGCACCTGACGATGATCGCACTGATAACGGTTCGACCACGAGAATATCCAGGCCGTCTACAAGCATCGTTAGGATAGGAACGCAGATATCGTCAAGGACGACTATTCAAAGTTCCACGAGCACGACGAGTGCATTCAGGACCATAAATACTGGTGCTGGGACGAGGGTGTATGTCGATTCGGGAATAATGGTGAGTTTGATCCGAATAAACTATGTATGTACTGGAATCGCTGACACAGAGTAGGTTCTTGTTTCAGTGGTGGTTGCAGCGGTTGCATAGTACTTTTCTAATTCTTTTCATGATACCCACGTTGTCCATGATAGAGGCAGCTTTTTTGCTGTGCAATCTGCGAACTATAGATCTCCGTTTTTCTTTTCAACGTTAGACTGTCCATATGTTTCTCATGGTCGTGTTTATGGGTCCTAGCATCCAACTCTGATAACAAGTAATTCATTCTTAAGCATTTATCCTGCATTCTAGCAGCACAGAGTTTCTTCAATCTATTGAAACACAATGCAACTCGGGAATACATGCAAATGAACATGGTCAGCATAAGATATTTGTTTAGCTGACTTCGCGTCGCCCGCGCGAATCCGTGGCAGAAAAAGCAACGCCCCTCATTCGTCCGGATGCATGAAGGCGAAGCGAAAACCGGACGCTTTGCATACACCGCTCGTCACGCGTATCTACATCTGCAGTAAGAAGCGAAAGCGGACCAGATAGCGGCCGCGTTTGTGGAGCACAAGATGTTGATTGTTGCTGCCTGATTTGCGGACCATTCACCATAAATAGATAACTTGTGCAGCCTTTGGACCAAGTCGCAACAAGTCGCAACAACAATCCTAGACCAAAACAAAAACAAAGCCGACGTCATGTCTGACACATAGGAATCGGTCATTACTCTGCCCAAGGCACCGGATGCCAATGCGCCGAAGAAGAAATGTATGGAGTGCCATGCTTACAATGACTGGCGGACTTTAGAGCACATGAGATTGACTAAATTTTGCAGACGATGCTGCGTGTCATTGTGGTGCTTTTGCGTATACGGTGACTGCCTCTCCACCACTTGACGATCCGAGTGCCGAGGTCATAGGTACGTGAAGAAAGTCCCTAATCTTGTGTTATCAGACCCCGCTCACGAGAATCTAGAATGCAACTGCAGTATCTGCTCCCGCAATGGCTACTTGTACATCTACCCGCCAAACTCGAGCGTTGAGTTTACCAAGGGTGACATCTCGGAGTTCAAGGCATGTCTTCTACTTCCCTACCGTAGAAACTCATCAAATCGGTAATGATCAAAGCTAACAGTATAAACCTTACTTAGTCCTACACCTTCGGTCCCAACGCCAAAGTCGCACATTACTTTTGCCCAACCTGCGGCTCTAGCTGCATGGCCCGCAGCATCGGCAAGCTTCTTCCTCTCCCACAAACGAGAAACAACTACTAATAGTCTTCTTTTCTAGATCCCAACTTCTTCCCAGGCATGACGTGTCTCAACGTGCGTATGCTCGATGGCGTAGACCTCAAGGCCCTGAAGATTAAATTCGCAGACGGGAAGAGTTATACGCCAGGAAGCCTGGCGGAGGGCGAGGAGAATAAAGAGTGGAAGAAGATGGGTGAAGGGAAGAAACAAGCCGAATAAAGTTTATGCTTGATGTAAGGGCTGATGCCTATGCGACCAAAAAAAAAGGCCTGAACCAGTATGAAAAAGGGCGCACGAACCCTTCAGCTGCACAACACACCAGGCAGACACAATTCAGCTAGCAATATAAATCTAAACGACATCCACATAACACCTCGACCTACCTTCACATCACAGCAACCCATCTCTCAACCATGTCCCCCCCAGCCAACCCATTCACTACTCGCCCCTCCCTCCGCCCTCTCACAAACATACACTGCCTCATGCCACTGCGCAGCCTTCACTTACACTATAACCACCTCCCCACCCCTCTCCCACCCATCTGCACGCATCTCCCAGTGCAACTGCAGCATCTGCGTGAAAAACGGATACCTCATGATATACCCAGCCAACACGAGCGTTACATTCCTGACGGGGAGTTTGGCGGAATTCAAGGTACCAACTAACCACCTATTCCTGACGACGCGATGTGTGACAAGAGTGAACAGTCCTATACCTTCGGCACCAACAAGATCGCGCATTATTTCTGCGGCACGTGCGGCGCGAGTTGCATGGCGCGCAGTGTTGACCCCACGTTCTTCCCAGACATGACATGTGTCAATGTGCGCATGTTTCACGGCGGGGAGGACGTGTGGAAAGGTGTGGAGAGACGGCTTGCGGATGGGGCGGCGCTGTGAGAAGGAAAAAAAAGTAGCTATGTGGACGGAATGGTATGGGGAGCAAAAAAACAAAAAAAATCGGATGTGTGTGTGTGACCTAACCAGGGGTCGCTGATACAGTGTTAGTTGAGATTCGAACTGAAGGTGGTGTAGAAGTGTTGTGTAACTTACAACCTGGAATCTCTTGATTACTGTGTGGAGTCGTAGTCAAGCGCCTTGCCATTGGGCCATTAGGCCGAATTCATGAAGAAAACTATTTTGTTAAATTATATATATACTTATTTCTGTTGTGGTTACGAAGTGTTTACGTCGATGTGTGTGTGGATGTGGATGTGAAAGAAAATTCCTGCTCGGGGTGGGGAGTGCACGGGCGAAGTGGGTCTGGTTTCTCTAGATGGCTCTTACACGACGAGATTGTATGTAGGAGAGAATGATGTTTGCTTTTGTGGCATGTTTGTTATTCTAATACAGGACAGAAACGTTGAGAAAAACACGGTTTTGGTCAATCGCTTGAGATCAGCCGTATCTCATTCGAAAAGTCGGACGGCATATCTCGTACTTTAAAGACCACAGAATCTACTCCAGCTTGAGCCTCTCAAACTGCTCAATGCTAGCCTGCCAATTCCTCGCTTCCGTCTCGGCATCCTTCAGCTTGCTCTTTTCCAGATCCTTGACAACGTCGCTGACCTTTTGTTCCCACTCATCGTCCATGATCTTCTTCTGGCGCTGAATGGTCTCGTTGGCCTTGACAAGTCTGTCCTGAGCCTTTGTGATCTCCTTGTCGATCTCAATACGGCCCTTGACGTCGAGGTACGCGGTAGCTGCGGATCCGATGGTGTACACGGCGCAACCAGTCGGCGCGGGGTCTGACGGCGAGAGGATGGTGATCTCGGCGACGGTCTTTCCAGCGAGAGACTTGATGGACGGGAGAGATGTTGATGTGGAGAGAGTTCCTTGCGCCTTGTTGTCGAGCGCCTGGATGTAGGTCTTTGCGCCCTCCTTGAAAGCGTACTCCGCAGTGAGGGAGCGAAGACCCTTGGCAGAATCGACCAGTAATTCGTACTCGTCCTCCGCAGCCGCATCATCGAATTCTTGGGTGTATTCTGGGAATGAAGCAACGGTGATCGAAGGCGTCTTGTCGCCCTCTCGTCGGGGCAAGCGCTGCCACAACTCTTCGGTCAAGAAGGGCATGAAGGGATGGATCATGGTTAATCCTCCCTCGATAGCAGTGTAAAGAGTCTGCTTGGCACTCTCCTTCTGTTCCTCGCTGCCCTCATCAAAGATGGCCTTGCTGTTCTCGATATAGGTGTCGCACAAGAACTATAGCGCGTTAGCATGCATTCACGATTGTGTGGCATGTGAACTTCTTACCTCATAGAAGTACTTGTAGGCGACCTGTGTCGCGAGCGAGAACTCCCGGGCATCGAGGTGCTGGTTGATCTTCTTCGCCGAGGTGGTGAGCTTGTGCAGAATCCATCGCTCGGGCAGGGACTCCTTTCCAGACTTTGCGATCTTCGCGCGAGGTGTGAGGTCTCCAAATCGTCCCAGGACGTACTTCGTCGCTTGATAGATCTTGTTGCAGAATCTCCTGTAGCCATGGATGACGTTGACGTCGAAAGAAATGTCGCCGCCACCTGTGGTATAGCCCACTAGAGACATGCGTAGCGCATCAGCACCGCACTCGGGGATACCCTGAGGGAACGAGGTCTTCTGGTACTTCTCCGCAGACTTGAGCTCCTTGGGGTCTAGGTTACCGATTTTTAACTGATCGTGCAGCTTCTCGAGAGTAATGCCATCCATAATGTCGACAGGGTCAATAACGTTGCCGAGAGATTTCGACATCTTCCTGCCCTCTGAATCTCTGATCAACGAATGGCAGTACACCTCTGTGAAGGGAACCTTTCCAGTCAGGTGAAGCGACATCATAATCATCCTGGCGACCCAGAAGAAAAGAATGTCCCAGCCGGTCTCCAAGACAGAGGTAGGGAAGAGCTTCTCGAAGTCAACGGTCTTCTCTGGCCATCCAAGAGTACTGAAAGGCCACAATCCAGATGAAAACCATGTGTCGAGTACATCCTCATCACGCTCCAGTGTGAACTTCTTGCCAGGGAACTTCTGCTCCGCCTTCTTCTGTGCCTCCTCTTCCGTTCGGCCTGTGACCCATGTATCATTGTCGCTCCTGTCTTCCGTACCGCCCTCGATGTTGACAAAGTAGGCAGGGATCTGGTGACCCCACCAAAGTTGTCGTGACAGACACCAGTCTTGGATGTTGTTCATCCAGTGCATGTAGACCTTCTCGGAGGTGACTGGCTTGATCTTGAGCTCACCGCTCTTGACCACCTCAATGGCGGGCTTTGCGAGACCCTCCATCTTCATCCACCACTGTGGCTTCATGATAGGCTCAATAACATCGCCAGATCTTGAGCAGATGGGGACCTTCATCGGATTGTCTTCCTTCTTGACAAACAGACCCTTCTCTTCTAAGGCAGTGACGATGCTATACCTGACATCGAATCGCTTTTGGCCTTCGAAGCTACCGGTGTTCTTGTTCATGGTACCGTTGTCGTTGAGAATGTTGATGAAGGCCAGGTTGTGCTTCTTGCCGAGGTTGAAATCGTTTGCATCGTGTGCGGGTGTCAGCTTGACAGCACCAGTACCGAATTCAGGGTCAACGTATTCGTCAGCGACGATGGGCATAAGACGGTCAACAAATGGATGCCTTGCTTGCAGTCCAACAACGTCCTTGTACCGCTCGTCCTTGGGGTGTACGGCGATACCTGAGTCACCAAGCATTGTCTCTGGACGTGTAGTGGCGACCTCAATGAACTTGTCAGTTCCTTCGATGGCGTACTTGAAATGTGTCAGAACACCAAACTCGACCTTGCGTTCGTATCCAGGAACAGAGAGCAGCGTCCGTCCAGCAATGTCTTTGTTATCAACTTCAAGTGTTGAGAGTGCTGTGTTGAGCTGTGTGCACCAGTTGACAAGGCGATTTGAGCGGTAGATCAGACCATCCTCGTGCATCTTGACAAAGCTCTCTGTAACGGCTTTAGACAAGTTCTTATCCATGGTGAATGCTTCCCGAGTCCAATCGAATGAACCTCCCATGCGCTTCAGGGTGTGAGTCAGATGCTGGTGGTACTCGGATTTCCAGTCCATTGTCTCGCTCAATGAACTTTTTGGCGCCCAAGGTCGTGTCGGGTCTTTGCCTTCGCGCCTGGCCAGCATCTTCTCGACGACGCTCTGGGGTCGCGATACCAGCGTGATCGCAACCAGGCAGGTAGAGCGTGGTGTAGCCGCGCATGCGATGCCATCGGATCAGAACGTCTTGTAGTGAGGTCGCGAGGGCGTGACCGCAGTGGAGCTTGCCGGTGACGTTTGGTGGGGGAATGGGGATGACGAAGTGGCCGGCATTTTTGACGTTTCCGTTGGGCATGTCAGGCTTGAAGAAGCCCTCCTTGTCCCACCAGTCATCTAGCGTTTGTCAGTATGAATGGAGGCTTCTTTTGGCCGCGGGGGACTCACACCATGCCGACTCGACGACCTTGGGAATGTATGCTTTGGTGAAAGGACCATCCAGGCTCTGTAGGCGCTTCTTCTCTCCCTTGGGAGTCTCCTCGACGTACTCGGGCAATTGCTCCTCCTCCTTGCCCTTCTTCTTCTTCTCTTTCGGAGCTCCGCCTTCTTTCGGCGCGCCAGCAGCGGCCGCCTTCTTCGCCTTGAACTTGGCGTCCTTTTCAGCCTTCTTGCGCTCCTTCTCGAGCTCCTTGGCGCTCTTCTCTTTCTTCTCTACGCCCTTCTCGTTCTCGCGACCCGGCGCAGACTGGCCGACTGCGTCTGTGTTGGCGGCATCGAGGAGGTCCTTCTTGACATCGTCGCTCACAGCCGGAGGAGCGGCGCGTGCTGGGCCCCGTCTTCTCGCCCGCGACGTTGTGCGAGCTGGCGTTGAGCGCCATGGTGGGGGTGGTGTAGTGGGCTGTGAGCACGCGCTCAGCGTGGGAAAAGGCGTAGGCTTGTGGTCGCAATTGGCGAGTGTGTAGGGCGGTCGGGTACAAGCGAATAGGCCCGCGTTGTAATGGGTATCGTAGGTATCGTCTGCAAGCAGCAGTGCGAAATGCAGGTGCGCGGGGCGGCATATGAACGAGCAACAAAAAGTCCAGTCATTCCGAGCTTGACTCAAGCCAAGCCCACTTTGCGAGTAGCTGCTGCCAGTCTCCCCGCAACACCAAAGCATCCGAGCGTCTGCATATCCGCCATCACCATGAACACCGAATCACAATAGGCCACAGCCCATGTAATGCGCCTCCGGTCTGTATGTTTGGACAATGACGTGTGATTTCGTCTTTGTACATCATGTGCAAAAGCAATGTAAGTCATGTCACGATAGGAGCTCTCCGTAACCGTCTCGGATACCCCCGTTCAGCTAGAGATGAGTCGACCAAGTGTGTTACAGTCCTCGGCTTCCTCCGCACAGAGTTGGTCAGATGGGGTGGTGGGAGCACAACGTCACGTTCATGTCTGCCTCGTGTGTACCACAGACACATTTGCGACTGCTGTGGCTGTGCGTGTTATGACTCGGCACTGACGATTTGACGGACGGACGGACGGGATATGATTCCGAGGATGCATTAACACTCTAACGCCTTGCCATGCTTACATCCCATTCGAGCAGAGATTTCCAAAGCCGATATCCCTCCAACAGCATAGCCGACCACGCAATACGTATGCAAAAGGAGAGCGCCTAAACCCACCAACCGTTAACGTGACTTTTGCTCCCAAAGAAGTCATCTTGAGTGACAATATATGATCGGTAAGAAGAAGTGGTAGCCCGCTAGGAGTGTCATGGAATGCGAGGCTGAAGGTGAGCATCTTGTGTTTGTGTATTCATGCCATTACTTGAGGTCTAGTTACTGGAGCGGGTATCAATCATGTTGCGGCACTGCTGTTCTGCTGTGCAGCAGCCTGCCGAACTGGGGCGAAGTATGGATGCGCCATTGCTTCTTGGGCCGTGAGACGATCCTGCGAATGTCAGTACATGCATTTGCTGCTGAGAGGTAGAGACGCTCACCTGATGGTCGTATCTCAGAAGCTTATCAAGGAAGTCGATGGCATCGTTGCTCACGAAACGCTGGTTTTCCGCGTTGATGAACGAGTGCCATGGCTTCTTGGGATACCGGCTCAGAATGTCGTCGTATTGCGCATCTAGCTCGATATCGTACTTGTCGAGATAATCGAACAAGTCTTCGGTTCCCAGGACTTTCGCAATCTTGACAAGCTGGTCCGAGTTGCTGTTGCCGTGGAAAAACGGTTCTCTCCTGAAAATCATGGACGCGAACATGGCACCGAGCGACCACATGTCGAGAGAGTAGTCGTACTCCTGGAAGTCGACCAGCAGTTCCGGGCCTTTGAAGTACCGCGAAGCGACGCGGACGTTGTACTCGGTCCCGGCGTGGTAGAACTCAGCAAGACCCCAATCGATCAACCGTAGCTATATTCTGTCAGCACCCTGGTCTTCAAGACTGGTCCCATCGACTGACCTTGCGCTTCTCATGATCGATCATAACGTTATGAGGCTTGACATCCCGGTGCATGATGCCTTTGCTGTGGCAGAAGTCTAGAGCCTTGAGGAGCTCATTTATGTAGAACCGCACGTCGTAGTCCTGGAATTTGGGGTAAAGACTCCGGAAGTCGGTGTTGTTGACATATTCGAATATCAGCGACGGTGTTTTGCTCTATATCGACGCTTATTAGCAGTGCTGCCATACGCACGACTTGGATGAGACGAAATACCCAATCCCCAATCCAGTCGGAACCATCACTAACCTGGTTGTCGCGCACTACATCCAGCAGCGAGACGATGTTGGGGCCGCCAGACAGATTTTGCAGAATCTTGATTTCGCGCTTTATCTTCTTCTTCTTGACGGGCTTCAGGACCTTGATGACGCATTTCTGGTAGTTGACGACGTTGATGCCCTCGAAGACTTCCGAGTACTTTCCGCGCCCAATCTTTCGCACGACTTCGTAGTTTTCCAGGACGCCCCAGGAGATGTTGACCGAGTCGTAGTCCCAGTAGGAGCGGGGCATGTTCGCGTTGACATCGGGATAAACACGAGCAATGCTCGTTGCGCCCGTGGTGTTGTTCAGCGCCATACTGGGCGAAAGCGACGCTACGGGCAGCGGCGACGTGCCAGTGAGGGTTTTGGGCGCAGGAGGGTCGGCGTGGTCACTGGGAGGCTCGTGGTGGGGGGAGAAGAAGCGGAGGAGAGCGGGACGCAAGAGGACGAACGCAAGGCCAGCAAGCACGCCGAGCGCAGCTGCCTTGTTCCAAGGAAAACGCCTGGAAACTCGTCGACGCGGCGCACGGTGAGAAGGCGGCGCAGCAACAGGTGATTGAGCTCTTGGGTGACGCGGGGATGTTTTGATGCCGAGAGAGAGCTCCGCCTGCGCCTTGTCGTCGTGCAGGCTGCTTGTGGCTGCACGCACTTAGCGAATCACGTGACTGCGGCCCAGCTTTGAGCAACCGCTGTGGGGAAGCTTGTGACAGCCAGCCAGCCAGTCTTACTTACATTTTTTGGTGTCGCGTTCCCGAAGCTCTCCAGGTCCCGCGGTTCCTGTCGCATTCAACGCAGCCATGTTCCACGACCTGAACGTCCCCTGGACAGATGCGACAAGGGAATTACAGCGCACTGTCGTGTTCCTAGACGAATGTGAGCGCAGTCCAATGTTCGTGAACGCGCGCAATAGCTGACGCAGTGCAGTAGGATTTGATGTGGTTGCTCTCACTCACACCTTTTCAGGAAAGCTGCCCTCCGACCTGGTATGTATGATATGCGCGACTCATGTATTACTGCTGTTCATTCTATATTTCCCCTCGGGCGAAACAAGAGCTGCTTCACTTGCGCCGTCTTTCGCATCACGGCTGCTGATCAGTCTGTAGAACTCGCCCGTCACCGGCCCACTCCCCTTCCCCAAACCACCCAACCTGCGTATTCTGCGACGATGCAACATCTTCCTGACCGATGCCGCTTCGAACTTCCGCATACCCCAGCTGCAACAGCTCTACGATCTGGTCGCTGCCCGTCCGACCGATGAGCGCACACTGCAGCAGGCATGTCAGAGCCTCGATGTCGATATAATATCACTGGACTTGACCCGTAAGATGGAGAAGCACTTCAAATTTCCAATGTTGGGTATGGCAATAGCACGTGGTATCAAGATTGAGTTATGCTACAGCCAAGGAATACTCTCCACGGATCCCATGGCGAAACGCAATCTGATCAGCAATGCGACGCAGCTCATACGAGTCACACGAGGACGAGGCCTGATCTTCAGTTCAGACGCTAGGAATGTACTGGGCATCCGCGCACCGAGCGACATCATCAACCTGGCTTCTGTATGGGGCTTGGGCACTGAGAAGGGCAAGGACGGCCTCACGAAAGAGCCGCGAAGTGTGGTAGAGTTCGCACGGCTCAAGCGACAGAGCTACAAGGGCGTTGTCGATATCGTCTATGGTGGTGAGAAGCCAGTACATGTAGAGAAAGAGAAGGCGACACAAAAGGGCAAGGGGGTGCCGACCACGAACCAGAATGGCAAGCGGCCAGGAGGTAGCTTAGAAGGAAACCCGCTTGAGACCAAGGCTCCGATTTCGAAAAGCCAGCAGAAAAAGATGAAAAAGGCCAAAGCGAACGCCGGATCGGACGAGCATCCTAACGCAGCTACGACCGAATCGCTTCCATATTAGCAATGTATCAAAGCCATGATGGAAGCACTTTTCAGATGAGAAGCATCAGAACAGCCGCACTTGACACTCGAATTTTGTCTTCTATTTGCCCGCATCACACTAAGTCTCGGGACGAAGACTATATTGTCTGTCGAATCCCATTTTCTGGAATGAACACAACCTGCAACTCCGCTTTGCCAGATAGTTTCCTGAGCGCATTACGGAGCTGCAGCCTTCTGAACGGAAAAGCGAAATTGACACGCTCGAGACCACCCAAGTGCTTGAGCGGACGGATGTTTTTATATAACGGCCACGCGGGTGTCTCAAGTCGGATAGTCTTGATCATCATTCGCTGCCTAGGCTTGATTCCCGATAGGATCTTCACCATAACAGACCAGTTGATGAAGTACAGCTCTGAATTCTCGTAGAAGAGGTGTCCGGCCTCAGCACGAACCTGGCGACATGCGGCGGTGGAGTTGACGAGGGCGTCTGCATTGAAAGGCAACGAGTCCCAAGATCCCTGTTCATATACTGGCCACTGTCCTCCTCTGTCGTAACGAATATGGATTATGATGCAGTCGAACACATATCCGTAAATGTGGTTGCGAAGTTCTGCAGGTAGGCGGAGCAGCGGGGAGTCTTTCTGGTTGCGGAGGGTGCTTCAATCAATATCAGCTTCATTCGAACGTGTGAGGCGTAAGAGATGATTTTTACATGGCCGCCGCCTCATCGTTCGAGAGACCTTTGGAAGACATCGCCTGTGCCGCTATCCACCTTAATCGTCGGTGCCAAACAAGTATCTGGAGGTGCTTTCTGAACCGCAAATGTGCGGGGTTTCAAGGTTGCCTAAGTGAGAACGGGGTTTTGTAGACTAGCGACTGCCTGGATATTGCCAGCAGCCCTGTGATACCACTACACGTAGGAACATCAAAATGAAGGCGCGACCGGGTGTCACGTGCGCCTGAGCCTGTGCACTCATCCACTCACCTAGCCCGCACCCCGCGTACTTGATATTTACTCTACTAGCCTGTAGGACCACCGAGCAACCCTGCTCCGCCTCAAAGCGTTCAACTCCTCACTATCGACCTTACAAGTTCCTATCACCATCAACACGCGCTTCCTTTTGTAAGCCTCGAAGATGCAGGACGCGAAGAACGCAACGACCTCCGAGGTCCATGATACAGACAGGTTCTTGCTTGAAGTAGACGAAGTGTGAGCATAAAACGGCATCACCTATTCGAAAGTCGGCTAATGATAAATTTAGCTCTCTTGAGAACCAGAAGACGTCACCGCTCCTTCGCCTTCCAGCAGAGATCCGGAATGCCATTTACGCCTACGTTCTTCAAGGCCATCGAGTGTGTCTCGACAGTTCGCCAAAGCCTTTTGTCGGAACAGACAACAAGAAAGGGCAAGTCGAAAACCTCCTCAGCATAACCAAGACCTGTCGGCAGACCTACTCCGAATCTGCGCTCATGTTCTTCGGTCTCAATGACTTTGGGGGAGCGAACGTAATGGGCGGGTGGAATCGAAAACAGCCTCTGTTCGAAAAGCTGAAGGAGCCACAGCTCAAAGCCATCAAGTACTGGTGGTGTACCCATTGCCATGTCGATTGTGCGCGCATCGTAAACGCTCCTCTTGATCGCTTGCCAAACGTCCAGAGGTTCACTTTGTTCGTAGATACCACTAATAAGCTTGCCACATCTAGAGCAGGTTTCAAAAACATGGTCGATAAGCTGGCCGGTCGGGACATGGAAGTGGTAATTGAGCTCTTGGAGGACTACGAGTAATGGTGCTCTCGCACGCAACTGCACATCAGACGGGGGCTAACGTTACGACTGATCTGAAAGATCGGCTACAGGATTAAAGAGGAAGTCATGAGGGATGCAGCCTGATTTAATTCGAGGCCGAAAACACACCAGGGTCTTATCTGCGGAATTTTGGCAATACCCACCCTAATAGACTTCATGCTCTAAAACTACACACTCCTCTGACCCTGTTCGACGTCCTTACTCTTTCTATCATCCTCGCTCTCCTCGCTTTCAGTATCGCTCAATAACCCATTCCAAGCTTCATCGTCCGCACTCTCAATCTCCTCCTCTCTTCCAGCATCCTTGTCCACTTTGACGTTGACAAACAGAACCCACAATCCGAGATCGTACGTGACTCTGCATATACCCGAAGCAAGGAAAGCGACCCAGAATGTACCGTTTCCGGAAAGCAATCCGGTGATGGATGGCCCGGCACTCATAGCGAGGGTACGCAGCATGCTCGTGATACCCATGACGCCTGTACGCTCCTCAGACTTCACAACTGCAGCGATGAAGGCGGTGCGAGGGGCTTGGTCCATACTGTTGAGAGAGGCGCGGAAGAGCATGAGGCCAATTGTCCAGCCAACGCTGCTTGGTAATGGGATGAAGGCGCTGGCGATCGAAGAGGGAAGATGTGTGAAGACCATGGTATTGATCAAGCCGATACGCTTGGCGAGTGGTCCGGCGAACACGGCACTGAAAGCGCAAAGGAATTGGGATGCTGAAGTTATGTCTCCGAGCGTAGCCTTGGACAGGTGGAACTTTTGATCAACGTAGTAGTTCATGAGGGAGTAGGGTGTCATTCCGTCGGCTAAGGAGTCGATCGCGAGAAGGATCCAGAGCTTGTACATGATGGAGCGTGTCGACTGCGAGATTTGGCTGAAGTAACTCTGCTTTCTTGGTGGTTGAGCTGGGCTTGCGCTGCGGTGTCCAGCTTCCTCAAAGCCATCGGTGGTGCTAGGTGTCATGGCATCCAGCAACACTTCCTCCTCTTCATCACTACGCCCTCGCTCAGCCATCTCCCTCTTCTCACCAGCAGCCTCACATCTCTCACTCAAACCCAAGCACAGTACAGCTCCAAGCACTCCAAAAGCAGCATACGCCCAAAACAACGCATGAAATGCCTTCGTCGTATTCCCACTCTTCTTCTCCAACGCCTGCACAGTCCGCCCAGCAACTTCCGCACCCACCGCCCCCGCCATCGTCGTCGCCGTCACATACCACGACAGCACATCACTCCTCGTCTTCCCATCCGTCAACCCACTCAAAATACTCTCCTCTACCGCCCTAAACGGCCCACAATCCGCGCCGGTAACACTAATAATCCCAAACACCGCCGCAACCAACAACACCCAGAAACTCTCCGACAGCGCAAACACCACGCCGCTGCCCGCCATCATAACGCTGCCCATGAACAATATCCTCCTCCGGCCCAGTTTGTCAGCTACAAGGGTGAGGAGCAGGGATAGCATGACATCGCCCAGCAGCGTCAGCGTCATGAATATCCCAATCCGCGTGTCCGGGAATTTCAAGCTCGCGAAGAAGAGCGCGAGGATCAGGCTGGGGATTCCGGCTGTAAACATGCGCAGCGAGCGTAGGGTGATGATGATGTAGGCATCCCGGCCGATGGAGTTTAGCGATGTTATGCCCAGGAAATCTGCGGTGCGCGAGAGGATGCGTGGAGGCATGCTTGGGAAATCCCGCCTTAGTGAAAAGGTGGGGATTGAATTGGATACGCAGAGAAAGGTTGGAGAGGAGGAAAAAAAAGAAGAAGAAGAAGAAGTGCAAAAGCTTCGTCTCGAGGTCGTAGTTTACGCGATGCTGAATGGCTAGCGCATGGCCCGGATATAAGCCTGCGAGAGGCCTTTTTCCGTGCTGGTGACTCACTTCCTAGGTTTACTTGCAGTTTACAGGAAAGCTGAATGTGTGGTTGGACGGAAAAGCGATTTCGGGCACACTGCCGATGATACTCCAGGTTTACTGTTGCTATCAAGGTGGGTCGCTGCGCAGCCGAGATACAATAGAGAGGGGACCCCGCAGTGAATGGGGATGAAGCTCGTGCGGCGGCGTGGGGTTTGGGGTGTCGCGTGCTCATGGAGTTTGGAAGTATGTACGGCACGTTCTAACGATTCACTGGTCACATTGTTGCTGTAAGGCAGATTCTTCAAGCTTCGTCGTTGTGTAAACTCTGGTTGCGAAAAAGATGTCGACGTACATGGGAAGTACCACTACTCTGGGTCATCCTGAACGGTGAAATACTATCCAATGACAGCATCGTGAACGATTACATCTGCAATTTTCTAGGTTTTGTGTCTGGGAGAATGGCGGCTTCATGATTTTGCAATAAACTTACGTAGTCACTCCTCTTCAAGCTGCAAGGCACGAGCACCAAGAGTCAGCGCAGTTATATGTCTTCTATGTATGAAATAAGCATGAAGATTACTCTCCAGTTAAGTTTGAGAAAATTCAATTGCCGCAGTCGGCGCTTGTTTTCTGCATGTACCGATCTGCTTGAGTGAAAACCTCGAGTCAAGTGACTCGAATGCCGAACCAGAACGCATCCACACAAGAATTCTTCTTTGGAGACTACTACTCATCAAGGCGCAATTCTGCAACCTGGTTCATGCGTGATTAAGAAGCATGTCCTTCCTTCTAGAAGTCAGCTGCGACACTAGCAAAAGTTACAGCACTACTTGGCGAACTTTACATGTCCGCACGACACCGGTCCTTTATCAAAGCATATTTCGTGACATTGGTTCTGTGCCAAGCAAAATTCCTAGCAGCCATCCTTCATAGGAAAACATTCTCGCGAAGGAAGACATGGCAATCCTCAATCCCACTAACCTTATTTTCAGCACATGCAATTCTTCTCATCTCAAGGGCCGGTTAACCGCACTACTCTAGTGGAGCAATGCCCGAAGAGGAAAGCCAACTTCATCCCGTGCAGTACTTGCCGAGAAACCCACCTTGCGGAGCCTTGCCGCAATTGCATCTACATTCGGATCGCAATTTTTAGAAGCAATTGTTGTGAGGCTCGCAGGACAACTGAAACGAATTTGTTTCTTGCAGAATGTTCGCCGATCGCCAGGCCGCTGAAGGACAAAGCGTCCCTCTGATGTCATTTCAACGTCTGCCAATGTCGTCAACTGGTCCCTTCCGCCGCGAAGCTTGAGCGAACCGAACCGACCAGGCCGTTCGCGACCTCAACCGCGGCTTTCTACCGAAGATGCGAATCCACAACTACGATGCGAGAGAGATGCTAGTTCCCGCCAGTCGCGCTCGCGTTGTCTCAACACAACTGGAAATGCCTCCCACGACGGCATTGCGTCATTGTCCAGGTTGGCGCTGTGGAGCCTGGAGAATCAAGGAGCGTCTGAACAAAGCCGTACGGATGGCGCCAGAGTGCTCTAACACTACGAGTTCAGAGATGTCGTAGCGAAGAGCAAGAAACATGACTTCGTGAGTAAGACTTTGCTGCTGGTGGTTGCCGGCGCACAAACGTCAATAGGGGACGTGATAGCGAATGTTCCTGGAATCAAACTGTCAGCGCCACTGCCCAGGAAAGATCATGGCGTTCGCACAACGACAAGACGACATCTGTGGCTCCGAGCACGCCATTAGCAGTGTGCCGGCTTCGATTGGATGCTAACCTGGCCGTGTCAGCGACCATCACATCCTTTACGCACCAACCCTGCCAGCGCCCGAGTATCCCTGCACACTTATCCAAACTCATCTCAAATCGTCGCGCCGAGCAGCGTCACCATCGTTGGCCCTCTAACAGACCCATTATTGTCCGGCGAATACAGAGTTATGTCATCCGTCAAACTCTTGCGCTGCTTGTGTGATTTCAATTGTCTTCGCTCAGGATGCTCGTGCCTACCTCCCATGTTCTGCCGTTTTTACTTCAGGCACCACTGGCACTGTTAAATTTGCAAGTCTGAATTCGCGTTGTTGGTCCCGTGTGTCTGGTTCTTTGCTTTTGAGAGCACCCGGTCACGCAATTTCGCCGCCAGGTCAAGCAATTCGAAGGCGTCGTCAAAGCTATTGACCTTTCCGGATTCTGCACCCATCAAGCGCGGCGGCCGTCTTAATACCGCACACCCAGGAAGTCGATCCCAAGCCGAGACACTTGAAGGACCTATAGCCGTTGGACCTGTGGCCCAGGATACACAAGGTTATCGGACTAGTCGCACAGCATTGTGCGCCCACCCATCTGGTCAGCGCTATACATAAGCTTCCAAGGGCCTGGCACGTCTGACACAGTTGCCAAAGCTTGTTCGGTCTTGTCAAGCTTACTTAAGTTGCACACCAATCCAACTGCGAACTCCGACGATCCGAAAGGCTTGAGAAAAAACAACATCGACAGCCACACCATGGCTACTACAGCCACCAAGGTCGGCCATGGCCTTGCAAAGGTCCTTGGTATCGACCTGCACTACCGCAACGAGACTGGATCGGACCGTATCACACGAGGAGAGAGCGTTTTCTCTATCGACTCTGCCGACTCGTATGTCGAACATGAGCCTACTGCGTGGGAATGGATATGCCACATCACACCGAGCGGTCGCGAATGGCTTGAGTATTTCTGGAGTCTATTCCCGTTCGTCCACTGGATATCGCGGTACAATTTGCAGTGGCTTACAGGAGATCTTGTGGCTGGTAAGTCTGTTTATTTTTCAACTCTGGAGCTTGTACTAAAGTATCCAGGTATCACTGTCGGTGCCGTGGTCGTCCCTCAAAGTATGGCTTACGCCAAACTGGCTCAGCTCCCTGTCGAATTTGGACTCTACTCATCGTTCATGGGTGTGCTGATCTACTGGTTCTTTGCTACCTCGAAGGATATCACCATCGGCCCTGTTGCGGTCCTTTCAACTGTCACTGGAAATGTGATTTTGAGGGCCGAGGAAAGGCTACCCGGTGTCCCAAGAGATATTGTTGCATCTTCGCTGGCCATCGTCTCGGGCGCCATCGTCCTATTCCTGGGTTTGATTCGATTGGGCTGGATCGTTGATTTGATTTCCCTACCTGCCATATCTGCATTCATGACCGGATCCGCAATCAACATTGGAGTCGGCCAGTTTCCCGCTTTAATGGGCATAAAAAATGTCTCGAACCGAGAGGCAACCTACAAGGTTATCATCAACTCACTTAAGCACCTAGGCTCAACAGACATCAATGCTTCATTTGGATTGACAGCCCTCTTCCTTTTGTACTTGATCCGGTTTACCTGCAATCAGCTTGCAAAACGCTTCCCAAGCCGGGCGAAGACTTTTTTCTTCCTTAACACTCTGCGAACGGCCTTTGTCATTCTACTCTACGTTCTATTCAGTTATCTGGCCAACCGTCACCACAAGGCCAATGGAACAAAGCCAAAGATTACCACTCTCGGGTCTGTGCCACGAGGTAAGTTTTACTAGCCCTGTAAACTCTTTACATTGCTAACAGCTATCAGGATTCAAGCATGCTCGCGTACCCAATATCACAGTCGACATCATAAAGTCTTTCGCGACTGAGCTTCCATCTACCGTCATCGTTCTCCTCATCGAGCATATTTCCATCGCAAAATCTTTCGGAAGAGTCAACAACTATGTGATCAATCCCTCACAGGAGCTTGTCGCCATTGGCGTGACGAACTGTCTTGGTCCATTCCTTGGAGCTTACCCAGCGACCGGATCCTTCTCTAGAACGGCAATCAAGTCGAAGGCTGGTGTGCGAACTCCCTTTGCCGGTGTCATTACAGCCCTTGTGGTCCTTCTCGCGATTTACGCTCTCCCGGCCATGTTTTGGTACATACCTAACGCCGCTCTATCCGCTGTGATTATCCACGCTGTGGGTGACCTAATTACGCCACCAAACACGGTATACCAATTCTGGAGGATTTCTCCTCTTGAGGTCTTCATCTTCTTCGCCGGTGTTTTGGTTACTATATTTAGCAGCATCGAGAACGGCATCTACGTGACGGTCTCTGTATCCGCAGCGCTGTTCGGATTCCGCGCATTCAAGGCCAAAGGTCGATTCATGGGACGAGCTACGATCCACTCAGTTGTCGGAGACCATATTCTCGAGCGAACCGACAGCAACAAAGAGGACCGAAAAGAGCCCGGCTCTGGCAAGACTCCCCAACAGCCCGAGGACTCCATCCGCAACATATTCCTTCCCATCGACCATCACGACGGCTCCAACCCGCTGATCGAACTAGAGGACCCCTATCCCGGCATCTTCATCTACAGATTCAGCGAAGGCTTCAACTACCCCAACGCCAACCACTACCTCGACGGCCTCACCGAAGCCATCTTCAAAAAGACCCGCCGCACAAACCCCACCGCCTACGCACGCCCCGGTGACCGCCCGTGGAACGACCCGGGCCCGCGCCGCGGCAAGGAAACCGCCGACCACGAGGCCCGCCCGACGCTCAAGGCTATCATCCTTGATATGTCGTCTGTCAACAACGTCGACCTCACGTCCATCCAGAACCTGATTGATGTCCGCAACCAGCTGGATAAGTGGGCCGCCCCGGATACCGTCGATTGGCACTTTACGAACATTAATAACCGCTGGACAAAACGCGCCCTCGCCGCCGCTGGGTTTGGATACTACTCCCCCGACCCCGACGACTCAGGCGTGCACCGCTGGAAACCCATCTTCAGCGTCGCAGAACTCGGCGGCGAAGACAGCGCAGCGGCTGCCGCAGAAGCGCGGGAGAACAAGCGCTTAAGACAGCGCAGTGCGGCGGGGCATGATATCGAGGCCGCGGAGGGTGTTAAGGCTGTGGAGGAGGGCGATGGATCGAGCGAGGACGGGAGTCTGGATAGGAAACTGGCGTTTAGTGAGGCGTATGGCGGCAGGGAGGGCAAGAGGGTGTCGCGCAAGGCGGTGGTTCAAGGGCTGAATCGCCCGCTGTTTCACGTGGATGTTACTGCGGCGTTGGATAGTGCGTTGGCGAATGCGCAGAGGAAGAGTCATTAGAAGTTTCGGTGTGGATATATGAGCTGCGAGTGCGGCGAGTTTCGTTTTGTTCAAACATGAGTTCAGAAATTTTGCACAGGTGTGTTGGTATGTGAATACTGGATAGTGATTGATAGTCACGGTAAGATTTGGTAAGTTTACCGTAAAGGCTTCATTTTCCACCCGAATAAACCATGCTCATGCTGTACTCAAGCGTCCTTTTTATGTCCCGGGTATATACATTCTCCGCCCACCCCAACCATCCCCCCCACGCATCCATCGAAGTTGAGAAACCCCAGCCCAAAGGCCAAACGCCCATATCCCATATCCCATATCCCATGCTATGCAAAGTAGAACACAAGGAAAAGCCCGCCCTGTCATCCCGTTCTCAGATTCCGAGTCCAGCTCATCCTAACCCTGCGACCAACACTCCTCCATCGCCTCCGCTCCCTAAGCAACAAACGCACTTGGCGGCAGCGTCGCCCTGCTCTGCGTGAACAAATCGCTTGCCTGCTGGAGATCCCAATTGCCCGCCTCGAGACACTGGACCGCATAATCGCGCGTGAGATTTGTGGCTTGCTGGACGTAAAGAATCATTTGCTCCTGCTCGGGGCTAATCGGCGCAGGCGCAGCACAGAACGCCGGAGCCGCCGCCGCCGCAGCAACCGGCGGCTGTACCTGTTGTTGTTGCGGCACACCAGAATCAGGCCTTACCTGCTTCCCATTGAGGATCTTGAGCCTGGGGAACCAATCCGTAAGCTCCTCCTCCCAGTTCATATCGGGCAGGGGGTCCACAATAAGATGCTCCAGACTCTTGAAGCGATTCTTCCAGGGCTTGAGGGGCGCCAAGTTGGCAAATGCGTTTCCCGAGAGGTCCAGGTTCTTGATGTGATTGAGCGACTTGACGAGTTCGTAGATGACGTTGAGATTGGGCACGTTGTTGTTCGCCAGCGAGACGCTCTCGATGGCTTGGATCTTCTGCTCGCGCGACGGCAGCATCGTGTCGCAGACGACCATGAGCGCGGGGAAGAATTTCTTCTGCGTCGTTTCGCTGTTGAACATGCCGGACTTGAGGACTTCTTCGTCGGAAGCGATGCTCGAGAGGTCCAGCAGTTTGGTGTCCGGATTGTACCGGCGCCCAAGGAAGCCTTCGAGCAGGGCGACGGTTTCTGAACGGTTTTTGTCGCGCTCGTCATATCCGGGTTGATGCTGCTGTTGCGAATGGTGCTGGTTTTGCTGGAATGGTTGGCCGCGTCCTCGTCCTCGACCTCGGCCTCGACCACGTGAGTTGAAGTTGCCCTCGTCACCGTCATGGTAATGGTTGTTGTTGTTGTTGTTGTAGTTGTTGTAATGTTGCTGGTTGTTCTGGAAGTGGTTGCCTCCCCGGCCGCGGCCACGCGGTTGAAACTCGCGCGAGTCGCCCATGGCCAAATCGCCGTCTGACTGTTGCTGCTGGAAGAAGTTTCCGCCGCCCCGACCCCGGCCTCGGCCACGCCCGCGTCCTCGAGGTGTAGACATTTCAGTCGGCAAGTTGTAAATGTAATTTATGAGTAATGAATGAATGTGAGGAGTTGTTGTGAGAGTGTGCAGGTTGTCGCGAGAAAAGTTTGAGTTTGTGAGGTGAGGCAGAAGTGGAGGGTAGCTTTAGGTTATGAGAGCGTGCTAATGGCCCGTGCGTTCACCAAGCCACAATTGGATCACAGTGATTGTGGTATAGTCTGGCTATTGGGTGAATCCACAACGAACTTTGTACACGGACTAACGTTCACCACGGAAATGATAAAGAGCAAAAGTGCACGTGATGAAACAGTTCCATATTTTTCAGATATTCTTGACGTAGATACTACAAGTTGGCATGCCTAAGCACAGCCCCATCTGCTCCTCTCCTCTCCTCTCCATTCCACTATCCCTCATAAGTCTAATCCTCGTCTGGAACCATGAACCCATCCTAACGCCAGGCTGCTTGCCGAATCCGTAAATGCAAACGATATGTAACAATGTCAGTTCACTATGCGACGTTCGTCTACTGGGAGTGGATCTTCTTGATCTTGTTGACGCCCTCGTACAGTGCGCGATCAACAGCAGCCGCAACAGTGAGCGTGCCGCCAATCACAGCGCACAAACCAACGAGGAAGCCCGAGAAAGTCTTGTCACGGACTTCGCGGTTGATGACCTTCATCGGTGAGATGTCCTGGACACATGTTAGTTTACCATATCTCTCGGTTGGGTTGAATGGGTGAGGATAGCTTACATAAGAGAAAAAGACACCCGGAATTCCACCCTTGGCGTGGATGCGCTCCTTGTGGCCCTCTTTCTCATCGTTCCCACCGGCAAGACTCCTCTTGTGGCTGGTGACAGAGTACTGGTGGGTCTCAATGCTGCCCTTGTAGTTGCCTTCGATGGTCGAACCAAGGAGCTCGTCGTGCTTAGTAAGGCGAGGGGCCTCCTTCTCCCAGCCAAGGGGCAGGTAGGCAGTCGACACGACCTTGACGAAGTACATGAAGTTGTAGGCCTTCTCGCTCGTCTGTTGCTCGGTATTATCGAGAGGGTTGATATGGTGGCTAGTCCATCCTCCCGGGCCGGTGTTCTGGTGCTTCTTCTGCATGTCTGCAATGACCGCGTTGCTCAATTGAGGACCGAAGCGCAAGTGGTGGATCTTGTGGGTGAACGTGTGCGAATATTCGTCCTTGAAGTAGTTCTCGAGGTCGTGCACGTGCATGTTGCCAGTAGAGAACGACTTTCCAGGCGCAATGTGGAAGTTTCCAACGACCTTGTTGACGCGAATGCTGCCCTCGAGACGGCATCCCTCCTGTCGCTGTTGGTCGAGGTGCTCGGCGTAGTGTTCACGCTCACACTGCTCGACACCCTCGCCGCGACCAAAAGACCATGATATCGAAGCGTATGCGTCGCGGACCTCGTCGCAAGTGTTACAGCAGCCGGCCTTGATCGCATTGGTGGGAGACGGTGCGCCGTAGCATTCTCCGCAGTAATCGGGGGCGAGATGTTGCGCCTCGTCCTTGTGCCTATGAACACGTTAGCATGGTTCACACCCCTGGCGTTGCCTAAGACAAAACAATGGTCACACTCACAGATCCAGCGCCGTGGTCGAAAGAACGGTGCTACCCTCAATCTCAGGACTCAAGCGGACCTTGTTGATGCCGTGCGTGACGCCCATCTGCAGCTGCTCCAGACACATCCATGACATCGAGCGTGATCAGCTCGCAAGGGACCCGCGGGAACGTTATGTTCAAGCTGATCTCCATGCGCTCGCCTCTGCCCTTATCGACCACCAACTCCGGCCGCACTATCACTCGTCTGTAGTCTGCCCATTCTCCCCAAGTCAAGTAGAAGATGACCAACAAGCTCACTATTGTGACGATACCGCCGGATGTGGTGCGCACGCGCGCATCTTCGACTGTTTTGGTGAATGGCGTCGAGCCTGTTGAAACGGGACTTGGCCTGGCATTGTGGAGGGCTACCGCTGCAGGGTAGTTGAGGCGAAGAGATAATTGAGTGGTTCGAAGAGATAGTAAAGGTCGAGAGGCTCTCGTGGTGCAGATGAGTCTCAGTGCGACAGCGGGGAAAGCGTGTGCTGCGAAAGTGTGGTTCGGCACCTGTAGAGCTCCGAGTTCTGGGCTTGCCAATTGCGTTTGCAGTGGTTGTTTTGCTAGAACGCGTGTAGTGAAGGAATGTATAGCACCCCTTGTGCTAGACCCGCAATATCATTGTACAAGAGAAGTGAAATAAGGTGAGCAAGACGGCGCGTGGGCGTTGCGACACTCGGCTGTAAAGGACAGCTATGCGATGGAACACTAGCTCCAGAACCCGGGATCGTGCATGAGCTAGCCCTAATGCGCCGCACGTGGCGCCGAGTTAAGTAGGGCTCAGGGCTGCAGCACTTGTCCAACGTCGAGAACGATCCAAGAATGCATTAAAGTAGTATTGATCGGCCTTCGTCCTATTCTTAAGAGTATCTTAGGTTACCCTCCATGAGCTCTGTCGTCTCGCATTCGTATCCCACCCGTGGTATCTATCTCCTGCCAAACACGGCCCTCTATCGAGCAAGAACACCTCTCAGCATGCTAACGAAGCTCGGGCTAAGCTTGTACAACTCCTCGATCTGCGGCTTCTTCGGCTCTCCAGCCTTTCGCCTGAGCTTCTCGGCTGTTGCTGCGCGCTTCTTGCGCTCGGCCTCTATAGGGTCTGCAATGTCTTCGTCGTCGTCTTCCTCAGGCTCGGAATCTGTAGCATCATCGTCGAGCTCGAGATCGGCAAGGTCAAGCTATGAAACTGTTAGCAAACAGTCCGCAAAAGGACGTTGTTCAAACATACCTCGTTCAGTCCAAAGTCACTAGACTTGAATCCAGCCATGCCGCCGCCCAACAAGCCATCGGGTTCGTCGCCTCCACTGGCCATCTTCTGCCTTGTCTTGTCCGAGTGCCACTTTTTCCTCGCTGTCTGCCACTTGATGAGACTGTTGATCTCCCTGGTGGCCTTGTTCTTGTCAATCACACCAGAATCCATCGCACCCTGAACCAGCGCATTCATGTCAAGCTTGCCACCGCTAGTGGGGCCATGTCTCAAGAATTCGAGGATACCTTCAAGCCAGCCCATGAGTTGGTCGAAAAGCCCATTGTCGTGGAGGTGCACTTCGTGAACGAACTTGTAGAAATTATCTTCGTGTCGCGCGCACAGATCGATGAATGCTTGCACTGTCTGGTTGGGGTCTGCGGAAATCTCTTGACGCTGACAGGCTTCGATAGTCTTAATGGTGTCATCAACGAACATCGCAAAGTCAGTTATACTGTTGTACACGTTTGCCGACTTGTACACGCGGACGAGTGGCTCGTAGAAGATTGTGAATAAATCACGGAAGAGCTGCAGCGTAGTAGGCTGATTTCATGTTAGCACCAACCTCAATATGAACAATAAATAATGTGCTTACCTCTTCGATGATTTGAAGCATCATCATCTTGTCTCTCTGTCGGAGACACAGCTTGAGGTATTGCTTCAGATGTGCGAACAGTTCAGCGCCTTGTTTGAACTCTTTATCAACTGGAGCGTTGCCAACTGCACCCGTTGTTAGGTTGCTACGACTGCTGGTCATTCGGCTCAATCGGCCAGGCCTTGTGTTTTCTACCGCGTTATTCCACGCGACGTAGGCATTAAAGACCTTCTCCACTTGCTGCGAACTCAGCTCAGGCTCAAAGAAGTCAGATCGGAGGATCGTGATAACGACGTCAACGTCCTCCTTTGCTGCCTCCTGTCGTATGACGTCCTTGACCTGCTCGTCCGCCTGCACGTAAGCCTTGATCTTCGCGCAAAGAACATCATCCTTGATCTTGGTAGAAGACAGGGTGTCGATAGATTTTTGTACCGAGTTGACGCCGTCATGAATAGCCATGCCAAAGATTCGTTGCAGCAGTGACCGCGCTCCGAATGGCTGTGCAAGGAAGAGATCCAGTACTCCACTCATGACAGCCGCTGGGTTGGCTATCCTGATGACGTTTTTGAGCACACCATACGGTACAAGCGAGTGTATTCGCTTCAATTGCGCGAAGAGCTCAGGGGAATTATCCTCTGCAAGGAAGAGGTGGTATATTGTGGCAGCAATTTCTATGCGTAACCATTCCGCAAACTTTTGGTATTCAGGCTTGAGTTCCCGGATGGTGTTCTTGGCCTTGACTTCTGCGAAGAGATTGGTGAGACCGTTGGCTTCGACAATTTCGCGTCTGAACTTCTCCATGTGTATGTCAAGCTCTGCAGCCCGTTGCCTTGCAACTTCGTAGAACTGCTTTTGCTCTTGTATCCGCTTGGCATCCATTTCTTCTCTTCGTGCAATATCTTCCATTTCTTCCTCATTCACCTCTATTGGGTCGTGGGTAAGGAATTCCGCCATGGCGTTCGATTGCGCGATGCGTTCATTGTGAAGGAAGTTGCGCAGAAAGGCGCGAAGCGACACACGCTGCTCCTCTCTATACAGCTTACGTGCCTGCTTGAAAGGCGAGTGCTCTCCAGATGCTCGTGGAGATCTTGATTTCCCTCCTAGTGAAGACTGTGAGGCGTTCCTCTTGTGACTTCCACCAAACAAGTAGCTTCGTAGACCTCCTCCACTGCTGCTCTCTTGGGGTTCTGATGGTGGCGGCCCTTGAGTGGAAGCTGATGAGATTGAGCTTGCGTCGTCATCATCTGCGTTTGAAGACGACAACAAACCATCCTTCTTGTTCTTCCGAGGAAGTGGAGGGAGCACCTTGCCGGGTAACTCTAGACGTATGCGCTTGTGAAGCTGAACGAAGTCTGCGTAGCGCCGGCCGATGTAGAAGTCTTTGCCATCTCCCTGTTTCACGCGGATAATGTACTCCTGCACGCATGTCAGTCCAAACGTAGGCGAACTGATGCTTCAAGCATACCGCATGTGTGTGGTATCGCAGATGCTTCTTCACTGACGTTGTCCGCACCCCCGAGATGTTGACGTCCCAGCCGTTGATGGAGTGCCCGCTGGGCGCATTCATCGTAAGCCCTCTCTCATTTGCCCCTCGGTCCACAATCTCCATCTCTGCAAAGCGTATCCTTTCCTCATAACCAGATGCAGTGGGGACACCAGATACCATCATGAGCTCCACCAGTTTATGCGCCTTGAGCGCCAGCTTTCGTCGCTTCGTCTCCTCTAGCCGGTCTTCGGACGATGAAATGTCTTTGCTCGCGAAGGACTCGAGGAACTGCTCAACGTCAGTCATCACCATCTTCACCAAGACCGCGATCCGAGCAACATACGACTTGGAGCTTGTCTTGCCAAAACTCCTTCTCCTTGGCTTTGTCCAGGAAAGGAAAGTTTCGGACATGATGTACGAAGATGTATCGTAGGAGGGGCAGCTCAGAGTCCTCAGGCGCAACTTCCCCCGCATCTGAACGAAAAGGCGCGCCAAAGCGTTGCAGAGCTGTTGGCGTGTTGAGCTCGGATATCTCGTACTTGGTCTGCTGTGATATGAGTTCGCGCTTGAGGTCTGACGCGTCCGTTAGCACTCCTCGCCATGCGTGGGGTTACTGCTGTGCATACAGTGCTCTTGCTTGCCGGTCAAGATGGATCCCTCCGGTGGCACCGACATCATGGAATACTTGGAGTAGGTAGTGTCAGCCCGCGCGGGCGTCGGTCTCTCAGCGCTCGGTGCAACAGCTTCGTCAACACGCGGGACTGTGGATTCGGTCGCCATGGTGGTGGGCTCTGTAGCTCCGTTGAGCTTGATGGAAGGTGGGGTATCTACGGACATTGGTGTGTGTATGTATTACTAGGAGAGAAAAGCGCAAACTGAAAGACGAAAAGAACAGAAGCCGTAGGGTGCAAGGAGTAATGCAGGAGTTTGCGACACGGACCCTGGCAAGAGTAAGGTCGACGCGTGTTGTATGACGAGCCTTGTCGTGTGGCTGCTGCTACTGAGGCTGAACCGCACTTGGGTGCCGAGACGCCGCGGGGACAAGGAAGACGCGGCTCTGAAGGGGTTCCTTGAGTAGACAAGGCGGGATGTCTCGAGGCCTGTTCGGACCCGGCGTATACAGAACCTGTCAGCAATGAAGCCAGAGCGGGCGCATCCAGAGATGCAGCCACACGTTTGTGACGCAACCGCCGCATGGCGCAGTCGCCGTAGCAAATGACAGCGTCCACTACTGGCTCCACAAGAACACCGCGAGCGACCGCACGCGCCCCCAAAGGGAATCACGGCATGCTTGCACCCTTGGCGAAGACGACCTGTCAATATTTACGTACCAGGACTACCCTCTGGCTTGCCGTGTTGTGCTGAACTGCCCGTGTCTCAACCCTGTTTGCTTTCAGCCCCGCCATGGAAGGCCGGTCCTCGGCTTCGACGTGTGCAACACCACATTCTCAATACCAAGGCCATCTCGAGAAACTGCTCCATCTTGGCACGTACAAACTTTACCTTCGGTGCCCCGTCCTAAACCATCACTGAGGGCATAGCTTACTCCAGTTGCGGTGGAGCTCACTTCTCAAGGGTGTCCTGTCACTACCGCTTGTCGGCACCGAGCATATATCACGGTGCAATGAGGCCTGCTAAGCTTTGATGCAGAATTTTCTCTTTTCTTCCTCATTAATTCTGGCCACCTACAAGCTGTCGAGATAGTTTTGAAGATGCCAGATATGTCAGACCCTTGAAAACGCCTCCCAGAGCAAACAGAGACAGTCTTACACGCAAGGAAATATGCCTACCCTAACGCCATCCATGTAACCTGACCCGCACAGTCTTTGGTACAGTCGCACCGGAAGCTATACCCGGCGAGAATTATCTTAGTATGTGTTGTACAGTGCTCAGTAGTTGAGCTCTCCACCTCCGCCTCCGCCTACTGCGTCCAGATCTTCGTAGCTCTTGATCGAGCGACCCTGTGTTGACTGAACAGGACCAGGTCCACCGTCACCGAAACGTTGAACCCCTGGTCGTCCACCACGCGGGGGAGGTGTGAGACGGCCATTAGCACCGTTAGGTCGGTTGCGACCGTCTCGGTTCTGCCTGTCGTAAGGGCCAGTTCGGTTGTTGTTGAAGCGACCGCCGCCTCGTCGCATGGGTCCGGCCTGGCGATCATCATGGACAGCGTTGGGGTCCCAGTTGCCCATGGCAGGATTGAACATGCCATTCTGCATGCCGTTGCCTGGCATGCCCATGTTCATGCTGGCCAGGTTGAATCCGCGCGGTGTGCCGGTGGCCTGTACGTGGTTGCCCATGGGGAAGTGGCCATTACTATTGGCATCGCTGCGGGATGGAGCAATGTGTGCTGGGTCAACGACGTACGCGTTCACAAGCCGGAGCTATTGTTTGTTAGTATTCTGGTTTGCGGGTGTTGGTGAGCAAGAATACTTACATCTTTCTCAAGCTTCTCCAGCCATTCCGGATGACGTTTCTCGACATGCTTGCGCCAGAAGTGCTGGCCCTTGAAAAGCTTGGTGCATTCTGGTACTTTGCAACGCCACTTTGACTCATCCTCCTGCTTGACGTAGCGCGCCATCTCATCTTCCATAGCTTCCTCAAGAGGCTTACCGCCCAACTTGCGGATGTCGACATTCTCCGGTTCAAGTAATTGCAGAAGCTTCTCCTCGTAGGTCTTGACCCAGTTGTACGCACGTTGAAGCTGTTGTTGATTTTTGCCACTCATCTTGAGCGGCTTCCGCTCTTCGATGGGGCTATCTCCGTTGGCCTCGGCATCGCCTTGGCCCTCTTGCTTGCGGTACGGGAAGGCTTCACCGTTGGCGGTAGCCCTGGCCGTGGCCTTTGCAGCCGTCGTCAAGCTGGCGCGGGGCCGTCGAAGATGTCCACCAGCACACTTGCGAATCAACTCGTGGACGGAGTCGCTCTCGAACACGCAGAAAAAGCAGAAGTTGTAAACTCGGCGCAAGTACTCAATCAAAAGATCAAGCTTCTTTTTCTTCACCAAGAGCTCTTCATCATCGACCTCGTCATCGAAAGCGCCTTCATCGTCCTCCATGACTTCGTCTTCGCCCTCTTCAAGATCCTCTGGGTCTCGTTCTTTCTTGACTGGTGCAGGCGCATTGGCTGGTGGCTGAAGCCAGCCCTTAGATCGGATGTCTTCAACGCGCTGCTCAATCTTGGCCACACCATCCACTTCGCCAGACTGCTCTTCGTGGTCGACTTTGAGCTCGCTGTCCAATTTACGGACTAGTCGCTCAGCCAATTCCAGATCACGCTCAATTCGCTCGGGAGCGGAGAACAGATCCCACAGTGCCTTCTTGCGAGGAGCCGCAGGTGGCTCATGGATACCGACGTGGCATGTAAAGTTTCCACGAACCTCGTCGTTTACAGTCTTGCCGTTGAGAGCTTCGAGTGCTTTCTGGGCCGTGTTTTGTGGAACATCAGGCTTGTCTTCAATTGAGCCTTCCTCTCCTTCTTCATCACGCCCGTCGCCACGGTCGTCGATGACCATAGGCTGCTCATCTCCAGGGTGGAGAATGACCCAACCAATACGATGGCATTTCTTGAGCGGGTTAGGATCGCTCATGCTAAGCCACTTGAAGCCCCCTGGGCCTTCACCTAGGTGTTCCTTGCAGAACTCTTCGACCTTTTCGCGGTTGACTGTGGGCGCGATGGTCTTGATGAGAAGTGTAGGCTGGAAGGCAGACTCGTCTCTGATCTCACCGCCCTTACAGGGCAACAGATCACCCACGCCCAATACTTCATTGGCTGCAGTAGTCTCGCCCTCCTCTTTCTCGACGATGCCGCCTGCGCCGTTAGAGTCGTTCTCGTAGATGCCTTCGAGCGTGAATTCATCAAAGTAACCTTCGTCGAGTTGACGCTCCCAGTCAGCGTAGATGCCATGACGGTATTCCTTCAGCTTCTGCTTGAAAGCCTGGTCATACTCGGGGTCGTAACGTTCTTTGAACCATTCCTCGGCCTTGTGCTTGTCCACGAAGGTCTTGGCCATCTGCACTTGTAGCTTCTCCTTGTATTCGTCATATGCGGCTTGAATCTGTTCACGCTCCTTGCCTCGCTCCTCACGAGCTTCGCGCTCGCCTTTTAGTACAGGCTTTCGGCCGCCATTCTTCGCGCGCTCCTTCTCGTCCTTGATGACCTGCTCAACACGCCACCACTCCGCGAAGAAGTTGAAGCCCACCTGGTATTCGAGGGACATTGGATTAGGGATCGGGTTCGTGGTGAAGGTTGGGGTGAAGTTGTCTTGGCCCGGGACGTAGCGATCGATGCCAGCCTGAACAGGTGGAGGGGAAGAGCGCCTTTGGTTTCCATCGCGACGGGGAGGGGGGAGATCGTAGTCGCGCGCGCGATCAGGTTGATAACGGTCGATGTTCTGGGGCGATCGCGAGCGCCGTCTGACTCGACGGTCGCCGGAACCTTTGACAGCAAATGTTAGGCTATAATACATAGTAGACGGATTTTCCAGAGTCAGAAGTAAGAGTAGGATGAGGCTGGGTGCGAGTGCGAGAGGGTTTGTGGGAAGGCAGTGGAGCTAGCGTGGGACGCTGATGTCTGAGTCGATGGCCCAGGTGAAGGAGCGCGTCCAACCTCACTGAACGTGTATCACAAAAGTTTGCAGCATTGCTCAAGTGCTAGTCTTGGTAGGCAACATGGATAACTTACCTGGCGAGCGCCGTCTGTAGGCTTCCGGTGGTGGTCTCGAATCCTCCCGAGTAGCACTGAGAGACATTAGTGTCGGCTTGATATTCGGTGTAGTCGGAATCGTACGTGTATGAGTCCATGATCGCAGAAGTCTACACTAGGAAGACAGTGGGTTGTATCGTCGACTTTGACAGCTAATGGATAGGTCAAGGCCGGTGTAGCTCAGGGGAGTCGAGTCGGCGCAGTGAATCGATCGCTGGCGCGATGCGCGGTGTGCTTGCTCTTGCTTTATCGCAATCTCGCCGGGAGATGATTATGCGCGCAAAGACAGACAATTATGGTAGTAGCTGTTTGCCATGATGGCCTCGTGTCAGAGAGAGGACAAATAAGTAACAAGAGACGCGGAACAGAACTAGTAGAGACAAGAGTGCAGACGAAGTAGAGTGGAACAAGAAGGTGGCAGCGTTCGACGCGATTGAGCGCATGCGAGCCGCGCCGGGAGAAGAGAAGCGTGGAGAGGCATGGTAGCTGGGAAGGTAGGCAGTGCGCTGGGTCGCGCGGACAAAGCTTGGGAGCTTCAAGAGAGCTCTAGAAGAAGGGATGGTTTACCAACAAGAGGCAGCAATGATAATGAGAATCGGCTGCACTTACGATGTGCTGAAGTGTCTCCCCGGCCAAAGATGCGCAGTGGAGATGAGAGATGGTGAAGGGAGGTGAGGTCGCTGTCGCAGCAGCTGCGCCGATGAGACGGCCTAGCGCTGATCAGGAATGGCAGGAACGCGGAGACGGAGCTTCGGCGGAAAGTGGGTCAGAGCGCGTTAGCGCGTTATACTCGTGGTAGGCTAGGATTTGATTGGATGCGCATCTTTAGGTACGCCCGAGGTCAATTGTGCATCGCGAGACATCTGGTTCTTGTAGACGACTTCTTCATCAGTTCCATCCGAATCTCGTCACAGGCCTCCAAACACTCCATACTGCCCACGATGACGTCGTACATACCCTCTTTGACCCTCCCTAGCTTCCTCTTCGCGAACCCCGCTGCAGCGATCCTGCTTCCTGTAGCGTGTGGAACAGCTGTTGGCTTCTCCATCAGTCGTATGACATCTTTTCAAAATTTTGTTGACACTTCCTGACCTTTTTGTAGCAAGCAATACGCAACAGCAATACAGGACACTGAAGCAGCCACCCCTACACCCACCTGGCTACGTTTTTGGACCAGTATGGACCGCACTCTATGCCACAATGGGCTACACTGCCTACCGTGCATGGACTACTGGTGCAACTTCCATCAACCCTGAGACTGTCTCTCTGGCCAAGCAAGGTGCCACCCTCTACAGCATCCAGCTTGCCCTGAACCTGATCTGGACTCCTCTGTATTTTTCCATGGGCCGTCCAATTGCTGCCACTGTCGACATTCTTGCTCTTGGCGGCACTGTCGGTTATCTTGCCTACATCTGGGGCCAGGTTGATCCGGTTTGTGGATGGCTGCTTGCTCCTTACCTGGGTTGGCTCAGCTTTGCTACGTACCTCTGTGCAGGAAGCGGTTATCTAAACAACTGGGACTTCACAACATCTCTCAAGAAGGACTAAAAAAAAAGCCCTCTCACGGGGTGAAAATCACATTTGTTACCAAAGGACAAGAGGCAAGAGAATAGATGAGATGAACAGGTGAACCGTACGGTTCGTGTTCACTTTCATGTAATATGATACTAGCTTAATGCAGTACTCAACTCTTAGTCATGGCATTCAATCGTTCCGCGCCCATGTGACTTTCTCTCGCTGCTGAAGGTGCACTACATATAGGGCGCTACCCAGTGATCGTCTAGCTTCTTTCTCACGTTTGTCACTGTCTCTATTCTCTTACCAACAACCCCGCTCACCCCACAACTATCCCACTCAACCGCGACGTATTGATTCCGATCTCATGCCCTCACGAAGATCATAACTGTTTAAGCGGCGTGCCATACTCAACTATGGCACTCTCAAGCACAGACATGATTTAAGTAAAGTCCCGACAAGCGAGTGAAGTACGCTAACATCTTGTACTGTACATTGCCAACCAAGACCAATCGCCGCTCCTTCGCCTTCCTGGTGAACTACTGAACATGATCTACGGGTACGCACTCGGTGGTTTTCATATCATGAATGGATGCCGGTTTTATTATGCCCTTAAGTCAAGTGAGTGCTGCAGTGTCGACTGCAGAGAAGATCCAGGGGCCAGATGGCATAAAGCCCAACATCTCGCTTCGCTCACTCACGTCTGTCGGCAGAGCCTTCTTCTTCGGCACGTACGAATTTGGTGGCAATTGGTGTCAAATTTTTGTCGCCCTACCTGACCTGTTTCCCAGCGGCGAGATTCGTGATCTGCTCAGGACTATTCGCATCTGGACTGATTTTGGAAGTCTACGCCTTAATGCGAATTTTGCCGTCATTAGGATTTCTCCAGAGATACTTCGGGCAATGGAAGCCTTTGCGACTGGCTCGCAGCTACGGTGAATAGTGGTGCAGTTGTCATGGAGGATACACAAAGATTTCGAGGACATTATGGTTGCTAGTTGGAAGGTAAAATTCGAGAAGAGCGATTCATGGCAAGTGCTAAAAGCAAACAATGTTGAGCCTAAGATGATGGGCTTCTCTGGAGATACCACCTGGTTTCGATAATCGATGTCCACGGTGGCGTGCGGTTCATAGGTCGTAATTTCGGTAAGAACCAGGAGGAGTGAGTAAGACGCAGCATCTAAGTAACACCTGAACAGTCTCCAATATCAATAGGCTAATAAGAATGCTGATCTTTCTGAAAACGCTTGTGACGAAACGAAGGCTATCAAAAACTTTACTGTCTGTCTCTTGCACAAGAGTTCATCCACCAGTGTGTACTGACGGACTGTCATCTCACCACTTCACTTTCACTTTGACGCTAGGACCATCCGCTTACCCCAATTTTCTTTAGCCAACTCTTAAGCGATCGTAAACAAACCCTTAAGATTCTCGCCGTGAAGAACTCTCACCTTGAACCTCTGAACAACGGACACCCGGAATCAGGATGGACGCTCCGAGCGCGCACAAGGCTACGTAAGTTCAATCAGTTACACCCTGCTCGGCACTTATTGAAGTGATACAGCACCATCAACAACCAAGCGAACTCACCTCTCCTGCGTCTGCCCGCCGAACTGCGCAATCAGATCTACGAACACACCCTCAGTGGGCTCGTAATTCGGATTGAGATGTCTATGAACAAGGAGAACTGCGGCTTTACCACGTGCAGCACATATAGCACCATCTACGATCCTCGGCGGTACGGCCTTGGTAACCTGTCAGCTCTCTCCACAGTGTGCCGTCAGCTGCACACCGAAACCCATCTGCTGCCATTCTGCCTGAACGACTTCGGTGGCTACTCGAAGAGCTTCACTCAAGCCATTGATGGCGGCCACCTAAGCACTGAACAGGTGAACGCCATCCGAAAAGTCGACCTACTGCTCAGCATGAGCAATGTCTTCTCGTCGACACCAAGATCGCCCCTTGTAAACCTCTGTACGGTGCACCCATATTTGATGAAGCTGGCGGCTAGGTTCAGGTCAATGAAGAGCCTGAATCAAGTGGAGATCGTCTTGTTTCATCCTAAGAATTGGCTTATTCCGGAGAGCATCGTGGTCAACCTCAAAATATGGCTCACGAGTCTGCTCACCAAGGGCAACGAAGGCCGGGGTGTTTCAGTGGCCGTGCGTAACAGAGCGAATGGGGAAGGAGCGGAGATCTCGATTCGTCAGAGCAATACACATACACGGGGCTATTCTTCCCAGACTCAAATCCTTCGGTGGCCTCGATAAAGCTTTGAGTTTGGCACTCTCCACTCGACTCCGGGTCATACTACAATTCTCGACACATCGAACATGAATCTTCGATGTACAGGTTGTATTGGAGAGGGTTACGCTAGTATATCTTACAACGAAGGATGTAGGATTGAATACAGCAGTGGTCAGCATATTTGAATGAAAAGGATGTCGTCATGGCGCCAGTGTACACGTGCCCTCTCTTTCATGGGCTCCGTAGCTGGCTTAGCGTGACATCCCAACGCCGGACTATCTCCTAGAGATATATCTCCTCCACCTCCTCCTCTGCGTTCCCTCAGCTACCTCTACTTCCACCCTGATCTTCAACTAGAGTTCGATTCTACGTTGTCACTCAGGTACTCTCAACATTACCATTACCATTCAACAAACGACATCATCACTATGGACCTTCTTGGACCGTTGACGGACGCTTTGCAACACCAGAATGAAGAAGTGTGCGTACATGGACATTATTGATGACAACAAGCACAACATTAATGTAGTATTGCAGTACTCTTCGCAACCAACTCGAGTCGCCGCTCCTTCGCCTGCCTGCTGAGATCCGAAACAACATCTAAGAAAACGTCCTCGGAGGCCATGAGTTCCGTCGAAACCTTTATATCGTGGATATCTTTTCTCTAAGCAAACAGATCGACCTCGGGAAACATCGTCGCTTGCTAGCCATCACCGCAACATGTCGCCAGCTGCAGAACGAGACCGAGAAGCTTGTTTTCAAGCTTAATGCTGTGGCAGGAGACTGTATAGATGTGCGGGAATGCTTGCGGAAGAAAGGATTGAGAAGAAAGCCCTTGGCATTTGGAGTCGGAGCACGTGATATACACACCTTGCGGATCTTCATTGATGCCTGTGCTACAGTAGGCGATCGGGTCAGTCTCATTGAACTCGTCAAGAAGGTACCGAACCTGAAACAGGTCGTTGTGGTCTGGGACGAGAGGAATGGCCCCTCGCAAGACAGAGTGCGAGAGAGTGCCATTTTCTTAGAGAAGTTCAAGAAGACTTTGGTAAAGTTAGGTCGTGCGTCGCTTCGGATTGACATTGAGTTCAAATCCGAGGGCATGATCGATGCATTTTATATTCGATGGCATCTTCGACGGTAGACATCTTTAAGCACGTAGACAGTCATAAAAGACATTAAATCCACGGACTCCGTTGTCTCGAAAATCGCATTACATGAACAGGCCTTTTTAACTGTGTATCTATGATTGGAGGCTGTTAGCATTACAGCCCTAAGCGCGGTGGCGCCGCCATACCTTCCAGTCGAACGACGTGATCATCCCCGCGCTTTCACTCAGCTCTCTCCTTGCGTTATTATTATATTCTAGCTATTCGAGCGCTTAGAGACCTTGCACACTCGACTCTACTACCTCCACTGCAAAGTCGAATCAATCCTCCATCATGACAGAACTAAGTCAGCCAAAAGTTGCCGCTTCCGAGTGTAAATGTGATCGCGATGCCATGTAAGTAGCAGTCCGTAAAAAAGATAAATACCAAGACTGACAAGTCCAGCTCACAACGAAATCAACTATCATCACCTCTCCTCCGCCTACCTCCCGAACGTCGTAATTAAATCTACGAAGAACTCTTTGACGTCCATAAGTACTGCTACGAAGCTCGGTACAAGTGTAACGGGGTCCGTACACGATTCACTCAGGCCCCTGATCTGCTATCTACTGCCGGCTCTGCCGCAGAGCATTCTTACCGACTAGCCATATTGAGAACGTGTCGCCAACTAAATGAAGACACGAAGCTCTTGCACTGCAAGCTCAGCCTGTTTAAAGGCTCACCGGGAAACCTTCGACGCCTGTTAACTTTCATCCCGTTGGCTCATAGGAATGTGGTCGAGGTGGTTCAGATCGTTACGTCTTCAGACATTGCATCCGATTGGAGGGACCCGTTGCGCGAACTATTCCTGGAGCTCGTGCAGTTCAAGAGTATCAAAAAGGTAAATTTGGTTTTTCGCGAGTGGGGGCGCCCAGTGAATCCTGGTGAGATGTCGAAGACTATCGGGAACCTGAAGATCCAGCTCGAGAAGCTGAGGATGGAAATGGAGAGGACGCCGCCAGTACCGATCATCGATGCAGGTCGTCTCCATATTGGCCGGATTATTTGGACGGGTATAGCTTGGACCCATGAGATACACACTTCGTCGAGCATTATGTCGTCTCTTTCATAGAGATTATGTATCTAGTTCATGTACATCCCTATACCTAATTAGTGTGGTAAACCTGGCTATAAACCCACAAGTAAGGCTCGGTATTGTAGGTTCTCTCCAGATCACGTAATCAAATGACGTGTGAATGAATGAAACGTCGAGTAAGCTCTCTCTCCGATAAGTACTTAGGTACCTACTGCTTTTCTCCTTTGTACGCAGTTCAATCACTAACACTCTCTCCTTAACCTTCAGGATGGACAATCGAACATACTCAATTAAACCTTCGAAGCAAGTCGTCCACCTAGATGAAATGTATGTATACAAACACTACGTGATAATGCCCGGAGACTGACTTTATACAGCTCCCGTCTGAATCAGATACACTCTCCTCTCCTTCGCCTACCGGCTGAGCTCCGCAACTCGATATTCGCTTACGCGCTAGGTGCCTCAAAAATCGAGCGTTGTACCGGCTACAGCTGCCAAGTCTGCAGGAAATTAAAAATACTATCGGGATCGCCCAAATATGTCACCTGTCACTTCGAAGGCGGTCTCGGCATTTTATCAACATGCCGTCAAGTCTACGCCGAGTCTAAACTTCTACCATTCAAGTTGAACACGGTATCTTCTCGCGTGCTCCCCCTTAGTGAGCCTTCATACGACAAGTTTGCAGCCTGGCAACGCAATGCCATCACATCAGTCCAGATCCACGCCAAGATGAGCATCAAATCTGCGGCCCCAAACCTCGGTGTTGATTTCTTGCTGCAGGAGACTGGTCGCTTGAAGGGGCTTGAGCGCGTGACCTTTGTTTGGTACATCAGGAAGAAAGCTATTAATAGTAAAGCGGATTGGCCGATGCTCAGGCAAAGCATGTTGGAGAATTGCAGGGATCAGATGGCAAGATTGAATGTTGAAATTCATGTGGTGACCATCTTTCATTCGATATAGACCTTTGAGGAGAGTTGGTACTTCGAATCAACTTACAAGCGCCTTGGCTCGGATGAATTAAAACACACTATCCGAATTTCTGCGCTACTGGTAACTATTTACTCTCCCCCTAAAGATAAATACTACCGAATGACCTCTCTCTGCCTTCTGTACGCTAACCCCAAACAACTCTAAACTGTTCAACCTCTACCATCAAAGCGCTATGCCTGCTCAAACCGCTCTCGACGTAATGTAAGTTTGCCGACCCCCTACCTCTATATGACAACTCAATAACTCCCCCCAAGTGCCCTTAAGAACCAAACCACCTCCCTTCCTCCGTCTACCACCCGAAATCCGCAACCGAATCTACACCTACATTCTCAGCGGCTACACTATCTGATCCACCGAAAACCGGAACTGATATTGCAGCTCGACCTACAAGCCTGACGTACGTTGGCGACGCCCACGATTCGAAGCTTTCCACTTCTGCTACAATGTCAGGCTTCTCCTTTTCTTAAGGATAAGCCACCAGATCCACGCCGAAGCCCGCCTATTGCCATTCAGCCTTGATGTGTTTGAAGGCGAGGTAGACTATATCATGCAACAGATCCTCGAGGATCTGCGCATCGAGCAAGCTGGTACAGTCACGCGCGTGCGACTCGAGATATCCAGAGATGACTTGGTTGTCGAGGGCCCGAAGATTCGTGTCACGCAGCTGAAGTCGAATCTGCGGTTCCTGATCGGTGTTATAGGCCTCCGATGCAGCAGTCTTGTTGAACCTTCTTGGATGTCAACAAAGACATAAAAGACGCCGTGCTAGACTTCGTGGAGAAGCAGTTTGAGATTATCGGGAGGGGCGACGTCAAGATTACCGTAGATGAAGGGGGAAAGTTTTAGCGGCGACGAGGTTGGGACCGTAGACGTTTTCGCTAGGGAGCAATGTTGGCTCATCATGGAGTTAGCTATGAGGCTTGGTTCGTCGCCTCGTCATAACTCCAAGCTGCTACAACTTAGATAGCTCTCAGTGTGTATTTCTGGGAATACTGGAAGCAGCTAAGCACAACCCCTCTTTCACTCGCGCTTTTATCAATCTCCTAAGGGTACGATTGGGAACTACATATCTTCCTTTAGTACGCGAGTCTACATAATGATCTTAGCCTCTCACTCCACTTTTTGCTGCTTGAAAAGCGCAATCCGTTTTGAGAATTTAGTCCCTACTTCGATATGTCTTGGCGGATTTGCCTTCACCTTGTCTGCTCCACGTGCTCAGGGTCTCTGTTTGTAAGCAGAGTGGAGACCCATACAACCAGCTCCCACCTTCTCCTCCGTCAACCCCGCCGTCGTTACACACATCATCCCGCATAAGATCTCTGAAGATGAGAAGCACCGACGAAGCGCGCCTGCGACTTGGCACAGGCATCGATGCCATTTGGCAGACCGTCACGTAACTGTCCCATATTTTACACCTCACCAATTGCGCTCACCAGATGCAGTTCTCGCGAGAATCAAAAGGCATCGCCGCTGCTCCGACTTCCTGCTGAGCTCCGCAACAAGATCTACCAGTACGCACTCAGCGACTGGATCATCACTTTGTCATACACCAACGACGACCCATGGTACGGACAGAAGATTGTCCTCTGCACTCGCGCAGGCATGAACGACAACATCTGGTATGCAGCGACAAGCGCGATCCTCGGCCTTCGATCGACATGTCGTCAGCTCCGCGCGGAGACTGGCGTTCTTCCGTACACCTTGAATAATAGATTTTCTTGGGATGACAAGTGGAGCAGGTACGAGTTGGTCAATCCTGTGGGCAAGGAACAGCCTCGGTACCAAAAAACGGTATGTTGACACTGACTGGGCGCAAAGTGCTGTTTGTTGATGTGGTGCAGTGGAGGAAGGCGATGAATACGGAGGACTTTCACGATCTGGCGAATGCGCGGTTGAGGGGCCATGGAACGGGTAAACGCAGTCATCCCAGAACGCTAACAGATCTTGTTGCTTGGGTTGCGTGGATTTGATGGGTAACGGAGAAGGATATATCGGGATCACATGACGTGTGCAAAGTCGTAGAAAAGCTTCGTATGCCTCTAGCATACTTCCCTCGCAACGTACAATCAATCATAAGCTCTCGGCGCAAACTCAATCCCTAAATCTTTTACCGTATCCAAACAATGCCCCAGCACAACCTTTCCCCCCGTCCTCCTCCTCAACCCCTTGATCATCTGATGACTCTTGACCCATGCCGAGTGATCCCTCGCCAACCAGCCTTGGGGCACATCATTCTCAAAGTTCTCCTTGACATGATACTGATCACTTGTGAAAATCCACGTCCCGCTATTCTTCAAATTGAGCTGGAGAATACTCAACCCCGGCGTGTGACCTGGCGCATGGTGCAGATTCAAGCCCTGCGCGACCTCAAAGTACGCGCCGTGGAACGGCACCCAGTTGATGTCGAAGGTGAGGTAGTGCGGGAGATACACACCGTAGTCAGTTTTCGTGGCGACGCTGTAGAAGGCGTGTTTGAGTTCCAGCTCGTGCACATATACAGGTACACCTTTTCCCTTGAAATACTCCAGCCCACCTGCGTGATCGAGATGCAAGTGTCCGATAATGACCATCTTAACGTCATCGATACTATGCCCCGTCTTCGCTATCGCGGTGTCGAGATCCATGCTCTTGTCATAGTCGACGCGGGAGAATACGTCTTGGACTGGGGCGCCGACGAGCGCGGGATAGTCGTTGCCGCCGCCGGTTTCGTAGAGGATTAGGCCCTCGGTTGGATGCTCAATCAGGAAGGCGAGCATGGCTAGTCGGCGGCGTTTGTTCGTGGGGTTTAGGTTGGAGAGAGAGGAGGCGTTCGCGGCTGCCATGAACCAGCCTTCATCGCATTCGAGGTAGCCGAGGTTTAGCATCTTGTTATTCGTCAGGATGAGGTCTTGATGTTGGGAAGTCGAGGAGTGTTATACCCATAATTTTGTTCCCTGGGTTTGGTCAATTGGTATCCAGTTGATTGTTTGATGCTAAAGTACCTCAGGAGCTTGATTGATGAGGTCTAGTGAACTCGCCATTGTGCATCTTGCAAGTGTGAGTTACCAGCTCTCCAATCTTGGGATACCCATATGTCTATATACTCCTACAACCGTGAGGCCGTCATGACCGTCGATCATGAATATGTCTCCGCAGTGTCAGATCTGATGACTTTGTGATTGCGCCCGGATTATCATACGGCTAATGTTGGAGTAAGGAGGGGTAACGTGGCTGCGCCCCACGGCCTGGAGTGGAGAGTGGGGCGTCCATCGTGGATATGGAGGACTCCACGGTGTAATACAAGGAGTGAGATTATGCAGATGTGCGGGGAGGCAGTGAAGGCCCGAGTCGGCGCAAGCCGCACTGGGGGCGGTTGTTGTGCTTGCGTTCGATAGAAATTTACTACTTGAGGCTGGTCTTCTCACAAACGACGAATTATGTGAAAATCCAACAGGACTCCGTTTCGTGACGGTCAACATCCCTGTAGCATGTGTTCGATGTTATGGCGTCTGGCGCAGTCAATATCTAGGTGTTGTTGAATGCACGTCTAGCCGAACCAAGATGTTGGTTTTGCTACCGATCTAAAGGTGCTGACAAAGATCGGGGTCCGACATATGAGCTGCATGTACCGCAAGGTTGTGTAGAGGTTGCAAGTCTGGAGTAGTGCAAGTGGGGGCTGTGAGGCTCTGCGCCTGCAAGGGGCTGATCGGGATATCACCCGCCGCTACATATTTAGACTGTGTACATTGAACGAGGGGCCGTGGAGTCTAAGAGGTGATATCTGGGACGTCTTCGTGCTACCAACAGCACGTGCTGATAGGCTTTCTTTGTTTCTCGGTACCAAAGATGTGTTGCTACTACCACTGGCGCGATGGGAAAGGCATCATTGGAACCAGACAAAGAAAGAAGCTACCCACATCAAGGGTCGTGCAAGCTTCCCCTCAATTACTCGAAATCCATGTATTCTCCTCGAAGCCCGCTGAGATACATATGCAATAATTCAGCGCAATGGATGACTCGGCAAGGGACTACTATGACATCCCCGTACAATGGATACCGTCTTCGAACTTTGCGAATCGGCCGGCAAGCGAGATCAGCGAGATAAATCTGGACGGTCTCTGGACATTCATGTCGTCGCCTGATTCATCTGCGCCGCCGTCCGAAAACGAGGATGATCAAACTCCTACATCGCGAGAGATACCCGAATGGACGAGACGCGAGAATGACGCAACTATCCTTGCGCCACAGCCAAGATCGAGCATGTTGAGCCACAACGGAAAGGCATCAGATAGTCCTGTTATGCGAGGAAAGGCAGCTACTGCTCCAGCGGGGGGATTCAACACCCCTAATTACGCACCACAGCCGCCGAGACGTGCAGTCAGCGCAAGGCTGGGTCCGTCAAGAACGATCAGAGGCAGGAAGCCGCAGCGCGAGGATCTGGAAGTCGACCCATTGACTGTTGTTAAGACACCGCTTCAAGCACATCTGGGACCAGATAAGCCCTTGCCATCACTTCCAGTTATTGTAGCTCCGGTCGACAGTGATCCCTGGGGTAACGCAAAGGTGCCAGGTTCATTCTCTCAGAGGGTGCGCGTCAAGAAAACGTTGGACGGCAAGAATGTGGAAAGGCTGAACACGGATATTGTAGACTTCGAGTCACGGGGACTACTCAGCTCTCCAAGGTCGATGATGAACACGCCTCGGGAACTGTATGCGATCCCAGAGAAGCGCGCCACTCTTGAAGAGCCCTCAAGTCCAATCAGCCCTCATGCGAAGGATGCGAGGAGATCCATACTGTCCAGCCTTTCGGGCAAGGGGCTAGCTTTGCATTTGAAGAAGCCAAGTCAATATTGGCAACATAATGATGCCTTGAAGCTGTATCCCGAGGGCTGGAAGGCAACCTACTTACCTGGAACGATCTGCTTGGAGAAGCATCCTGCGCAGCTTCGAAAAGACTCTGTTGCGTCTTTGGACCCGTTTGCCAAGGAAGTAGAACCCCGTGTCAGGCGGCATTCTGATCTGATAGTGCTCGACAGCATAACAGCCTTCTTTGATGATCTAGGTGTCTTGGAGGACGCGACAGAGGTTTGTTTGGACATGTTCTGGCGCGATGTAACTCAAGCGCCATACCACGTTGCAAACACTAGGGCATCGAGCATCGTCAGTGTCGAGGAGCCTGCGCTAAAGAGTCTGGAGAGCCTACAAAGTGCTCCAAATGCACTGAGTCTGCGCAGGTCAAGGTTTTCCTTCTCCTCGGCATCGTCCTCCATGTCCGTACCACGTAATGGCGCACCAATGCGACAACGGGATAGACTCAAAAGGCTGTTTTCTCCTGCCTTTCCTGGCGCAGCGTTTCTGAGAACGCCCGCGGCGCCTAAAGAGCAGGACAGCAAATCGGACATGGGCTCCACGGGCGACGCTACATCCGTATACTCAGCACCATTAGCCCAGCGGCGGGACAGATAGAAGCTTGACAGAACTTTGTAAAACTGCTGAGCTCGAGTGTCTCAGGTGACCGTGCTGTGATATGACAGCCAAGAAGGTTGTTGGTGTTGGTGGTCCACCTGTGTTCGTAAGATGATGTTGTTTTTCCTACCAGCATACCCCGGGCGTATGACGTCCGCGGAGACGATGAGTTGGAGCGTAGCCAGGGCCTGAAATCTCGTAACGACAAAGATAGTTTGAGCAGATGAAAAGAAAGTTGAAAGTAATGAACGCAATGATCAACACCGAACACAAGTTTGGCGCACTGTTACAGGCCGTTTTGTCGACGCGTGGCGTCCCAAGAGGGCAATCTGAAATGCCATGCCAGTGTTTGATGCGAGCACAATGGAGCAGGCTGTCTGGACTGCGCCATCCGTCAGATACGTCAGGCTGAGGGGAGGGCGTCGTGCACCGCCGTCCCCAGTGTGCCCTGGTAGAAGGCATGGTTGGATGACGATGTTTCGCCTGTGTGTGTGCGTGCGTGCGTGTGTGCGTGTGTGCGGCGCGACAGCGTTGGCGGCACGCACGATCGACAAAGGCTGGAAGTCCACGCGTCTGCCGCTGACAGCAAATGATGCCGGATATGATGAGTTGCAGAAAAGTAGTTGCCCTCCCGGTGGTTGATAGGCAGATCCTAGTGGAAGTGGCCAGGGTCGGACTATCGTCTCCCGGAAATGAAAAGTGAGGCAGCAAATGACACCTGGGCTTTGCACACACCACCCAATGACACGTCGCTTGGCCGGCGTGCGATCATCAGCTGGGTTGCCCTTCTTGCGCTTGGCCTGGTCCTTCTTCCCGCGCTTTCAATCGTCAGTCCTGCCGATTTGAGCCAGCGCATCGTCCACGTCCCCCAGATGCCCCACAGCTCAGGTTGTGCTAAAAAGCTCGTCATTCCCACTCGGCGTCCCAGACCTTTTGATCGCCCTGTCATTCCTCACTACCCCATTTGTGCCTCAGCTATCTTCACAACCACCATCCACCTCATTGTCGAGCAATTCTACACAGACAGACGTATTGTTGATTATCGTGCTGATCACCGTCATCGCGCAGCGTACTCTTACAACAACACCACACAGTATGGCCTCGACCATGGACAATACGCAGTACCTCTTTCAACAGCTCGAGCAGACCAAACAGAATTTCTGGAATAGTCATGCACATCTTTCCGAGAACGAGCGCCAGGAACTCTGGTCACAGGCCACCGCTCTGCCGCCCAACAACGCCTTCGGCAGCTCAAATGCATCGACAGCCCAGCAAACACCACGCTCGATGCCGTCAACGTCAAACTTGACACACCTCCCAGTATGGATACCATTTTGGTGCTCGCTTGCCATTCTAACACCCTCTAGACAATGGACTACGGATACTCGACACCCCGCATGAGCCCTTCAATATCTACTGCCACTGACGCAAACGGCCTCGAGCGGTCAATGTCTGACTGGCAATCAATGTCTCGCGAGTCCAACGACTACACCTTCTACTCTGATGCATCGATGCGCCAACAACAAGCCCTCCAATCCATTCCAGAGCACGCTGGATACACCAACCAGAGCTTGACTGAGTGGAGTCCTCGCGACTACGTCAGCAATTGCATCGAGCCAGAGAGCTCCTTCCCCCTCTCCTCCTCATTCCCCCAACATTCACAACAATTGCAAGTACTAACTCCCTCTTTGCAGTGGGGTTCTTCTTCGGAAGGCTCTACCACGCCAAACACTCCGTCAACTGCTCTGATGACGCCGATTACTCATGCGAGTAATTCAATGAGTCGCCAGAGCAGTTGCAATTCGAGTTTCCTTGGTGATACTTCCATGTTGCGCATTCAGTCTGATTCTTCATGTATGCTGCCCATCCTCCCAGAGGATGGGGTTTCCTTATTTCCTTTCGATGTCGAGTCGAAACCTGTCACCGATGTTAATGCTTCTTTTTTCCCTTCTTTCGGTGGTTCCGCCACCGAAGCTTTCCTTCCTTCTACTCAGTCTGCTTCCCCTGCAAGTGCTCCTCGGGCATTTGCTTCTTCGGAGAACACGCCGTACCTGGGGGAGGATATGTCGAGGTCGGCTTCAACAAGTTCCAGCGAGGGTAACGTCAGCGACGGCTCAATGCCATCGTCGAATTACTCTCGCCAGTCGCGTCGCGACCGCGACATTGCGCTCGCTGCGACTCGCACGATTGCCCCCAAGGCTATCGAACGCGACTACCAGACTGAGTCTGCGTCATCAAATGCTCAGATGGCAAGGATAAAGTCTGCGGACGGATCGTCCAAAACTGTTGGTGTCCTCACTAAAACACCCTATGTGCGCCCTCAGCATCCCAAGATTCACTGCCCGCATTGCCCTGAAAAGCCTTGCTTTCGTGGCACGCATGAGCTTGATCGCCACATTGCGCGTGCTCATGCCTCAAGGAGAAAGGGGTACATCTGCGTCGACTACTCAGCTGACAAGAAGTTCCTTGCCAACTGCAAGCACTGCCGTAACAAAAAGGTATACGGTGCATACTACAACGCTGCCGCTCACCTGCGTCGTGCGCACTTCCACCCTCGCAAGCGGGGCAGGAAGGGCAAGAACGACGAGAAGCGTGGCGGTATTGGTGGTGGAGACCACCCTGCCATGGACTACCTCAAGCAGCACTGGATCAAAGAGGTGGAGGTCGACAACAACACGTGCTCATCGCCCGGCAGCGCTTCCGACGATGCTGCTGACGCCAACGACAACTCCTACGAGCAGAACTTCGACATCAACGCCTCTGCGCCGTTTCCATCTCAGCCGCCCATGCCCACGTCAATGACCTCTCAGGTACAGCTTGACCCTAGCCAGTTCATCGACGGCTACGGTCTGAGTATGAATGCGAGTGAGACTATCATGTACGACGCCAACACGTACGACAACAACACCTTCGTCGCCTACGACCCCAACGTCGCCGCGACGACCGACATGAGTAACTTTCAATTCGACGCATACATGTGAACGCATGTATGCCCTTCTTTTTCTTCTTAATGTATATAACGATGGCTTGGATCATTTGCGCTCGTATTGACCACTAGTCCCGCTCCCATGGAGAGGATTGAGGTAGGCCTGCGACGCAGCTTTGGAGATTCACGATGATAATGTTCTTGTCACCTGTTGCGGAGAGTGTACGAGTTTTTTTTTCTTATCGTACACGTTTCATGTCTCTTTTTCAGCGCCGTTATTATTACCAACGCTGTACGTCGTGCAATGTCCAGCTACATAGTTCTGGCGATATGCCTAAACAGTAACACATTATTCACTTGTTCCCCTGCATGATTGTGATGTTGTCTCATTTTCTGAGTGCGGTTTGTTTGCGTCGACCGTATTAGCTCTGTTTCCTATCCTGCATGTCTCTCGCACAACATGACACCCTCCCACTAAACACTCTCAGTTTATCCAAACACTTCTCCACAGAAACCCAAACACATCTCTTTTTGTCCTTTCGCACGTTCGTCTCTTCCGCCCTCCCCTTTCAACCACCATGCGCAATGCCATTGTCTCAGTCGGTGTCTTTCAAATCCGCGACACATTGTGCATACTTAACCACACATGCCGAAGACACTCTCATCGTCAATACATCCAGCACGCCCGTCCCATCCACTCGGACATCCAACTGCAGACATACACCTGCAAAACATCCAAGCCACTCCAAATCCAACCACATCCATACAAACCACCATGTCCCGAACATACTTCTTCGCACCCTTTAAACCCTTCACCCTCGCCCTACCCGCCTCCACACCCGCCTCCCCCCTGTCACCCCTCGACCCCATCCCTTACATCCCAACCTACGAGCGAGTCAATAAAGGCACCAAGTTCGACGTGCGCGCCACATACCCCCAAAACCACATGCTCTCGCGCCCAGTCGAAAAGACCTTCGTCCCGCCAAATGTCCTGGGTCAGCGGCATCACTGGTATCCACAGACGCCGGGCGAGGACAAGCTGGAGCCTCCGGTATTCACGCCAGAGCCAGCCGTGCCGATGTGCGCGTGCTGCACGCCTGAAGAGTCCAAAGCATTACTGGGACAGTGCGTGGAGAGGGTCAGGGGGCTGGTAGAGGTGCAGGTGTGTATGTGGGTAGCGGGGTATTGGATTTTCCAGGGGGGAGTGTGGATTTGGGGGGTAATATGCCAGGTGGTAGAGATCTAAAGTGTATATATTTATTTGTGTATGAAAAAAAAAAAAAAAAAAACTCGACAAGACGAACACATTTATCCCGATCCACTGTTGGGATAGTTACCCTTGCCTACAGGATTCGCCGGCCCTCCTTGTTGTCCAGCTGCGCCGCCGGCTTCGAAGTTGTCTTGTCGCTCTTGCTTGATGGCGTTGCGGGCGTCGGCTTGTTCTGCCTTTTTCCTGCTCGGTGTATTAGCAATCGCTCATTCTCATCATCAGCCTGAAGCAAGATCTTACCTGTCCAGGTCCGACGCCAAATCAGGCTCAGCACCACCTCCTCCCTGACCCTTTCCACCCTTTGCTACTGCAGCAGCGACCTTGCCTTCTCCCGGTGCGGCCATTTGTTCGCCGTCTAGCTCCTTGTGTCTGCCAACATCCTCCTCGGTCAAGCCCTGGGCTTCTTCGCCTGGTGGCGCGCCGTGTCGGCCGCCTCCAGGTGCCTTTGCGTTCTCTAGGCCTTGCGCGTCGGTTGCTTGCTTGGTGGGGATGCGCTGGTCGACACTGGCGCTGTTGTCGGCGGCGTTGAAGGAAGCTTGAGCGCGTTCGGCTGGGTTCTGCTCGACTGGGTTTCCGGGTGTGGTGTACGCCTGGTTGAGCGTGGGCTGCGACGGGCCCTTGGGATCGAGGCCAGACATAGTTGTAAGGTGTTTGGAATGTGGTGTTTGGTGAGTATCTTATCTGACTTTGTTTGTGAAGATGGCAGAGGAATTGGTCAGTGTAGAATTCGAAAGATGTATAGTATTGGGTTTACTGTGAGACTGAGCGAGTGCGGCGCGCGCTTTGGTATGCTTTTTGGAGCTTTCTATTGATGACGTAGGCGGGGACACACAGTCGCCCCACTACTGTCCATTCCTTTCGTCTGTCATGTGAGTACGTGATGACGGACTTTAACCGTGTCTCGTTTCTTATCTTTCACATCAGCATTACCGAAAGCGTGGAGACGTTAGAAGCCATCGGTCTGGATTCCATGTAGCTACGACCAGGGCGCTGGCGAGCTAGTCTCACACTTTGAGATGACGCGAACTTATCGAGAAAGCATGGCGAAGATGTACGCATGTTTAGCGCATTGTACGTGGCGCATACAAATCCGATCGAATTGATATATGTGGCCTTGTGCATAAAGGCCGATCGACTGCATGCAACCTGGTGATGCCGTGCATCAGTACTGAAACCGCAAAGCTTTCTGCTCGACTTTGCCGACTTGCCTCCCCAAAGACAATGTACTCTGCCTGCCTTTCCAGTCGGCTCGTGGTATAACGCCTGCAAATAATGTGACCCCAAACGCCGTCGCGATGCACTTCTCAAATCAAGGGTATTATGCTGTATCCATCTCCACGTCTTCAGATGGCTCACGGGTTACCACACGGCTCGTGGCTGTACTCGCATCGTGTTTCGCTTCTGCTGCCTTTGCAGCCCGCTCTCGAGTTCTCCGACACCATTCTTCTATCGACTCTGCGCCGCCTCCCTCGATCTTGATAGTCTTTGGCTCGGATGGGACGCCCAGAACAGTTCCCTGAAATCGCGACTCGACTCCAGTCTTGCTGTGCTTCTTCATGAGTGCTGAGAATGATGTTAGTTCTGGTGCTCTCTCAGCAAATAGTGCAAGGCATACTGTTCAGGTAATCCTCCATCTCCAGCTGATCGAGCTGATCAATCGGGTTCGTGGCCACCGATTTGAGGGTGCCCGCTATCCGCATGATCTCTTTGTTTTGATCACCCTTGACCCAGTCGATAAATTCCCTTACGTCGGCTGTGTCCTCGGCGTCGCGTCGCTGTTCCTCCATGGCGCGTGCACCCGTCTCTTCGTTGTAGAAGTCGAGAGGTTTGCGCAGAATCTGCTTCCATTCCTCCTCTCCTGCCGTCATAGTAGGCACCAGCAGCGCGCAGTCTTGCATGGCCATGCGCACATCTGTGATGTTTGGTGTGGAGTCGTTGTGGTTGGAGAATGCATTGTAGGCTGTGCGCTCTGCAAGCAGGGAGAGGTAGCGTGCCGTGAGGTCTACGACGGTGTCGACAGCCGAAGGTTTGCCATAGTGGAAGCCGGACGCGCGCAGGATGTGGAGTACGGCGGGCCGGAGCAGGTTGAGGAACAAGTCGTCCGAGGACATTCTGGCGCAGTCGCTGTGAAATGCCTGTTGGGCTTGTCCGGGTAGAGTCGCGCGATTATGGTGGAGGCAGACAGGGCATTGTGGTGCTCGCCGAGTCCTGATGCTGGATGCGGAGAAGGAAGTGACAGCTCAAGCTTTGGCCCTTGATCTTTCACCCATGCACCGCGCCAAGACCGGGCTAGCTCATAGCCCCCGGTCGCGACATCATTCACGCCAGCAGTCCACACCCGCGCAACCTCACCTATGCGGCGCCTGTAGGCGCGAGTCACCTCACCCAAACCACCCCCCCCCCAAAGTAAAGGCAGCGAGTCACCGCGATGAAGATCAAACTCAAGAACCCTGCCGCGCCCGCGGGCGACGCACCAGCACCAGCACCACCGGCGTCCGCACCTGTAGCCCAAGAAGAAGCTGGGACCGCTGCGCCCGCAAAGAAACTCAAGCTCAACATCAAAACCGCGGCTCCTGCAGCTCCTGCAGATAACACCGAAGACGGCGACGCCCCAAAGACGAAGCGCAAGTACACAAAGAAACAGAAGCTCGACACGAGGGGGTAACCCCATACCGCCAGGCAAGCCGGGCCCCAAGAAGCGAGCTCGTGAGGACGGAGACGACGTGGACTCACCTGCCGCCAAGCGCAAGCCGAAGCCGACGGCAAAGAGCCTAGCCATGGGCAATGATAGCAGCGATGAGGACGACCTCATGGCCGAGCCGCCCGCCCCCGCGAGGCCACCAATCCAGTCCGCGCCAAAGGGGAAAATAAAGCTTACGATCAAGCCAAAGGCAGGCGGCCCTGCCGCGCCCCCAAGGACAGCGACGATGCTGAAAGTCAAAGGAGCTGGAAAGGCACCAGTGCGGCCATATGGTGTAGGCTACGACAGCGAGGCAGACGAGGCCGAAGTGGATCCGGCGATAGAGTCTCAGTTCATACTGCGCATGCAGCCAGGGCCAGACTGCGATCTTCTGCGCAAGTCTATCGAGGAGAAGACGATCGGCAAGAGCTTGTCGCAAGGCGGACCCGGAGTCTACTTCCGCTTCTTCGACAAGGAGGGACGCCGTGCCATGGTCACCATCCAGGGTCACAGTTATGCTGCATCCATGGTCGAGCTCCCTACCGTCATTGAGACCATGAAGAGCTGGAACAAGAAGGACTGGGTCAAGACTGCTGATGTCTGTCAGATGCTGTTGGTACTAGGCAGAGTTTCTAGTGAAGACGAAGCCAAAAAGTTCCCACGCCCCTCATTCATCGAGCCAGATTCCCATAGATATCCACATGGCATCACCCCACCTATGCGATGGGCCCGCAAACTGCGGTTCCGACCGCGCAAATCCTATCTCGACGTTGAGCGTGCGGAAGCACAGATGAATCGACTTCTCCTTGAAGACGAGAATGCCGAGTCGACAAAGTACGAGCTGGTGGATAGTGACCATGAGACTTCCGAAGAGGAGACCGACTCAGAAGATGAAGGAGAGGACGAAGAGATGGCAGATACACAACAGGTAGAGCAGACGCCCATTGACGAGATTGATGGGGATGATCTGGAGGCAATGCTGCAGGAGGGCCTCATGGAAGACGAGAACATTGAGATACAAGGCGACTCACAGGTCATCAACTCTCTGCTGGGCAGCGAAACTCCAGGTGCAGAGCCCGCGACACCTGCGACAGCCCACGACGTCGCTCTGCATGCACTCAAGAATGGCCTCACGTTGGAGACGGAAACCGCAGCTTCCACCCCTGCTGCAGCGACCTCTGCGGATGATGACGACGACGATGATGACGACTCGGACGATGGAGACGACGTCGACGATGCGGCAGTCCAGGAGGAGCAGCGGAAAGAACAGCTGCGCGCTGAAATTGCAGAACTGGATAAGGCCATTCAAGCAAATATGGAAGCCCGCGACAGACAGACGAACCAGATTTTCAAGAAGCGCATGCAGACCAACATCGATAAGCAAAAGGCCGACCGCGAGATTAAACGCAAGCAGCTGGACGAGGATGTGGACGAGTAGTTTGCTCTTTTGGTGGAGAAATCAAGCGCATGAAGAGACAGCCGCTTTGGTTGCTCTGTATTACTAGTACTATAATTGCATTGCGTCGGCGTCTAGGATACAGGCATGATGTATGGCGCACCGTGGGCACGAAAGACAGGCACAGTCTCGTAAGCAAAGCTCAATGCCATGGAGTTTGAATGTCAAGAACACATCTGAATCATGATATCTCACAACAGACTTTTCAGATTGCTCGTGTGACCATGTCTTGCTCCATGCCCCATTAGTGTCCTCTAGTCTTGAAATACTCAGCAGAAGTAAAGTTGACATCGATCCTAACTTCATTCAAATTGCCAAGACAAATCGGTCACGTTACGTGATTACTAAGTCTTAGCGCGGTTCCAGCTCGGTGCCCCACCCTTGTGAGGTTGCGGCAGGCGGCTTCTCTTGTCCTCTTTGTTCCGTCGCGAATCGCAGCCGCCAGTGTTTGCGCTTCAACAACCAAACAGTACTAACATAAAAAATTAGGCGATTGACTATAGGCATCCTTTCAAGGACAGTCCGCGAAGATGAAACCACCAGGAGCGCCCCCGCACTCCCTCGCCGACATTCTAAAGATGACCGACCCCGAAGAGCGCTTGCGAGCCCGCGCGGAACTACTGAGTATGTGCAAGAGGAGGTTTGATTAGATGTACCAGAAGAATTGACGAGGTGACTCAGGCTACATTGCGCGCGTGAAGAAAGAGAGAGGAGAGCCTGCCAGTGAACCTCACGTACCCAACGGATATACCAGCTATGGTCCACGAGCCCCACCTATCGCACCTTCTGGCACCCACATAGGACATGGATACAGAGGAGGCTATGGTCGCGGCAGAGGACGCGGAGGGCGCGCTGCTTACCATCCGTACCAACGACCGCAACAGTTCCGAAATAAGTCTGTCACCTTCAATAAGCAAGATCTGGCCGGAGATGCACCTGAGAGCGAGAAGGCAGCACCGCTTACCACGGACGGTACCTACATAAACCACGGCCCTCACCAGCACACCGAACCCCAGACCCCATGTCCGCAGTTCACCATGACAGGTACAGAAAGAGACAGCGAACAGGATCCACTTTAGCCACTGCATGCGTCTAACTTATGAGCAGGTATCTGCAGCCGTCATGGATGTCGCTATCTTCACGATCCGGAGAAGCAAGCTATCTGCAAGCCTTGGCTGTTTAAGGGCGAATGCCCGAAGGGTGATGCTTGTCTTCTTTCACACTCCCCCACACCCCACAACACGCCGATGTGTAAGCACTTCCAGGACGGCCGTTGCAACAAGGACGACTGCCGATTCTCCCACGTTCGGATCAGCCCAGCGGCTCCGAATTGCGAGGCATTCGGGCTTGTGGGATATTGTGAGAAGGGTGCAGACTGCTCTGAGCTTCATGCGCACGAGTGTCCACACTTTTCAAACACGGGTAGCTGCCGGTATGGTGACAAGTGTCGACTAGGCCATGTACATCGCGCGTCTCGCATGCGCAAAGCTACTCGCAAGTCTCCAGACGGATTGTCTTCTCCAGAGGGCAGTTCCAGGCAGAACTCGAATGATGCTGATGCTGAAACTTGGACTCCCGGCGCCACTCCGGATCCCCATCAGTTCACGCAGCAGTACGACTATGTCTCCCTCGATGCTGACGATTGAGCAAGTTGCCTACAGGAATGCTGTAGGTCTTCCTTCCTCGGCCCGTTCCCCATTCAAGCCTAATCTCCTTCTGCTCTCAAGCTCCCCTATTCCTGCATATCGTCTGAACGGTAGGTCGGTTGTTCGTTTTGCAGTCTTCTCATGGCTGTTTCATGGTCGTGGAGTTTGGGAGAACGTGGCGCATATTGGGTCTTTCGATGATACCCTGCTGGCATTGAATCGCCGAGCTTCTTCTTGCGATTGTCTTCAGCACATTTGGTAGCATATTGCTGCTTGGTGTGATCATGTTCAATGCGGACAGACGCACGAGTTTATATCAGAAAAGCGTATAATCAGCAAAATCAATGCAAAGATTGAATGAATGAAGTCACTCCAAATGATCGTGATCTGTGCATGACGTCTGTTGTCCAATTCTCCGTTCTATACATATCCTACTCGTACCACAAGCGGGCTTTGACCAGTGGAGGCGTCGTTTGGAGGCTGAGGCTGCGGCTGTGCTAGCTCCTTGTCATACCCTCAACCTTGCCGTTGCATTTGATGCATTGCGGCCGCCAACCTATTCGTGACGATGCGTCCTGCTGCTCTCGCTGATGCTTTGCGCAAATATAAGACAACGCTCATGATCCAATAGTGCAATTAACTGCACAAACGGTTGGCTCTACGTGAAGTTGTTGTGCCCTTCCACCAGCCGCGCACCCCTTGCGGCCCAATCGACGCGCAAGCTCAATTGAACAACACCATGACGCTCAAAGACTTGCTGAAGAAGAAGGACAAGATCAAGGACGAGGGCGCCGCGGCTCCACCCCGCACAGGGCCAACGCTATCCGCAGACGTCCCAGAATTCCAATTCTTTCGTACTACCACGTCCACGCGCGAGACTATTGAACCCCCCAGCTTCCCCGGCGACCCCACCCGCGAAGCACCAGCTCTCCTATCACCCACACGCAGCGCCTTTGGGAGGTTCCGAAGTCGAAGTAATGCAGCCTCTCAGAACCCACATAATGGCACAGAGGGAGTAGCGAAAGGGTTGGAACGGTTGCATTTTGGGCGGACGCGCTCGAGCAGCTCTGCGAATGTGCCCGAAAACCTGCCAGAAGTTGGGGGAGATGGAGTCGCAAGAACAGAAGACGAAGAGGCGAAATGGGAGAAGAGGGCCACGGTGCTCGTAACGGAGGGTGCGCTCGCAGGTGGCGCAAGTGGCCCAGCGTCACCGAGAATCGAAGTCACAAATCCAATGTCTCCAGGAGCGCCAAAGGGCAGGAGTAGGAGCGCCAGTATTGCTGCGCCGGAAGACGAAGAGAATATCCAGGAAGCTATACGGCTGCATGAGAAGGGCAATCTCGAGGCGTCGACTGCGCTGTTCGGTCGTCTGGCCGACCCAAGCACTCACAACAATGCACTTGCACAAGTTCTCTACGGCCTTGCATTGAGGTGAGATACCCTATACTTGCGATCGATCTACGAGATGATGATCAACACCCAAATGTTACCCCGAAATAGTACCTAATGCGCTGGCTGACCTAATACAGACATGCCTGGGGCATCGAGGCAAACCCAGAACAAGCCGTGCATTTCCTAAGCATGGCTGCCTCCAACAGTGCCGAAGTTGAGAAGCTCGCACTCGGCGCCGGCATGAAGAAGGGCGGTTCAGCAAAAGGCGAGCTTGTGCTGGCAATGTATGAGCTGGCCAACTGCTTCCGCAACGGCTGGGGTATCAAGAAAGATCCCGCAGCCGCGAAGCAGTACTACGAAACTGCTGCCAACTTGGGCGATACTGACGCCATGAACGAAGTTGCATGGTGCTATACGGAAGGCTTTGGAACCAAGAAAGACAAGGTACGTCTTTGCTCCGCCTGCGTTGTCGTTGTTGCTGTACGCCCTCCTCCGCTTTCGAGTCTACATACATGGAGTACACCGGTCCATGTATGGTGGCAGTCCAGTCGTCTAGATGTTCATGCGACACTCTACGCACACGGCCAGGCCTGCATGGCCCTCGCTTTCGCTTCGATCGCGAGCAGCATCATGCGGGTGGCTTGCGTGAGACATCGAGACCGTTCCCCATGTTCTCTTCAGCCTCATTGTTTGGGCAGCAATATCGATAAATGCGCAGGTTCGGCTGATGCGGGAGAGCGGTAATGTCGCTAACAAGGCTTCGCAGTTCAAAGCGGCGCAGTTCTTACGCCTGGCTGAGTCGAAGGGCAACAAGACTTTAGGCAATACATGGTAAGTCAAACCGCTTTCATTGTCTATCTTCGGATCTATGGTCCAGTGGCGCCCGGTGCCATAACTCGATCTGGGAATGCTCGTCCTCGGGGAAGGAGTGCGCACATGCACTTCCCTGAGCCTCCCTTCACGCACCACGCACGCTATCCGCGCCATGCACGCATTCCCTTCACGGCCGACAACACCACCTTAACCACCATCACGGCCTCGCATCACAGGCGTCCGTAAACAAATGATGCAACTTTATCCGCACTAGCCAACCAGTTTCAACGCGCATGCGCCAAGATGCATCGATTGGCTCCCGGTGCACCCTTTCGCACTTAGCTCGACTGCGGGCTCTGGCGAGGGCCGCAGCAGAACCTGTCACGGTTTCCGCTTTCCGCACCCCACCCACATCGTCCCAAGTCGCTTTGGGACCAGGCCATTGTCAGGCGGACCCGCCGCAGTGGTTCGTTGATGGATGCGTTATACACGTGGCGCGCTGTTGTTCGACGGGGCGAGGGGTGTGTGTGCTTGTACCGATGACAGGCGAAAGAGACTGCCAGTGTGTGTGGCTCGCTGAGCGAAGAGACATGACGGCTACCGCGACAACATCTATTGCTGTCCTCCGTACCCAGCCGAGTTTGTCACAAATCAGCCCGCTTCGGACGCTCTATCTTCCCGGATGATACAGACACATAGTGCTGTTGTTATACCGAGCACGTGCTGACTACTCTGCCACTATAGGATCTGGAAGGACAAATACAATCCCAAATAGAACCATAGCGGGATATGTGCCTGGATAGGGCCAAACGCCCGCTCCGCCGTCTTGTTTGGGTAAAAGGTGATTGGGGGGGGGGGGGGGGGTGCTGGTCATCGCCAAAGGTCGTGTGCACCACACTCGCATGATCCCAAGACGGGAAGGAAATATCATCTAGTTAGTTTGCCTCTTGCAACTAAATACCCTGTGTACGATAAATTTCGGGCAAATCGAGATCTGGGGGTCTAGAGCCTCAGCTTTACGCCTCCTTGTCTTGGTTTTCCCGATGAGTGCAAATCGTCATCGCGTTCGAATCTTGCTTGGACTGCTTGCAACTCTCGGGCTACTGGTGACATTCTCTAGCCACGGAGCAGCGCGAATCTGCCCGTCCGCGCTCTCACATCCCCCCTCCAAAGCGTTCCTTAAGTCGTACAATAACGACGTGCCACAGACACCTACCTGCCTATCTGTCTGCACTCCACACCCCGTCCGCGTTTACCACATCATCTGCACCCTACTCTACCCTACATACTCCTACAACCCCACCGCAAATCCGGCATTCTCACCCGTCGTCAAGTCATCTCACACACAATGTACGTATACGACCGAAGTAATCCCCTCCCCCCATCAAATCGGACGCGTGCCCACGCAAGCGACTTATCACAAACCCACCCACTCAGCAGCGCGCAAAAACCCCGATTTCCACGCACTTTAAGTGACAAAATGACTCGCGCCTTGCGGTGAATGTGCATGAGTAGACTGCAGCATCGTTGTTTCACCATCGCCAATGTCCCCGTCTATTTCTCGTCCGGGCGGGTTCCAAGTTTCTGGGACTGGCGTGTGTATGTGTGTGGTCATGACGACGACAACCAAGTGTGTGTGTGTGTGCGTGTGTGGATAAGCCACCATTTTTCCTTCCCACTCACCGCCATTGCTTAGACAAAGTCCGAGTAGCTTGTGCGCGCCTGAAAGGGAACTAACCGCTTGATTTTTTCTTTTTCTTTTGGCAAGGAAGGGAAAAACCTTAATTACGCCCCCTACTACATGCGTGGAGTAGATCTTGAAAGCAAGCTTTTTTTTTTGTCTTTTCTGGGACATACGGCTGCAGTTGAAGGTAGGGTATGGGGTACATGGGATCTAGCGCTGCACGACGGCGGCGTGGGGATGTTGCAGTGTGTCGACTCGAGGAGGGGAATGCGAGGTACGCGCGGGACAATAATCGTGGGCGGTGCAGATCCTGCGAGATGCGCGAGGGCTGGAGAGTGGCGAAGCTGTTCAATCAAGCAAGCCAATACCCAATACATGCCGGGGAGGAGCTGAGCGCAGCGAGTGCTAGCGAGTAGGAGGAGAAAGCGACGTAAGCGCTGATGATTAAATGGGTTATGTTCTGCGCCAATGAAGGCCTAGGTGGGCTACGATATAGGTCTCTTGTGCTTTCCCAACAATAGTGACAACAACAAAGAATAGCCTGCCTTATCGCAAGGGAAAACAACGTGGTCATTGTTTGTCCAGCTGCGGGGTATTATTCGGGGGAATCTCGTGAAAGGAAAAAGAGTCGATTAGAATCGAGGGGGGTCGTAAGATGGAACAATCATCTCTTTAATAAAAAACCATGTTTCCAACTTCTCAGCATCATCATCGTCATCATCCTCCTGCAATCTTCATCCAGTGCCCTGGGTTTGAAGTCCAATCGAGTCATTCTCGTAGCCAATTCATTTACAAAATTGTCGTAGCCAGATACATAATCCAATCTCGTGAAGCGTAAAGTGAAAAACAAAAGAGATCCAACGCTCGCTACGCTAAATGGGGGAAAAACAACAAAACAGATGGGGGGCAACTACATGTGCTCGCTCGCTAAATAAGAAACAAAAGGTGTGAACCAGATAAGAATAGTCATCTGAAACATATGCCATGAGTCGTGAACAACGACCACGACGTGAAGAAGCAAAGAATCCAGCCGCCATATATGCTAAGCGATGTAGGTACTATGACCCAAGATCGACGTTGCCGTCCCAGATGTTGTAGAAGATGGCCAGGCTGTGTGAGCCATGGCGATGAAGGAAATGGTGGTGGATGCGATGCTCGTCGTGAGCGTGCAAAGGAAAACGCAGGAAGAACGAGTTCCAACCCATGATGCAGATTCTCCCTAAAGGGGCCCCAATCATGGGGTAAGAAGTGAAGCGCTATGCTGATAAACGACTAATGCAACTTAGGAGACGGCGGGTTGTCGACATAGGAAAGGTTTGTGGTGCGTGTGGTTTGTTTAGCTGATAGGCTCAGCCTTGGGGCCATCGGCGGTGGTGGGTCGTGACATGGCGGCAGACTCCTCGACGATACGCTTGAACTCGTGAACAACTTCGGGAGCGATCTTGTCCCAAAGCAGACTTCGTGTGTAGATCTCGGCAGCTGAGTCGCCCTTGTTCTGCTCACGCATGGCAGCCAACGTCTCCGCAAGGTTGCGGCGATGCGAAGGTTGGGGGTGAGCCAGGGGAAAGCGGGTCGCTCATATCGTCACTGGTGAGACTGTAGCGGCCGCGAGTGAAGTCCAAAGATGTCATGCTGTTGTACTGCGCAGGTGTGATGGAGAAGAGCTGCTCAGCCTCCTGGTCCTTTGTGGTTCCAGCGAGGTGAGAGTGCAGTTGGTCGAGGTGAGAGCCAGAGATGCCAGCGAGTTCAGAGCCAGAGAGAGTCGTCTTGGGCCAAGCGACACCGGATGGGCCGGGCTCGAAGGCGGAGACGGTGTTGGCAACCAGGTTCTGCTCAGCCAGGGTGGTCGAGACACCAGCATCCTTGAACGAGTGCTAGTCGAGCACGGTGGCCGAGGCAGCGCGGACCTCATCAGGCATACGAGGGATCGGGGGCGCAGCGTTGCCAGACTTGCTAGCGACGAAGGCGCCGCAAAGCAGCAGCATCAGCAGTAGACCAGAAGCGACTGGCTTGTCCTCGTCCTTGGAGCGAGGGACAACAGCGAGGTTCTGGTCGTTGCTCTGTGGCGTCTGCTCGTCGGAGGCGAAGTCGTTGACGAAGATGTAGTTGTCCCAGTCACTGCTGCCCATGTTGAAGGTTGTCCATCTCCGAGGCGAAGTCGGTGAAGGTGGTGCTGGGCGCGATGCCCATACCGTTGCCAGAAGCATTCTCAAGACGCTCAGTGAGGATCGAAACCTTCTTACGAAGCTCTCCAGTCTCGAGAGTGTGGGTACGGACGAGCTCCTCCTTGTCGAACTGCAGCTGGTTGATCATGTGGTGCATGTCCATGGACTCACGGTGCCAGTTCTCCTTCTCGGCGATCAAGGCATCGTACTCAATTCGCATGCGGCCAAACTCCTCTTCCATGCCGCACATCTTCTCGATCCACTGCTTCTTCTCTTCCTCGAGCTCTTCAGTGTGCTTCTTCTTCCGCTGTCGGGAGTCAAGTCTGTAATTGAGTTAGCTGATGAACGAGGAGGATACCATGAACCAAATGGCGCTTGGGACCAGGCGAGGAACGCGGAACCAAAGACCAAAAGGGAGTACGTACGCGGCCTGTCTGTTGCGGAGGAGTCGTTTTTGTTGCTTGAGCTCCTTGAGATCGTCCTCGTTGGTGCAGCTCTGGATGAGGTTGTCGATGTTGAGGAGGTTGCGCTCGGCCGGGATGTCGAAGCGGGCGTTCTTCTTCCTGATGCCACCGTCACGGCGGGGAGAAAAGGAACGGGGCGGGGGCGTGTTGGGCCTCATACGCTTGGGTCCGGGCCGTGCGTCCATCTCTTGCTGGTTGAAGGTCATCCACTCGGAGTGCGTGTGCGGCGACATGGGCTGCTCAGGAACGGACGGAGCGAAGACGGCGCTGGGACGGACGTTGTTGTTAATGGGGACTCCATGGTATTGCATATGTTGCTGGGCCTCGGGTGCGAATGTGGCAGCGCCAAAGTCGCCAGGACCAAAAGGATTTAACGGTTTGGGTGCAGTCGGCGTCCGGGAACCAGAGTTGTCGGCCATTGGCCACGTCTGTTGGCCATAGGTTGCGGCCTGGTTTGGGGGCAGACGGGCAAAGGGGTTGTTGCTCTGCTCCGTGAAGAAGGGGTTGTTGCCGTTTGTGTTGACAACGGAGCTGGTGGCTGTGCGGTCGACAAACTGGCCGGCGGAAGAGAAGTCCTCCCAGATGGAGGTGTCTGGCGAGAAGATGCCCTGTGTGCTGGTGGTGGGCGACATGAGGACGGGCGTGTCCAGGATGTTAGAGTCGAGCGTGGCGTTGTCGTCGAAGCTGAAGGTAGAGGGTTTCCGGTCCATGTGACTCAGGGTCGAGGAGGGTCTGTGAAAATCCATATGTTGGTTGAGGTTGGAAGAGGAAAAGTCCATGGCGGACTCTTGTAGCAAAGTACCGGTGTAGCCGGGACTGGCGGTGTGGATTGCTCTTTTCGGCAATCTCGATCGCTAGACGGAGCCCAGTGATGGAATAGTTATGCAACTTGGGGGCAGGACGGGCAACAACGGAGAGTCAGCGCAGGCCAAAAACGAGCGGTGTTGTTAACGTTGACTGCTACGTGTCGGCGGCGCAGTGTAGGGGCAGGGAAGGTGGTGATGGGGACTTTGGTGGGGAGGGGACGGCGGGCTAGCCGGTAGATAAAGCTGGAATTCTGGATTAGAGCGCTGAGGGCTGGGCGGGGTGGTGCGGTAGAATGGCAGCGCGCAGGAGCAGGGACCAGGGGTGCTTGAGTGGGCAAGTGGGCAGGCAGGTGCTGGGGGTCGTCGCTTCCGTGGGGACACACGCGACGAAACACGGCCTCGCCTTGTTATTCGGCGCCCCAAGCCCGTCGGGTAGCAGTGCTGCAGCATCATGTCCACGCTGCCAACGACTGGCTGTCGCTGCAACTGTCAACCAAGCCATGGCCCGTCCCCTCCTCCACACCTGCCCGCCCGCTGTTTGCCCTGCTGGTCCGCTGTCTGCTCGCTGGATCGCAGCCGTCTGCCAGAGTGATGCTGCGCCGTTTGCGCCCCGGTCCGCTGTCACGGCTTGCGCGCGCTCTGAAAATAATGGAAGCGGAAGTGCTGCCACTGCCATCACATCGCCCGCCCATGGTAGTGTCGACTCTCAGGCCGACCTGCCTGCGCTCTGGTACGACACCTGCACGCCGCGGCTCCAATTCCCGTGCCGCTGCAAGTGCACCGCCTATCGATACGTAGAGCGCAGCGCGCAGAGCGTAGAGCGTGACTGGCTTAGCACTTGGACGGCCCGAGCCATAGATTTCCAGCGACATGCCGCCGTCACGGGTTTCTGATTCGCACGTCCGGCCTCGAAGAGTGAAAACTCTGCTCGATAGAGTCAAGAAGAGCAGCGCTTGCCCTCGCTCAGCGCGCTGCCCGCATGCAGAAGTCGGTGTTGTTGTGCAGCCCCAGGCTGCACGACGAGGAACTGGTGTAATCCTGAGTACGGTCGGCTGAGTCCGCTTTCTTCCGCCGCCATCACCACACTCTGCACCAACATCCATTCGCAGCCCGCGAAGCGCGTCTCACATTGGCCGTCACCCGACTCCAATTCCATAGCCTCTGCCCGCGCTCGCTCGCAAGCCCTATTCGTGTGCGGCCTGCCAGGGTGCCCTTTTCGTCGCGCTCTCCAGTCCCTCATGATTGTCAGATTGTGTCATCTGTCCAATCCCGGCTCCCTTCCGCGAGCACGAGTCATCTCACCGCTTACTTCGCGCAGCGTGCTTCCCTGTCTGTTTTGGTCTACAAGCTTCCCTAATCGTGCTTCTGTGTTCTCGCTCATTCTCGTGAGGAGCTGCCCGGTGTAAGGTACCAAGCGGCCGTATTCTCCATCTGGCTGGAACATGCTTGCTTTGGCCGTCTGCGGCAAACACTGCAGCCAGCTGCCGTCGTTCTGTCCCACAACCTCATCCAAAGTCTCTCTACCGACCCGCCGGCACTGCACATGCGACATGGGACATGCTCTGTGCGTGATCGGTAGTTATTCGGAGTAATCAACAGTCATTGTCTGCCTCTAGAAATCGCACCGTTTGCGAGCCTACTATTGTCGGCCGGAGACTAGCAAGCGATTCTGTAGCCCAGTGCGACCCTCGAGCGATCAAGCAAGACCTTGGCTATCCAATATACTGCATTCTTTGCAAGATCTTCGTAATCGGGACGTGCTGGATCGTCGTGACAAACCCCAATGTTTTCCGTCCATAGGCCATCGTAGCATATCCGCAGTTGCCAATCGCCGACATCGCGGCGCGACAGGGTCCCGATACGGGTGATTGTACTCGCTGCCCGTAACGGTGCAACTCATACTGTAACGACCTAAGACAATCCATCCATACCGAAGGGTTCGTCACACATGAGAAGTGTGGTTGTCCAGGAAAGGCAAAGCCCTCGTGCTCCCGAAAAGCCAGGGCCTCCCTTCACAGCCACTTTGAGGGTTGACAGGCAATGCCTGCTTCCGCTTATTCTGGATCGCCCGTTGATGTTGATCTTCTCACTATGGCGCGTACAGTAACTGTGGCACACGCGTCGTGGGGTCATGGCGCAAAGCTGAATCCTTGAGCGAGATCCCGCACTCCACTCATCCTTCTCCATTGCATCCAACTTCTCTGCCATGAGACATTAGCCATTATTGACCGGAAACATTCACCGATTGGCAACTTTAAACATGCCATCACAATCGCATTGTACGTTGCAGCCCAACATGTAGGGCGCATAGTCCGCGTCCGAAATGGAGGATGCTGACTATTTGTGGCTGCCAGAAAGGTGAGGCTGCAGCGGTGTATGGACTCGCTTGATGTTCCCACTTTCCGTATCCGCGCTTGCATCCCGGCCACTTATACCTCTCACACGGGTTTATTCTTGGTCGACGAGAAAGCTTTCGTAACCTGTTGACGTCTTGGCAAGGAAGACCATGATCCAGCTTCTATCCATGAGTCACATGTTTTCGCACTTCAATGTCGCGATATTACCACGGAGCTTAGACTCCGAGTGATGACGGTAAGCGTCTGGCAACCAACGAGGCATGCCTGCAATAATGGCAAGATCTCGTTCGAGAATCCTTTGCGCGCGGAATCGATGCGGTGAAGTCAGGATTGTTGACCGATTGCTGTTTCTAGTCCTTTCTAGCCGCACTCTGAAACAACTGCGAGCATGAGACAGCCAATGTTGGATCCTCACCATCATCTTGCGGTGAAGAACGTCATTGTTGTTGAATGTCCTAGATAACCAGTGATTCAATTTAGAAGTATGGAGAAGCCCTTGCAGCGTGGACGTGAGGAAAGTTACCCGGTGCCATGTTGTAGGCGCGATGGTTGTAGCAGCATGATGCACCCGTGTAACCGTTGGACCTCCGTGGAGTGCACGTGGGACCCGTTGGTGTAACGGGCGGTAAGCGACGCATGTGTTGTGTGCAAGAGCAATTACACCTCCATCCATCTTTATCGTGGCTCAACTTGTCCATGCGATCCACACGAGGAATGCAGGCAAGCAGGTCGAGGGTGGAGTTGGCAGTATGAGACAGTGAGAATCCACACGTCAACGGTCGTGTGAAACGGGTTCGTCCCATTTGGGCACAGAATACCATATATTCGTATTTCCCGTTGGCTGGGAATTGGTGGGTATCTTTCTTGTAACTACGGAAACCTTGTCCACATCTCCCTCGGTGTGTAAGACAGAGGAGGGGGAGGGGGTGACTTTGCGAGCTCGGAATAGAGCTGAGCCGATGCGCCGATGTAGCGGCTGATGATACGGGCGCTGTGATGTACTTTTGCTCGGCCAAACTTGAGAAGAGGCTTCATATTCCTTCATTGTCGTCTCGAGACCATAACTTAATGGTACGATCTTTTCCTCCACTGACGATCCATGCAGCGTCACTGGTGACGTCGGTGCTGAAGACTGGACCAGAATGACCTTGTAGAGTCTTGCAGTGTGCCCAGTCGTCAGCAGAGAATATTTGGATATTCTTGTCAAACCCAGATGACACGACGAAAGTCGACGCCTTCTTAGGTGTGAGCTCGCCCTCTGCATTCTCTTGAATGGGGACGCCGCTATTTGGGCCATCGGTGCCCTTGAACCATTTCAAGTCGGTCACACCTCCTGTGTTTGCCGCTATTGAATTCGATTCTCTCATCGCCCTTACGTCCCAGCATTTCATAAAGCCGTCTCCCGAGCCTGAGAGAAGACGATGGCCGTCGGCATTCCAGTCCAGGCCATAGATGGGCTTGATGTGGCTTTCTAGCATGTAGATGACACGTCCGGTTCGAATATCCCAGACGCGGCCAATACTGTCGAGACCTGCAGAGGCCACCAGGGAACCATCTCCGTTGAAGCTCACGGTGTAGACCTCCTTTGAGTGGCCTTCCTGTGTGAGCAATTCCTGGCCTGTATTCACATCCCAAAGACGCCAGGTTGTGTCATCAGAGGCCGAGGCGAGATACTGGCCTGATGGGTGGAATGCTACGCGACACACTCGGTCAGTGTGGCCCTCCAAGGTACGCAACGGCTTGTCCTCGTCAAGTGACCACAGTTGAACTTTTCCTCCCGCTCCACCTGACGCAAAGTTCGCGCTGGGAAGTCGAGACATTGCTACCAGGTAGTGTAGCACCTGGCATCCAGTCGATTCCCGTTGCTCTTTCCGTGTGACCGCCACGATATGCCTTCTTTTGCTCCAAACTAGGTATCTCAAGAAGGGCTACCTTTCCGCCCCACGTCCCATAAGCAACATACTGGCCATTTGGCGAAACTCGTACGATACTGACGGGTCGGTCCGCAGTCTGGGAGCCGTATAGCTCGAATCCTTTCAAGCGATCTTTGATCTTGTTACGGAACTCGATGTGTGTCTTGAGCGGAATCGTGGCTTCGCGCCGTTGGTATGCGATTCGATCTTTGGCTCGTGGTAGTGAATAGCGCGCCATATCGCGTCGCGCGTCGAGCAGTGTTGGCGTGCCTTGAGTGTAGAACTCCTCCTGTTCGTCACCAGGTGCCCCGTCCGCCTCTTGCATTTCCACATCTGCCGCATCCTCACCCAGAGCTTCCGCGGCATCTGCCAACAGTGATCTCAGCCTGTCGCGTCTGTCTGCAGGTCCTTCACCAAAAAGTGTTATTGGCTCCCCTCTCGAGCGCAGCTTCGCTTTGACATCGCGATCCGCCGTGGGTACGATCAACGCTGCAGCTCTTCTTTTTCGGTCGAACTCTTCCATCAAGGTGGACGCCTGCTCGTTTCCTCCTCCTGGCATAGCATGGTTGCGATCGAGAGCTAACAATGTTAATTGACACATACGAGTTTCGAGAATCGCAGTTTATACTTACGGACATTGGCATAGTCAATGCCCTCCATAGCACCGTTCTGTACGATCAAGTTAGCTTCATTGTCGCGTCAGAACCACACACAGGTGTAGCTTCTCTGCTGCGCACGTGTAAATTCAACGCTCTGGTGAGTGCAGTAGGTGATCAGACTTACCACGCCATCCTCTTCCTCCACATAAGCTTGCCGCGACGGATGTATGTTCATCTTGACCGTGTCTCCCGTGGTGGACAGGTAGTGGTATTTTGTGGGGTTTGGGCTTTGCGATGGACTTTCCACAGGCAACCGGTGTTTAGCCGACAAGGCTGACCACTAGCGTGGTTATGTCATACCTCGCGAATGAAACACGACCACAGCTGCAGCGTTTGGCTTTAGAACAGCTGGTCTTAGAAGTGATTGCTGGCCTCCTAACAGCAAATTGAGATTTGAACGTTAGACAGGTGCTAGCACATACGCCCTTCCTTTCTGCCCTATCCAGCGGTATGATCCAGATAATTGTAAGTACAGACGCTCAGGGACTAAGCCAGATCGGCAAGACATCGCCCGCCAATGTGTGAATCCCTAGCCCAAAAGTCTCTTTTCATTCATCGACATTGTCGCAGAAGTACTACCTTAATATTATGCTTCGCACATACACCACCACACCACACAATCGTCTCCTTCACTACGTACTAACTTCTGCACCGTAGGCTTGGGCCGCGGCCATGTCATTTGCGATTGCGAGCACGGCGGGTCTGGCTCGACTCTCGCCCAAGTCGCGTCGCGCAACAGCTGGGCTCTTCCTCTTCGCACTCTCCGCATCATCTACAATTACGCCAATACAAGCAGCACGCACTGCTAGCTCCATTACCCGACGACCGGCCACACTATACGCCCAGCCAACATGTCCACTCAATAGAGATACTTCTCCGGCATACGTCGGCTTACGGACCTTCCACACAACCTCGCACAACTGGAGCCGTACACCTCAATTCTCCTATCATGTCGCGTCATCGTACTCTGCGAAGCAGGATCGGTTCAATGCGGATGCGAACCTGTTCACGAACCCACCGTACGACCCGAGCAAGACCACCATTGCCAGTTTGAGAGCTTGCAAGGACTCTATAAACAAGGACCACCGTGCAAAAAGCGGCCAGGATGCTTTCTTCTTCAGTCAGATTGGAAATACAAAAGCCACAACATTTGGCGTAGCAGATGGCGTCGGGGGGTGGGTTGAATCTGGTTTAGACCCCGCAGACTTCTCCCATGGCTTGTGCGAGTACATGACCTGTGCAGCGCGCTCGTGGCCACAAGGTTCGAACACAACCTCGTTGCATCCGAAAGACCTACTGCAAGTTGCGTACGATGAGGTTACCGAGGACGAAAACATTGAGGGTGGTGGCAGCACGGCATGTCTGGCCGTTGCTGAGCCAGACGGTAGTGTAGAGGTAGCAAATCTGGGCGACTCTGGCTTCATGCACCTGGGGGGTAATGCCGTACGACATTTCACGCAGCCCCAGACGCACGCCTTCAACACTCCTTATCAACTCTCTAAAACCCCCCACCGCATGCTTGTGCAGATGGCGGTTTTTGGAGGCCCTACAACTCTATCAGATCTACCCAAGGAATCGAGCGTAACGCACCACAAAGTGCGCCATGGGGACGTGCTCGTCTTTGCGACCGATGGCGTCTGGGATAATCTCAGCCCACAAGATTGTTTGGGCATTGTCAGTCGTCAGATGGTGGACCTCGGTGCCTGGGTGGAGAACGACGGCGCAATCGAAGTTGGACAAGATCTGGAGAAACTCGTACATGCTGGCACGACTCAAAAGGCTGGCAAATCGTCGCTGCAAGCAAAAGTTGCTGTTGCGATTGCAAAGGAAGCGAAGACGACTGGTCTCAACACCCGTCGGGATGGACCTTTTGCGAAAGAAGTGCAGAAGGCATACCCTGGAGAAAACTGGCACGGCGGCAAGCCGGATGATATTGCCGTCGTAATTGCCATTGTGCTGGAGGAGACTCCGCAACAAGCTTGATTTAATCGCGTTGTACTGACGTCCTTTCATTTGGACTGCATGGTTGGCGTTTGAAGATGGAGTCACAGCGGAAAAAAGGCGTATCTGCATAGATGATTACATAGGGTGGTAAACGTGTGGCCATTTGGCTTGGTGTTGCTTTTATAGCACAGCATGTGTTTAGACGAATAATCGATGATATCCATACCACCACTTGATGCTACTTGTCGATGCTCGCGCTTACAAAGCTCCCCATGCGCTGACGCCGATCACGAGCGACATGGTCCTAGCTGTTCGTCTCTCTCTTCGATGACTCAAGTTCAAGGCTTTAGGAGTTCATGTACATACTAGCATAATGTCATTTTACAATGTAGATGAATCGTGAGGGTGAGACACGAGCCACCGCAGTTTGGGGAAGGAGCGTCTTCACGGCAACACGGCTACTTGAGCTAATGCGCAGTGCCTACAGCTCCTGCAAATATGAAACCCTGTCTGCGTTCGTACGAGAAACGTGCCGTTGCGGAGTAGTCTTAGACTCGAATCCGGAACTCTGTGTTGATCTAAGCAGTTGCTAGGCAACGCGACCACGCGAACTACCAGGATCTGGCACCCGCGCGCTCACAACCTCAGACTCAGACTTCACCCACCGCCAACATCCCTACTGCGAACAGCCGCCGACTTTTTGGTCCTTATGTATGCGCAACTAACACTACAGTCGACATTCGCTATCCCGACGACACTCCCACCCCGATTATAGCGACGCGCCTGAATCTACTCGCGCCGCAATGTCCACCGCTTCACCTACGCCCATGGGCGGCTCATCGTATGCGCGCATGCGCTCGCACTCGACTATCCGACCGCGAAGAGACTCTCCGCTGTCGGTGCTGGGGCAGTCGCAGGGGTTTTCAGCAGACGCGCCGATGATGCAAAACATAAACATTGGCGACAGCTCCGACGACGAGATACCGCAACCAATGAAATTGAGCGCTCTGACCACGGCACTGCTCGCGCAAAACGATGTCAACTCGCCGGAAAAGAGGAAGCCAAAGCTGAAGATATCGCGAAGTGGCTCTGGCTCGAACACGCCGGTGCACGACTCTGTTACACCCGCGCCAAGTCTACGCATCAAGCGAGTACCACTTCGGGGCGCACCAATGAGGAGATTAAGGCGCACGCCCCAGAGCGAAGAGGAACACCCTCCATCGCAGGATCAAGAAAACATGCCCGTCACGGTAGTCAAGGACGTCCCTTTGAACGTCCCAGACTCGGTCATGAAAGTGACCAACTCTGTCATGAGAAGCACGGAAGACCGCAAGCAACCACCGCCACAAAGCCACTCGCCCATCCAAAGACAGCCTCTACAGCAACAAGAAAGACCCGTACCATTGCAGCAAATGAGCGCAAACACGCCCAGGAGACCGGCGCCGCCACCACCGCCTCCAAAAATGTCGGTCTTGGAGACGGCCACAGCCGCAGCAGGAGCTGCGACTACGAAGACTAGAGAGAGGAAGAAGAGGAGCACCCTTGCAGTCAATGGCAAGCACTACTCGCAGATGGATAGGATAGGAAGAGGAGGCAGCTCTGCCGTGTACAGAGTCATGGCAGAGAACTTCAAGCTATTAGCTCTCAAGAGAGTGAAACTTGAGGACGCAGACGAGGCTGCGGTACGCGGGTACAAGGGCGAGATCGACCTGCTGCAAAAGCTCAAGAATGTCGATAGAGTAGTCAGACTCTACGATTGGGAAGTCGACGAGCAGCGGCAGGTCCTTAGTGTGGTGAGCTACTATCCGGCGAGATAATGGTGACCCTTCGATGCTAATTTCTGATAGCTTATGGAACTTGGAGAATCCGATCTTGCCCGCATAATACGAATGAAGCTCGACCCTGCTGATGGCGACGGCAAGCTCGACCTGAGCTTCACGCGCTACTACTGGAAAGAGATGCTGGAGTGCGTCGGAGCAGTTCATGACCACGATATTGTCCATTCCGATCTCAAGCCGGCGAATTTCCTCCTCGTTTCTGGTCGCTTGAAGCTCATCGACTTCGGCATCGCCAACGCCATTGAGGTCGACCACACCGTAAACGTCCATCGTGATTCTCACATTGGCACGCCCAACTACATGTCGCCTGAGTCTCTCGAAGACTCGTCCGGCGGCGCAAGAGGCTTGCTATCCAACGGAGCAGGAAGCAAAGATATGGCTCTTGGCAAGCCATCCGACGTCTGGAGCCTTGGGTGTATCCTCTACCAAATGGTCTACGGGCGCCCACCATTCGCCCACATCGCCAACCAAATGGCCCGTGTCCTCGCCATCGTCAACCGCGAGTACCACATCGAGTTCCCAGACTTCGGTGTTGGCGAGATGCGCGTACCACCAGGCCTCAAGGCCACCATGCGCCGCTGCCTGCAGCGCGATCCGTCAAAGCGACCAAACGTCGCCCAACTACTTGACGAAAGAGACGTCTTCTTATACCCCGACGGCGGCGAGGATCTCCGCATACCCCAGGACCTCCTGGGCCAAATCATCCAACGTGTCGCAGACCGCTTCCGCGACCCCAACAAACCCAGCCCCACAGACGAAGAGATACGCCAGTATCCAGCAAGTTTCTACGAGAAGATTAGGCAATTGCTGGAAACTGATTGAGCCCTCCCGGAGAACTTGTTTTTTACGACCTTTGATTCTTTTGGCGCTTTGGGAAAAAACTCCTTATTGATTGATGAACTGGTCGGTTTTTACTTGGAGGTTACCTTTGTGTTTGGACAGGCGGATGGCTCTTATTACCCACCTTTTTCTTTTTCTCGCAACGCATTTTGAGCGTTTGAGCGTCCCTTACGAGCATGGTGAACGGCGCTTTTGAATTTTGGGGGAATGGCTGGCCTATTTGGGCTGGTTGGAGGAACTTTTGTCTCACGCGACACCTTTTTTGTACATACACGTGTTGAGACTGGAAAGAGATTCTTTCGATGTTCATTGGCGTCTTGGGTTCGATGTGTGAATTGTGCTTGCTTATGTTTAGCTCATGCGTATGTGATTTTGTCTCCTGCATACCACAAAGGGCCTCTGGACCACAGTTGCCCCCGGACTATATCACGAGGGTGGCAAGCACGGCCCTGGAATAGTCTCAGACATGACAGGTATTACGATCTCTCTCACTCGTCCATGGGACAGGCGTATCGCGCTCGCTGGACAGATAACCATATCCCATGTATATCCTCACATGTTCAGGCACCCGGAGGCGTTTCTGTGTCGACTCACGCAGCTGATGCAATGAGTAGAGACTTCTTGACTTTCCATTCTATGAGATTGTTTTGATCAGGTGAACACGCTTCAGACCCTGACCCGTATCGATTACCAGTGCAAGAAGGCCTCAATCTAATTCAACGTCAAAGCTGACATCCACGTCATTCCTGTTAATGGCATTTGTGCAGTTTACAATGAGGTCCTGCTTCAAGTCCCACGAATTTAGTAGGTCCAAGACGTCTCGACGCCAATTAATGGCTACACGCTTGAGGCCATCAATTCTCGCTAGTCGCCGGAGACCAGAAACGAGACGTGGATACAGATGTATCCGCTCGGTTTCCCGGTCGCGATATATGCCCGTGTCGTGGGTTTGGAAATTGAGCTGCACCGAAGCGATTGCACTGAGTTGCCAGCGCTCGAACGTGGAGAAGAAGCATTCCAAGCGATAGAGAGTGGGGACGTGAAAGCTATTGGCAGTGAAGGGCAGAATTCGGGGTTCGAAATAGGTCTGATGCCATGTTTGTAGGAGCGCGAGAGAGCATCCGAAAAGCCATTGCGGAAGAATGAGTGCCACATGCGTCAGGACATTTTGCGAGTTCCTTATGTACACCTTTTTGCTGGTTCTTGTGTAAGAACTTTTGCTCGGCTTGATCTCATCAACAAGGAGAGCGTACTCTAGGTCTTGTTTCTGAGCTCTGCTGGCAGCTAGAATAGTGGGGAAGCGCGCTGATTCTCGATTGTACTGAGCACTGTCAGCTGTCGTCGCCTCGACAAAAGTGAGAAACTGACATGGCTCTCATAACGTGCGAACTGGTAGGTTGAACGATCTGGGCGGCAAGAGGATTCATGTTGCTCAAGAATCGATCGCGCATGTGCCTTTGTAATGGTTGAGCAAATGGAGGATTGGGAAGGTTTAGAGCGGGAGACGGTAAGTCTAGGCTGCAGGTGAGAGGGGATAGAGGTAATGTGGCGAATGAAGTATCTTGCAGCTTAGATTTGATTGATAGATTGTATCGATTACCGTCAATCTATGGCCGCGATCCTATCGCATATCCTGCCTTCTACGAACGCGCTACTACCTTGTCTCTCTTGAGGGTTGCGACTGACCATGTTATGCTTGATCTTCCTCGCTGTACTTCTTACTATCCTCATCTTCGTCACTGTCGTCACCATCTTCGTCATTGTCGTCTGCGTCCGCTATGGCATCGCAGGATTCGCAACAATGCCATTTGGTCGCCTCACATTCGAGGTCCTTGTCCGGCATAAGCTTGCCCATCTCGCCCTTCGCAATCTTTTCCAGAGCTTCATGAAGTTTGCCTCGATCACCGAAACCCGCAGGGACTACTCGAAGCCAAAGTATCACGAGTGTCTTGAGACTTGACAAATTCTGCAGGGCTGGATAGCTACCAGAAATCCTATCGATGACTTGCTCAGGGCAGTTTGCAACACACGTGATTTCCGACACCAGCAAACCAATGGTCCGCACTGTACTCAGTTGCTCGTGGCTCGTCTTTGTAAGGAAGATCGCGCCTAGATCCTCCGCGCATCCAGCGAACATGTTTGTGGAGAAGATTAAGAATTTGGTCTCAGCGTAGAGCTGGCGCGAGACGAGAAGAAGGTTGAGGAGCGTGCGTGGGTAGTGCCATTTCCACTTCACTTCGTCAAACCTGTTCTCACAGCCAAACCCGATTATACATTCACTACATTTGCCATGGCCGCAAAGTGTAGCTGCACCAACGGCAAAGACGTAGGTAAATATCTGGGTTCGGAGTTCGGCGGGTAAGCGGAGGAGCGGCAACGCGTGCTGGTTTGCGAGAGTTCTGGTTCATCGTTAATTGTGGGCGTGTGGGGTGTCAGGATGAATTTACTAACCCTGTCTCGAGAGCGTCACACATAGTATCAAGATCTGCATTACCTGCAGTCGAATTGACAATGTGGGCGGACGAGCGTTGTTTAGTCATCGTTGAATTGAGATGTTCCACGATTTCGGCAGGGGGAGTAGCGTTGAGGTGTTCGAGTTCAGTGAACAACATTTGTGCGAGGAAGGAATGAGGGATCAAGCTCGATTTGATTGTACAACGTACAAATAGACGTGCCCAGACTAATCTAATAAATGACCTCCAAGCGCAAGTGAAGACAAACTAAACTGCCCAACGTGCGACCTTCCGTGCTCTGCTTGCGCGGCTAAGGAGCCATTACATATAATCTATCTCCTGTTTTAGGACCACACCCTCCGCAAAGCCCATCTTATCAAATTCTGCCAGAATTGCTTTGAACTCGGGCCTACATCATTCAAGCGATGAAGAGCGCTCGAAGTGGAAGTGGTAGACAACGATCTTGCGGAGGCCCTGTAGTCTTTGAAGATATAGCAAGGCTTCTCCGACAGGTGAGTCTAGTGCGGCAACGGAAGGCGTAACAGACAAACCACAATCGCAGAAGCCGGGCGAGTAAAGGTAGATCGTGTCTGTGGCAGCTTTCTGGTAATGGGTGAGTGTACATTGCTCCAGGTAGTCGCAGATTTCTTCACAAAAGCCCAAGAGCTTGTTGAATTTTAAGATCAGGGTCCGCGTCTCAGAGTATGTCTGTCTACAGACTTGGAGGATTTGTAGAAGATGACGTGGATAATGCAAGTGGGAAGGTAAGGTTTGGTAAGCGTCGGAAGTGGCAATGTTGCAGACCATGATCGTTGCGTCGCTTAGGACCTGCTCGTATACGATGTTGCGCAGCTCAGCGGGCAGGCGTAGTAGAGGCGACTCGTGCTGGTTTTGGATAGTGCTTCAAGGGTCAGCGCGATAAAGGTGGTGTCAAGGAAGATCGCTCACATGGGATTGCTGGTGTCGCGCGCATGTGGGATGGTTTTCTCTGGTGGACACATTCTCTTGGGAGGTTTCGGGAGTCAACTCGTATTCGGGAGAGTTTCTTGAGGGGGAAGAGAGGTTGCGGGGCAAGTTCATATTGGAGACGAGAATTTCACACAGGTGCGGACCGCGTTACGTCATCACAAGGTGAAGGTGAAGGTGAGACAAATCGTTTGTCAACTACCAAGCAGCTGCGCATTCCGCAGAAAGGACCTTTAGTCTGACCAGTGGTTGCGATAAGATCCAGACTCACTCCTATTCTGCCTAGCCCGGGGAAAGTGTCATGGGAGAGCTCAAGCCCATGTCGCGAAGACTCTCCGTATCAATGATCTTCAAGTCCACATAGCCGATAGCCTCATTCTTCCTGACCTCTCTAAGGAACTTCCTCCTCAGTATCTCTTCAGCATTTGACGGATTGACGAGCCGATCAAAAGTGTATTTCGATAATATGGTGACCTGCTCTAGCCCACTTAAGCGTCTGAATCCTTTGAAGTCGGCACTGAAGAGGATCATGATGCACAAGGATGCTATACTTTCGAGCTGCGTCCTGTCGAAGATGGCATCGAATGTTCTCGCCATATCTCGAGCATAGCCACAGAAAGTGTTGACAGTGAAGGGCAGAGGTCGGGTTTCCGCGTGGATCTGGCGACACGTTGCAGTGAGGGACAGGAGATCCGGAGGACAATGCACGGCGCAACCGACAGACCTGTTGTTTCGACAGAGCTCGCATTGGACGGTGGAACAGACGCGGATGAAGTGGCCGCCAATGGCCATCGCGAAGATGTCATTGCGGATTTCTGCCGGTAGCCGGAGTAGAGGTGAGTTGCGCAGGTTTTCTGTCGTGCTGTCACATTGTGAGTTTAGTTTTTTCTTGCGCATGTGTCGCCTGCTGCTTACAGAGCGTTAGAAACCCCTTCGCCATCGGTATCAATCTTTTGTATGTCCATGATCGACTGGGCGGACTTTGTTGAAAGGTGCGAGTCGAGAGTTTGGCGAGTGGTAAAGACGTGGGCCTGGACGACTAGAAATTCCGGGCTGAAGACGGCAGTCGAGAAAAAGTAGTGAATGTGCGGAATACACACAGCATACGTCATTTCTTCCGACTCCTTAGCTTGTTGAGCTCCAAATTGTTGAGCGAAGGCGTTCTGGTGTAGAGAATTTCTAGGGCGCGTTACTCACACTGCCTATTCCCAGTCACTGCCACTTTTACGCTTCGGACCAACCTCTCTATGAAAAGTGCAAGAGTAGAGAGTAAATTCTTACTGTCTCTGGCTATATCTAAATTTTGCTAAGCCTTTCACAAAAGGAACTTGAGACCGTGTTTCTCCTCACATTCTCTTCGCAACGAGACTCAATATTTTCTTGATGTAGTGTCAATCACAATGGAAAACTCCGAAGTAACAGCATTTGGATACTCCTATGAAAGCACTTGCGATATATTGCATGTGGCACGGTGATAGAGTTGTGGCGCGACACTGCCGCATTACGACTATGTAAAACTACATTTTGCACCACAAACGGAGCTATTTTATAAGTGATCTTTGCCTCAAAGATCAATATTGGGAATGAGCATATGTTTTCCCATCCAATAAAAACATTAATAAAATACTCTACTTCAACTTGTATCCGCCCTTGACCACATTCTGGAAAAAGCCATACGGGTCATACTGCTTCGCTGTCGCCTTCAATTCCTGCACTGTGTTCTCTCCGTACCCACTGAGCGGATCTTGCCAGCTTGCCGCGTAGTTCAAGTACTTGTACGGGCTCACGCCGCCGTTTCCAGGCTCCCTGAGCAAGGTCTCAACATCATTGATGAAGCCCTTAGTGGACTGTTGTAGTACAGCGTAGTCTGACTCTTTGGGCGAGTATACAGATATCAGGAGCAGCACGAGATTGCTGGTATCTTCGAGCGTGCTGAATGGAAACAAACTTGTGTCTGAAGTTGGAGGCGGGATAGACTGATACGTCATAGCGGACGTGAGCTCGGGGATTTGGACTTTCAGGCTTTCAGTTGTGGCTTTCCAGATGTCGTAGGTGAGTTTGATGTTGGTATCTGTGATGGGAAATGTTGTGGTTGCGTAGACAGTGCTAAAAGAAACACGACGTTAGCATCATCCTTAACCCTCGTTCCGTCTTGAACGGATCACTTACAAGAAATTCATCGGCTGCCCCGCTTGAACCTCGCGCGCGAAATCCGTCACATTTGATAGTCTCAACGTACTACTCAAATTCGGCGTAATCGACGTGAACTGATCCAACGAACTCCTATCCTCGCTGTCACTCAGGAAGAACAGATTGTTACTAACGAAGTAACTCTTTTGACTGCCATAGTACACAAAGGTCTGCTCAATCTCCAGCAGCGGGTCGTGCGGCGCCTGCTTGAACTTTGTGAATGCTTCGATTTGGGCCGGATCTGCGGATTCGGGGGTCACGACGGCGCCGCCCCAGAAGCGACTGGGCGTGATCGTGCGCAGTGTGAAGGAGGTTATAATACCGAAGTTGTTCTGGCCGCCTTTGAGCGCTTTGAAGAGAGTCGGGTTCAATTGGGGACTGGCGGTAACGATCGCGCCTGAGGCGAGGACGACACGCATGGATTGGATGGAATCGCAGCCGAAGCCATCGCGGGGGGAGAAGAAGGAGATTCCACCTGATTAGTCTTTGTCAATTTCGTCTCTTCATCAGAATCTGGTAGGAAGGGAGATATGCGTTGGACTTACCACCGCTGAGAAATCCTCCAACACCCACATCTGCAACTCTCGCTCCAACAACACTCTTTCCCAATGGATCTAGCTTCTCATAAACATTGATCCATTCATTCCCCGTGCCCAATTCCACCGTGTTACCATCCGCGCTCAATTCAATCTTATTCAAGCCCCTCAGATCGATAGTCACGCCCGCGTTAGCATTCGAAAAGCCAACGTTCGGCGAATGACCTCCGCTTCGAATGGCGACTTCGACGTCCGTGCAGGATTGTATTGTTTTGACGACTTTTGAAACGTCCTCGTCGGATTTGGGCTGCACGATACAGGTTGGAGCGAGGACGCGTTGCTGCATGAAGAAGTATGACGACGTGGAAGCATTGTAGGAGTTCGAATCCGGCAAGACGAGTTGCGAAGGGAAAGTTTGTGCGAGCAGATCACAACATTCTGCCGTCGAAGTTGCTGTCGCCGTTGCCGTTGCAACGAGCAGGAAGAGAGCGGGTAGGAAAGCCATGACGAGTTGCGAAAAGAATGAAGCTGGCCGCACACAGCATCCAACCAGCAGATCAATGCAACTTATACTCCCCCATTTGTCCTTTCTTTTTTAGTGTACTAACATGGTCCCGCACGGGCCCGTAGAGTGTAATCCCAGTCCATCGAGCCGAGCCATGCTTCTACGGCAGTCATTTCGGAGTCCGTGTGTGGCTGCTTACTCGCGCTATTACAACGACTAGCTTTGCAATGGCTTGCGAGCCAGCCAATTTCCAGTGCACAATAGCAGGTAGGTACGGTATTGGTTTAACGGAGCAGCTACGCCGATTGAGCTGGCATGCAGCTCATGGTTTTATCGGCCGGTGCAAACGGTCCGAAGAATGTGGGGTTTGCGGCTCTTCTATCTTGGAGGCTGTGGAGTTTGGGAAGGTGCGAAGAGAAAATGTATCATGGGGTTAAGATTGGATTTGAACTGGTTTTCATGCTGGCTAAAAAACGTGGCTGTAGATACGAGGTCGATATGCGCGCTATTCAAAGTACGTACTTCACATCTACCCCTTTCTTTCATGGAGAATGACGAACACATCGTCCTCGCGGAACGGCAGACTAGCACCTGGGCTGGGCTTGCTGTGGTTGATTCGCGGGAATACTGCGTCTTTTCGGTTTCCCTTTATGCCCATTGCCTTGTTTGTTCTCTCTGCATCGATACTGATGTCGTATGTATTCAACATAGCCGCTACAGCAAACGCAATTGCACGACGAGCCATGTGTCGTCCAGGGCAGAGTGTGCTGCCTCCGCCGAATGGTCGGTAAGACTTAGAATTTAGCAGCTTCGGGTTCGTGAGGAAGCGATCGCCTTCGACTTCGAGAGGCTTGGAGCCCCACACCGATTCGTTGCGGTGGAGCTGGTGGAACGGGACCTGCCAGGTGTTAGTGATAGTTACAGGTAAGAAGCAGGAAGTGGTTAGGACGTACCATGACTTTGGCACCGGGCTCGAGCACCTTGTTACCCACAGGCGTGGGTTTGACGACATCCCGAACAAGTGGACTTGCCACTGCCAGTCGGAGTGTTTCATTTACGAGAGAAGTGAGATGATCGCAGTTTTTGAAGATGTACTCCTCATCGTACGATCCGTTCTTAAACGCACCTGCTGACTCCTCGCGGATTGCAGCGAGCAGACTAGGGTCATAGATGATGTAGGCGAATACCCAGAAGGCGACTTTGTACGTATTTCCGAGAACACTAGTGACTGTCAGAAGTGCACTGGTCACATAGTTTGCGACAGGTACTTACGCCCAGAAATGCAGCATAATGGTCTTCGCCATGTCCTCCTCACTCACACCAATATCGCGCATCATCTCCTCCATCGCCTTGGGGAAGTAAGCTCGGTCTTGCCGCTCCTCAACCGGAAGCTGCAGCCATTTGACGAAGGTGTCGATGATCGCGTCTTTGGACTTGATCATATCACCGCTCATGAACTTAGGCAGCTGAAAGGTCCACTTCCAGTTGGTAACTTCCCACGTCATGAAGTCGCGGAGTAGAGCTGGATTGACTTTCCAGATACCTGCACCAAAGAACGCGCTGGTGATGCCGCCGTCGAAAACATCGACCATGAGTGCCATCAGCGACACGGGAGCTCCGTCACGCATATCAATGCGCGTCGGGTTCTCGATGGCATTTGGGCGGCGCTTGATCGTGTTCCAAATGTACGGAACAATTTTACCGTCATATAGATCATCGAGATGCGGGCCCGGGTACAGCTGGTCGCGATGGAAATCGTTAGTTCTCAGGGCAGCGACCATTACCGTGCCCTTGCCAATGTTGTGTTTGGCGGAAGGATCATGAGCGAACAGCTTGTCGATGCCATCTTGCGAGCACTCGATCATGTAGTGCATCTGCTCAATCATGCTGTGATAGGAAATGGTCGCAGTGTTCTTGTACATATTTGCGACATCGTTGGGGTCAGTGAGGATGTACACACGTGCACCGAACAGCCAGACGCTGTAGGGTTCCGTGTTGTTCTTGAAGTGTTTTCTGCAAGTGCGTGTTAGTGAGTGATGTGAAGTTTGATCTTTCGTCAATGTACCGTGCAGACTCAATAGCCTGGTTGTAATCCACGAAGAAGGCACGGACATGTCCTGATTGAAGTCAGTAAGTAATCATGGAGTATCGAGGGTGGTATTATACCAAAGTCTGTAAAACATTAGGCCTTCTTCATAACAGTAGAAGTGAAAACTTACAAGGTATCCAATACGGGAGTTCCAGAGGTCGTGCTGGGTGAAGAAATGGGACTATGGTGAAATTCCACAGGCGCCAGCATAGTAGGGCCACTGCAAAGAAGCCAATGACTAATACAAACACGCCATGATCGCCATATAGAAGCGATGCTAGAAATGTAGCCATTTAGACAGGTGCCAGTTTGTGTTTGAAGATAGTGCAATGGGAGGGGAAGGGCTAGGAGGGTGACATGATTATACTCAAGTCTACCCAGATCATCAGCTTAGGCACACTCATGATGAGTGACTAGCTGCCGAATCAACCCTCGTTGATAGCCATGGCAGTGCTGGACATCGCAGATGGACGCATTCAAACCCAAAAGAGATGGTGGGCGTTGGTCTACTGCCGACCTGCATCAACGCTGCGATGGCACTGGCGTCGGGGAATTACAGGGATGCTGCAGCCGCTCCCAAGTTTCTGCATTGGCTAAGTCTTGGAGGGCAATTAATCATCGGATGCAACACTGTTCCTTGTGCCGAGAGCGAAGGTTTGGTGGGCTGCCATGTGGTACACATGTAAACCAGTACAATTTGAAGTCCTTGGTATTCGTGAAGTGGAGGAGTTGCAACGTGCTGGGATCGCTGCGAGGAACGCCTCTTCGGTCCACTTTGCCTATCAGCTGTTTATGCACAGTGAATACGGCCGTACTCCTAAGATTCCTACTTTGGCAGGCGCCCCGCTATAGGATTGCAATAACACCGCTGTCCGGGCCAAACGAACGTTTACATCGGGAACTCATCCGAGGTGAGGCTTTGATGATATATCAAATTCATGGGATGCTAGAATTCACGTCGGAGACCAAGAATTTAAGCCTGTTACCATGACATCAGCTCTATCTGAAGTGACCTGAAACGCCCTCGAGATGGCGCAAAGCATAAGAACTATCGTCTCACTTGCATGACGGCACGCCAATCTCGGACGCCGAGATGCATAATGGTCTGCCTCAGGGTTACCGGTACGGTGGTACGCCGAAACCTTTCATTGCTCACATGTCGACTGTAGTACGCGCTAGTCTGTCACAAGCGCGAGATGCATGTGATTCATCCAACTGCTCTTCAGTGAACGAATTCGGACATATGCGTCGCAGTTCTTCCTCAGAGCAGCAGGACAGTGGAACTACTTCTCGGCGCTGTCGGATGGATGGCATCGTTTGAGGTACGGACTGGGGTAGGCTAGTGGGTCTGGAACCATCTCCTCCAATCGTCGGGTACAGCGGCAGGCGCCACAGGGAATGTCAGATGTAGTTTACGGACCTAGCATAGTGGATCTTGGTGACCGGGTCGGTGGCCTGTCAGTCATACGTTAAGCCATATCGATCGCTGCAAGTCTCGCTCCGATTAATATTTGGCCAATCAAAGTGGAGACTACCCCAGTCCAGACTGGCCCTATTGCGGCGAAAAGCAACATCACCTCGACATTTGGAGCTATCTACCCACCAATGAAATAATTACCCGACCACATGTGCTTGGAGAGGCTGGGGGCGGCCGAGGCTGTTTAGCATGGTCAGTCGGTCGATGCCAGGAACACACAATCGTGAAGCAGTTGAACAGATACTGAATGGCGCATGGCGCGGCTCAAGGGATCGGATTATGTGTCGGACGAGACAAGAAGGGTTTGTATTCTCTCCAAATGCACTAGAAACAAGTACTAAACTAGCTTTGACTGATTTCCACCAAAAGCCATCATCTCATGGTCGTGCGCCAGGTGGCGTGTGCTCTCGTTATCAACTTGAACATCGACGTGACTGCTTTTATAAATGTGATGACTGCCTGGCCCAACTGCTACCACTCGAGTTCTTGGAGTAGTGTGAGCTTCCCTTGCTGCGAACAAGACTGCGGATAGGCATAAAGATTCTCGAAGCCCATAAAGATCGACCAGTTGGATTTTCGGAAGATTGGCCGAAAACGTGTCTCCAAAATGCGGCCGTAGCAGGCATGCAACTTGCGGAGATTCCGACACACATCTCGACCAAGGCCATAAGGAGGATGGGATATGTCCACCAAGTGAAGTCACCAAGCTTACCGTTCAGTTTATGTTTGTAGACAATACTGAGGGACGATGCAACGCAGCAACTACGATCTGGTTAGCGAAATTGAACTTTTGGCGATTACGGGCGACTCACAAAAGACCAGTTGCAAATATTGCGATTACTCCAAGCCGCCTAGTTAGGTTGAGATGGAGGTTCCACACAACCCAGACTGGTAGAAGCAGAATGTAAACATCGAGTATCAAGCTTCCAGAGGCAATGGGCATAGTCATGTTGAATGAACCTGCGTAGCGTGGATTTTGGGATCCTTCGAGCCAAGTCTGTCCGGGGCTTGGTGCGTTATAGTAGAGACTGGCAGCAATAACTGCAATGTAAAAGCCCCAATTGACAATTATTCCAACGTAGCAACCAATGCGCAGCCATTTCACAGGACTGAAGAGGTCCAGATACATGAGGAAGAAGGAGGTCTTCGCGAATGCCCATACTAGGGCTGTTGGCCAATTCAGGAAGAAAGATGGCTGGATAATTGTAAGTTTGATACCTAATGCGCAATGTCGTGTGCTTACAATGAGGAACTCGTCGCTCATGGTGTGCGCAATCGATATGTCCCACATGTGCGTCGCGAATTTTGTCCTTGGTAACGCCATATACACATACAAAGTAATACAGACAAGTGCCTATCACGGCGCATATAGTAGTGTCTATAGAACTATATCAGTGATCGCACATTGAGTGAAAGGGCGAGTACTCACAGTCGTCTGGCGTGAGTTTGCGCAGTATCAAGAATTTTGCGTAAAATCTCATGGCCAAGAACAGAAACATAATGGCCATCAGTGTTGTTCCCACAGTGATGAGAACATAACCATCTGAATGCGGGTTTTTGAGGTTTGGGACCACGCCAGGTGGCGGCACACCAGCTGGAGTCTGGGCCAGCTGTTCTGGTGTGAAGTTTGCGAGCGCGTCCATGATTTCAGCACTTTGCAACTGCAACGATGAATTATGACAGAGACCAATTGCTAAAGACGAGTGGAATGATGACCTGGAGGTGCATCTTCAAGCTACCTGCATGGCCATTCATATGTTAGTAGGAAACGACTGGGGAGCGTCTGAAGCCGAACCGAAGTCCCGCCATCGGGGTTCAGACCATCCATGGCTATACAAATCGAGCAATATCACCGTGAGCCGCAGTAATGTCGCAACGACATGGGTGACGGATCGCGCTATTCCTGCAGCTCACTGAGGGTGTAGCGCGGGTACTCAGAATCAAGATGTCAGCGGGAGAATCGCGGGCAAACCCGCGTTCGTGTGTGGTTAGCTCGTGGCTCGTGCGCCCACCTACTTTACACCCCTGCCCCATACCCCATGGTTACCGAATCGGGGATTTTGACTGTGCCTCAACTCGACCGACGAATCCTTTGAAATCTCACTGTGCCTCACACTCTATTCTAACTTCCAAAAATTCCCAAACAATCATTTCCTGACTCAATTCTTGACTTCACTACTTGCTCACCTACTCAATATGGCCCCCAAAACCGTCCTCATAACCGGCTGTAGCGATAATGGCATCGGTAGTGCGCTTGGCAAGACGTTTCAAGAGCGTGGATACCATGTATTTGCCACAGCTCGAGATACTGCGAAGATGACATGGACAAAAGGTCTTGATAACGTTACCCCAATCGTGCTGGACATCAAGAAGCCAGGCGATATCAAGAAGGCTGTTGAGACCGTCTCAAAAGCTACAGACGGGAAACTTGACTTCTTAGTCAATAACGCTGCACGGAACCATTTCATGCCAGTTTTGGACGTGGAGGTGGATGCTGTCCGCGATCTCTTCGAATCCAACTATTTCGGCCCTCTTTCGGTCACTCAGGCATTCGCGCCACTGCTTATCAAGGTACGGATCTTTCTCGCCGAAAACTTATCCGATAGATGACTGACGCAATACTTTGATTAGGCGAAGGGCCAAGTCTCGTTCATCACATCCATTTCCGGCTACGTGAACACACCGTGGATGGGTATGTGTTTTGTATTCGCGACACCTTCCGACACTAACATCTCCAGGCTTATACGCTTCCTCCAAGCGAGCTATTGAGGTTGTCGCAGATACCCTGCGTCTTGAGCTCGCTCCACTAGGCGTGACTGTCCTCGCCGTCGTTACTGGTGGCGTCAAATCATCGGGTCAAACGTACTTTGATGATCTCAAACTGCCAAACGGCTCGCTCTACAAGGGCATTGAGGACACGATCGTCGCCCGGGCAAAAGGCGGTGACGGTATGCCAAGGATGGAGACGCTCGATTACGCCAAAGCTGTTGTTGACGAGATGGAGAAAGGTAAGTCTGGCAAGTTCTGGTATGGAGAGTTCGCAGAAATGGTCAGGCAGGGCACGACAGCCGTCGCTGTACCGCTCGAAGCTATGGTGAGTTGCGACAAAGAACAGCACGTTACGGTTCCTCAAGGCTCACTCAAAACAGGATGCTCAGATGACCCAAGGCACCGGACTGGACACCTGGAAGTCGTAGGGTGCGGCTTTAATTCGGGCAGCTCTCTAAGATCGAAAGAATTGGTGTAACATCGTCGGATGAACATTGCGAACGCAGCAGAAGCTACAAGGTATAGACCTTGTAACATCCCCGATATCATATAGGAAAATCTATAGTTGCTCAATTTGCGTCGAAGACCGCTGTCGCGAAGTTACATGTGATGCGCCCACTGCAGTTCAGTCACGCAGCTTCTCCAGCAGCGGCAATGCGTGTGAATTGGCACCGCAGGTCTTCAGGCCTAATGTGGATACACGTGCGCAGTCTACAGCCAGCGTTCTTTGAGGCTCATAGAAAATAGTCTAGAAGTAAAGCCGTGATTCGTTGGATGTTCCGAAGTAGAAGCGCGTGGTGGCTGGCCGTTGGACTGCTTGACCAAGCTTCAAAAGAAATACTAACCCATTGCGCCACAGCCGAATTTCTGCACCTAGGTCGCCCTCGCCAAACAGTCGGATCGGGCCCCCCCAACTGGGAAGGTTCGTGCATTATGTCAATCTTTCCACTAATGATCAGTATTGCCGAGAACTACTGCAGCCCTAATGTAGCGGCGACACTTCGGGGTCCGAACAACTCTTTCGTACAGTAGTATCTGTGCGACAAGGATAATCGGGTCACATCGCCAAGGTTAGTAGCAGCGATGGATATACCTCGATGCAAAAATGATGGGAGCTTGCTAGATCCAGTGGAACGTGGTCAGGTGAGTGAATCGTGGGTGGCGTGGAAGGGTACCAAAAGGCATAATGCGGGCATTCCTTCAATCTGAAACTCCCCGAGCAAGCGCTGGGTACTTTTAACTTACAGAAACATATCCAGTATTTTCAAAGAGGAAACAATGAGTCCACCGATCTCCACACCGACCAACTGGGTGAAACTTGCCCAGCTTTCCTTCCTGGTCTTTACAGTCGCCTACGTTGCGATATCGCTGTTTCGGGTTTGTCTACATCAAGGAATTCAAACATTCAGAGTACCAATTTGACTCCTTCCAATAGGGAGGCTATGCCAAACTCAGACGGATTGCACACGATTTTGTATGTGATTTTGGGCACTGTCAAACCACCATACTGACCTCGCAATAGAGCAATGCTCGATTCTACAAGCCATGGAAAGCCGCAGACAATTTCACAGTCTTGTACTCCAAGAAGCAGATTGCGGAGCTCAGCGAAGCAACTGTTCTGTCGCAGAAAGCCGTATACGCTGATGTACTTCGCGCGATTCCTTCTCGTAACATGTCACTGACATGCTGTAGATGTTCGGCTTCAAACATACGATGAATGGTATCGACCATAACAGCCCAGCAAACAGGTTAATTCGTACCAGACTGTATTCAAGGCTGTTGCAGGTCAATGGACCCACTTATCTCGAGAACCTCTTTCCCTTCTTGAAGCAGAAGCTGGACAAGACTCTACAAGCCGAGCTGAAGAAGGGCAAGAATGTAAACGGTATGATGATTTTCACTCTTTGAAACGAATAGATATTGATAAACACAACTCAGGTGGCCTTTCCATTCCGGTGGCTTTAACTGCTCGCAGACTCTCATCAAAACTGATGGCTGTCGTCTTCTACGGCGATGAACTTGGTACGCTTAGTTTCTTACCTATGACTTGAGTATGACTGACACTTCTCAAGCCTCGGATGAGGGCTTTGCCGAAGCCCTTCTCAGGTATCCAAAGGACATGATAAAGTGCATGGCGGCTTTCCAGCTTACCCCATCCTGGTTATCACCGTAAGTCTGATCAAATACTCACGCATCTTCATAAATTTTAACATTAACAGGTACATGCACGCTATCCTTACCAACCGAGGGGAGGCAATGCACAAGATTCAAAACCGCCTTCGCGACATCATGGGCATGGGAAGAAAAGCCTGGAACGAGACTCCCGAGATCAAAAAGGTGAGCATTCCAAGATGTGGTGTTTCAAGTTCTGAAAGCAGCGACTAACAGCTGCTAGCTCACCATTGCGCACAATATGACCGAGATGACTGACGGAAGTGACTACTGGGACCCAGAACTTCTATCCCAGTCTCTGCTCGGAATCTGGTTTGCCGCCGCACATCAGCCATGGATGTTCCTCGACTTCATACTGCTCGAGCTCTCCACTCGCTTGGACTGGCAGCATGCTCTTCAGAAGGAGCTAGACACGCTTGCTCCGTCAAACTACAATGAGCTAGAGAAGCTTCCATTGCTCGACAGCTTCATTAAAGAGACCATTCGACTGAATCCTTTGGACAAGTGTAAGTGACGATAGCCGGGTAATGGAAGTGAAAACTGATTTAGATCGTAGTCGCGATTCGTCGCAAAGCTCTGGAGCCGTACACTTTCCAAGGCGGTTCACCATCTGTACCTCTCGGCGGAACAGCCTGCGTTTCTGCTCACGATCTGATGCACGACCCGCAGACTTATCCAAGCCCCGATACCTTCCAGGGAGCGCGATTTGTGCCGACTGAAGCAGGTGCACCGCAAAGCAAGTTTACAGACGTATCTGAGAAGTTCCCGGTGTGGGGTTATGGGTCTCTTGCGTGGTAAGTACTTCAATTCTATACAACATTTGATAGAGCGAATACTAACAGTCGACTCGATAGCCCTGGCCGCTTCTACGCCTCTTTGATCATGAAATTGATTCTTTCGGAAATACTTTCTAAGTACACGATCAAGCTAGAGGACGAAAAGGCGAGGACGAAGTTCTATTGGGAGAGTTTTACAATGCCATATGAGTCGACGCGGATCGTACTACAAGAGCGAAACCGTTGATCCATGATACCGCATCTTATACTGCGGTTGCTTCGAGCATAGTGCTTGCGAATTGGTACATAGTAATGTTATTAAATTGTCATATATTTGGCCCAAATGGCATAATTAATTAGACAGGACGTACTGAACAATTTCGCATGAGCATCGCTTCGTTTCACCCCAATCTCTACCCTTTCTCACATTGATGTCCGATATAGCGTATCCTGGTCAAGTAATGAAATGATGAAGTAGTTGTCTGATTTCAAACATTGTCGCGTCAATTGATGCATACCAAGATGTAAGTATTGAGGGTCCCAATGATGGCATGAAGGACAAAGTTAGCAACTTAATTTAACTGACAATATTATAGGGCTACTGAGCGTGGTGGCGCTCTGTGGGCACACTCACTGGAGCATTTTTGACAACGTACTGGTCGTAAGCTTGTGTATGGCCTGCTCAACGTTCATATCCCAAGCCTTACGAATTACTTGATCAGCCCGACGACTTTGTCACGCATGTTCGTCGATACGCGAACTATCTGACTACAATCAGTACATTTGGGTGGCTTTACCCCACTCACGACAACGCAGAGATGTAACGTCTGTTCCAAGGCTTTACCGAGTTCGCGGGTCTCACTCAAACCGGTCCAACTGCCTTAGTTCGACTTCCTCCCGTGCTTGCGCAGACTCCCAGACACCCTGCTATCGGCACAGCGCAAGACAAAGCAAGCTGCATAAGGCCGAGAAACACGGCTTCTTGATCCTAAACAACGCAGGGTCCATGTATAACGTACGAAGCATCAACATGGACCCTGAGCGACACTCCGATCCACGTCGCTATGACCTAGATTGCCATGCTTTCCGACGATTCAATCTTGGCAAGGTGCGCGGACGGAACCATACAAGCGCGGTTAGTTTCCCGTTCGGCGCTGGCCGGTGAATTGGCCCGGACATGCACGTTGCACGTTGCACGTTGCATGTTCGTGGGCGTCGGGCGAATGCTTCACCTGCAGCTAGATGCTCAAGGCAAGTCCAGGCAGATCGGTCGACGCAAAGACATGTGTAGCTACCCGACAGGATGGTTTTCAACATAGCGCCGAGATGCATGCAGAGAAGGTAAGTTCGAGCAAGGATGGAAGCATGCCGAGAAGCATGGCTTGGATACTGAATCTAGACAATGAGATATCCGCCGACCGGCTTCGTCCAGACGAAGTGTGTAGATCCTGGAGAAATACCAACCTAGGTATGATTGATTCGGCCATGTCCTAGTGTTGTATCATCCGATGCATTGTTCTTGCAGAGGTATGTTTGCCGTCGGTGCTATTCCTCATCGCCGAGGAGCTCAGTCGACATGGGATCAAGGCGTCCTTTGCATACTCAGACATCTTGTATCGTTGAGTTCTAGGTTGTTTCTGAAAAGGCATCCAATACCCGATCCGTGTGTTTGAAGCTTGCGATGAGCTCGGGTACTTGGCGCAGATCCTTCCGGTCAAGTATATTGTTGTTGTCAAGGGTCAAATTCGGAGAATATTGAACCTCCGACAACTACTACGATTGTATTTCGATCCGATACCGAGATATGTTCCGGTGCTTTCTTGAGGGCCATACGGTATACGATAAGCTCGGCCTGGAGCCAGAACGGAGGTCCTCAGCATGCTGGATCAAGCCAATTCGCCGCCTCATGTACTCAGGGCTCAACTCCGGGCTCTCGCTGTTGATTACCCCATGGGGTAGGCGATGAGATAGTAAAGCTATCAAACATCATGCCACTTCTGCAAGGCAGCGTGTATTGCACCTATGTGCCTGCTATCGCTGAAGGAGTCAATGCGCTGGTTGACGAGGATGTGAAATATTGGTACAAGTCAGCAGAGTGCAGAAGGTCGAGGCTTCGATAGATCGAAAATACCTCGCCTGAGACCATGACGAAAAGAATCAGAGGTCGGCATTTGGTAAGACAGTGACGTGATCGTGGGATGTCTTCACCGTTGTGCAGCATCGAGAACAGGATATTTGAAACGAGCTAAATACATCACAAAAGCAACCACCACACCAACTCGCAATCATTGTGAACAAATACATCTGCAATATCAAGCATTGCTCCAACGATAACGTCTACACCCTCACCCCCGAGCGCTCCATACATATCTCATCCCACTACCCTCCTAATCCTCCAGCACAACCTTCAGGGTGACAATCTCAAACGCTCTAACTCCCACCACAACCCCCTTCTCCTTCCCTCCATCCCCTCCATGCACATCCTTAACCTCAAGACTCTCCTCCTCATCCTCCAACGCATTGCACTTGACCACTTTCTTCACCTTCAGCGCCCCCCACGTCAACACGCCCTTACTCTTGCCTCCCAACGCATCGTAAATGCGCAGAATGACGCTGTGTCCAGACTTTACGGGCAAGTCATGGCGCGAGATGTCTTCGTCGTCTTCGGCGCGCTTGATGGTGTCGAGGATGAGGTTTGGCGCATTGTGTATGGCGAAGGTGTTGAGTATACTCGGACTCTTCACGCTGGCAGAGTGCCCGATGATTTTAAGCGGATTGTTAAATTCGAATGCCTTTCTCACCGTGCGTTCATCCAGACCACCTTTGTGCGGGAAGATAGCGTAGCGCGTAGAGTGGTGGCCCATATCCGCATGAGCATCTGGGGCTTTGGGACTTCTCAGCAGGCTGAGACGCATGACGTTGCCCTGGGTAGCGAAACCAAATTTGCTGTCATTGAGAATGGAAACGCCGTAGGTAGCTTCACTTAGGTCGGCCCATTTGTGCACGCAGACTTCGAACTTGGCCATGTCCCAGGTCGTGTTGTAGTGGGTCGGGCGGCGGACGACACCGAATTGCGTTTCGTAGCTGGCTTCGGTGTTGACGATGTCGACTGGGAATTCGACCTTGAGGAATTTCATGGTCTCGTGCCATTCGATGTCGGCGTCGATTTCGAGGGCGGTGGGGGCGTTGCCGACGGCTGCAGGGAGGGACAACGTGGTTTTGATCCAGGACTTGTCTGAAATCTTGGTCTCAATCTCGAGCGATACGCGGTGAATACTGGACTCAGTGATGGTGACTTTACTGGGCGAGAGTTCTTGGCGGGACTTGAGGTGGTAGACTTCGACGTCCCAAGCCTGCCAGTAGAGCGGCTTGTCGTCGTAGATGACGAGTTGAGCAGCCTTCTGGCCCCTGGGGACAACCTCGCGGTCCGCAGAGATGTCGTATAGAGATGTGATGGCGCCATCAGTCACCTTGACGATGAACTGGGCGTTGCGAAGCTCGAATTCGTTGGAGCTGAGTTGCTTGATCGCTGCGGTACTGGCAGAATATGGCGAAGCTAGTGGCCGGACATCGAGTGGGCCCAGACCATTGCCGTGGGCGAGACCGTATGGTGCCTTGCTTGCAGCACCGGGCAGCTTCACGATCTCACTTCGCTGCCACGGGAGTGTGTTCATGGCAACGAGCTTGCTATCCGCCGTCAAGCTCTTCGCATCGTCGAATCCGAGCTCCGACAACGCATCTGAGAGCAACCGCTCACCAGTGGAGAAGACCTGAGCATAAATCTATGATCGTCAGCAGAATCCCACCTCTTGGACATCCTACACATACCTTATCAGAGTCATCATAGCACATCTCAATCGAGCTGCCCGGCAAGCAATCATGAAACTGGCAAAGCAGCACATTCTCCCACATGTCATCAATGTCCTTCTTTGGGTATTTGTACGCGCTCTTCTTTCCGAAGCCATTCTTGATAGTTGCAAGGGTGGCCAGATACTCAATATCTCTTAGCATGATCTCCGCTTTGCGATTGTTGCGCTTGTTGTTTGATTGTGTAGTGTACGTGCCGCGATGCAACTCAAAGTAGAGCTCGCCATACCATGTCACTAGCTCAGTGCCATTCTCAATCTTCTTCTCTAGACGGTCGAAGAAGTCGTCTGCAGAGCCACCGAGTTTAATACGGGGGAGAAGACCGGTCTTGTCGCTCATGCCGCGGCATCGGCGGAGCTTCTCGAGGTGCTGCCATGTTGGACCGCCTCCACCATCACCCTTACCAAAGACAAGTAGTGATGTCTTGTCTTGGTCGAGCGACTTGTGTTGTGACACACTTCTCTTGACATCGCCAAAGTCGGCTTCAGCTGTGTATGTTTCGCATGGTGGCATATGGCAGATGACCTGGCTGTTGTCGAGCGCAACCCAATTGAACGTCGTATGCGGGAAGTTGTTGATGTTGTTCCAGCTCAACTTCTGTGTGAGAAACCTCGTCATACCAGAAATGCGGCAGACTTGTGGTAATTGTGTCGAGTAGCCGAAAGTGTCGGGCAACCAGAAGGTCTTGCAGCGCTGTCCGAACCTGCTCTCGAAGTAGCGCTGGCCGTACAAGAACTGCCTGATCAGTGATTCTCCACCAGGCAAGTTGGTGTCGTGTTCGACCCAGCTACCACCAATGGGCTGGAAAGAGCCCTCCTTGATCTTCTTCTTGACGCGATCGAAAGTCGAAGGGTAATCTTGTTCTAGCCACTTGTACTGCTGTGCCTGTGTGCAGCAGAATCGCAACTCGGGGTATCGCTCGATCAGATCGCACTGACTTGACCACGACCGATTGACCTTGCGCTTTGTCTCTGCGAACGGCCACAGCCAACACGTATCGATGTGACAGTATCCAATGCCCGACACAATTGGCTCATTGTCCGTCTCATACACCTTATGCGAGTCAATCTTGTCTCCAAGATACCCCTTCGCAATCTTGCGCCCCTCGGCAATACCCTCATTACTCCCACCGTCCGCGATGAAAGCGTCAATAATGCGATTCGCCACCTGCTGCGCCTCATGCGCCTCCACCGACTCACCCGGGAACTCCCTTGCCGCATCCGAAATCTCCCAAAAGTCAAAGTACAGCGCCCTCGCCTCGAGATTGACAGCCACGATATCCGCCGTGTGCAGCTGATAGTACCTATCCGGGTCCGGGGGCTGAATCGAGTCTCCGCCCGGCGCATTGCCAAACATGCCATTGCACGCCATCTCGATGTAGAACGTATGTTCCTTGCCGTCCCTGAAGCTGTCTGGCAGAATCCACTCAACACGCTCACCACCGCCAGTCAAGCCATGCACAGTATGTCCATCCTCGGTCCAAATCAAGCCCTCGTTATTCGCATCCCACACAAACTCCAGGCGCTCTTTCTTCAGCATATCCTTCGGCACCGTAAGCCGCACCTTGAACCAATGCGTCGACCAACTCGGCCCAAACGACTCGCCGACCTTCGTATCTTTGAATTCATGGGACGTCGCTTCCTTGAACAGCGGGCGCGAGAGGTTTGGCGGCGAGTAGACGGACAGCTTGACCCATTCGGGGCCCGAGGCGGTAGCTTCGCGCAGCTTGCTGATTACGTATTAGAACCAGATGGTACTCGCGGAAGCTATAAAAGACTCACCCAACGATGCCTTGCTCCCGATACTGTCCGCCGTCTGTGAATTGCCTCAAGCGGTCCTGATAAATGTGGTGGATCTGCTTGCCTACGGGACCGGCCGCGTGTCTGGGGTAGTCGGAAGCGGCCACCATGTTGCGATGAGACTCGCCACCCATGATTGCAATTGCGGTTTGACAGTGAGGAACGAGCAGCTTAGAAGATAGAAGTCAAGAACGCGAAGATGCAGTGGATTGGTGGATATGTAAGTGTAGCTATGCAGTCAGCTGCGAGCTTGTCGTGTACCTTGCATGGAGCTGGGAGCTTGGAGCTGTCTTCCCCGCATGGAGCCAAGTGGGTCTAGTGATCCGCCGCGACTCCACCACGCCATCTGATGACCACAATTTTCCTCTCACAGGCGTGAAATTGTCGTCATTTGATGTTCGCGATGGTGTACATCTCATCATTTCCGATCAAAAAGCAGTCTTGTATGATGTTTGCACCATGAATATGGTCCACCTTCCTCATTCATGGCTTCGGGACAATATGATGACTTCCAACCTTCATTTGTGGGGCAGATAAGCATCACACCTCTAATTCACGACTCATCATAAGACATGCACCAAAAGCTCTATAATCATTGTAATCATTTACCCAAAAACGCCTATGCATGTTGCCAACTATCATCGCCTACTTGATCCTCTCCAACCTCGCCCTGTTCATGGCAATCTGATCATCCACCTTGTCAGTCTTGCCCGTGATGCGATCAATGTGTTTGTTCTGTGTATCCACCTCCTCGCCCATAGCTTGGCCGAGGTGGCGGAGACGTTTAGCTGCGCCGTGGAGGGCATCTATCATTCCGCGTTAGCCCAACTATCATACTTGACTAGCATAGAGGTACGTACCCAAGTTGCCATCGATTTCGTTCTCCATCTCGTCGTCTTCCGAGTCGGCTTCGAATTGGTACTTGGCACGGTCCGCGAGCGTGCTCTTCTTTTGGCCAGCGCTCATGTTCTGTAGGCCGCGGGTGGCGCCGTCGTTGCGCGCGGCGGAGTCCCAGGCAGCTTTGCGCGTGGCATCGCGCTGTTCGCGCTCCTGGCGGTGGGTTTCCATGCTGTAGATCATTAGCGTGAGCTAAATCAGGGGAGAGTGGGTGAGCTCACATCTTATCATCACGTTCCTGGCGACGGGAGGATGCGGTGAAGGGATTGGAGACGTGCATTGCGAACATGGACTTGTTGAGAGCTGTGGATGTCAGTACGAATTCTTGACACATAGGAAGCGATACGTACTCTTCAGCTCACGAGCCTTCTCCTCTGCGAGTCTGTTCTGTGTGCTCGCGAGATCGAGGTTGCGTTCAGTGCTGTCACATAGTTAGCATGCTACTTCCCAACTCCTGACACATACGTACTTATGAATGCGCTCGCCCTGCGCGCCAAGTCGAGCAAGAGTATCACGACCCGTCTCCTCGGCCTGCTGCGCCAGCCTCAAAGCGTTCCTCGTGCTTGACACATCCTGCTGCTTCATGAACTTGATCTCATTCTTAGTCGCACTAATGTCTTCCTCCTCCTGCTCCTCAGCCGTCAGCTCGCGATCGCCGTATGCTCCGTATCCACCAGAGCCAGAAGATTGCCCATAGCCGCCGGCTCCACTGTCTCCATAGGCACCGCTCTGGCCGTATGCGCCCGACTGTTGGGGCGGAGGTCCCTGATGTCGAGTCGGAGCGTTGCCGAAGAGCTCGTTGCGACCGGCGTCGGATGGTCATGGTGTCTTGCGAGTTTGTTCGTCCTAGACCACCATATCCCCCGGCTCGCGCAGCTGGCGCAGGAGCACCTCCGAAGCGGTCGGCACCATAGCCTGACTGTGCGCCATAGCTTCCTCCTTGGGAGCCGTAGCCTGCAGGTCGCTGTTGTCCTCCGTATGCTTGGCCGGGACCTGTCGCAGCGGGGCTCTTCTCTTGGCGGAACGAAGAGTTGCTGCTGCCACCGCTGTAGGCTGGAGGTGCCTGTTGGGCGTATGGGTCGTTCGCTGGGGGCGCAGCGTATGGGTTTTGGGCCGCTGGGCTGTCCTTCTTCTTCCTACCACCGAAGAGGGCAGAGCGGTTGCTGTCCTCGCCTTCCTCGCCCTTCTTCTTGCTTAGAAAGCCCATGGTTGCGTGTGGTTATGTCTTTGAACGACGGTCCAAGGCCGCGGTGGAAGTCGGTCCAAGGCAGCTGAAACTGTGGGGGTGAGCTTATCGATTGGCTTGTGACTTCGATGTCCACAATCCGTGCAAAGAGTCGAGGTAGTATGTGAAGAGGATTAGGATCGCGAAATTGAAGTGCTGGGTTGAGTGTATTTGAATGTTACAGGGGAGCGAGAAAGCGTTTGGACAGTGGATGCGCGGTGCATTGGGCGTTTCGACCAGAACACCGCCCAAGCACTGACGAGGTCCAGAAGGCTGAGCACTCGCCACACGAAGACAGGATTCACCATGCAAGAGACATGCAACTGCATCGGTACAAAGTACACGCGATTATTACGTTTCGCTAGACAGACTTTATTGAATTCCAAGTTCAGCTTCGAACCTAAGTGACCATTCCACTGCCCGATCATGGGAATGGGATGGGTCGTGGCTTCCGTTCCTGTCCCGCACTGCACTGTCCCTGCATAACCATACGGGCAGCCCAACGACCCAACTGTGCAAATTAAGGTCTGATTGAGATACAGCGCCTCAAACACCATGTCGCTGTATCGACGTATGCAGCAAATCGATTATGCGGATGTTTTACCAATTCCGCGATGCCAACAACCCTCGCACGTTCAGATACTATTTTGCTCCTGTCAATGCATCAAGCCGCAGCTTTGCATGCTGCGACCACATTTCGACATTGCCTTCGGGTACCGCTTCTCCGTCGGATGAAGGCAGATCGTCGTGCTCCTCTTTTGTCCATATCTCAGTACCCTCAACCACAGGAAATGGCGTCAAGACTCTGCTTATGTCTCCCCACCACACCTCACCAAACCTGCGATACCAGTCTACTGTCTTCTTGAGACCTTCGTCGAAACTTGTCTTCGGTTCCCAGCCCAGCGCTGCAAGTTTCGAGCCATCTGTAGCGTATCTCTGGTCGTTGAAAGGTCGATCTTCTGTGTGCTGCACCCATTCCTTCAGTTCGGCTGGTGTGTCGTGCTCTAGTCCAAATATGTCGAGAAGTTGGTGACATATTTCGGTATTGGATATCTCATCTTTCGATGCGATGTTGTAGATCTGACCGATGACGCCTTTGTGGAAGATGGTGTCGAGCGCGTCTACAATATCGCCGGCATAGAGGTATCGTCGCGTAGGCGATCCGTCGCCATGGAGTAGCAGCTTCTGTTGGCGCTGGAGTAGCATGATAAATTTCGGTATGATCTCTGCGTTATGTTAGCCATGAGCCCGTCTACTCGAGGTTTCACATACTCTCGGGAAACTGATGTGGTCCATAGACGTTGTTTGCCCTGATGGTGATCAAAGGCAACTTGAAGCTGCTCCGATATGCGCTGACCATCATCTCTGCCGCGGCTTTGCTGGCTGAGTATGGGTTTGTGGGCGCCAATATACTCGTCTCGCCGAGATCAGCAGCACCAACAGGCACATCGCCGTACACTTCGTCTGTCGAGATGTGTATGAACCTGTTCACGCCATGTTCTCGAGCTCTCTCGAGGAGCACATGTGTGCCATATACGTTCGTGTTCGTAAATTCGTATGAGTTTCCAAAGCTTAGGTCGACGTGCGATTGCGCTGCGAAGTGGAAGATGGTGTCAATCTTGTGCTTGCGAAGCACCCGTTTGACATCCGCGGGCGATGTAATGTCGCCATTTTCGAAACTGAAGTTTGCCTTGTCGTCGAGTATGCGCGTGTTGTTGAGCGTAGCGCAGTAGTCGAGCTTGTCGAAAGACACTACGTTGTAGTGGTCTGGGTATGTAAGTACGAGATGGCGCACGAACCAGCAGGCACTGCATGCCGTTAGTGTAGGCTTGTGCAGTATGCATTTGAGATGTCTGTGACCCCTTGCATACTCGTTTCACGAACCACGTACATAAAGCCCGCTCCGCCAGTTACAAGTATGTTTTTTGCATTGTGCAATGGCTCAAACTTGGTTTCTCCCGTGAGCACTGGCGCTTGTCTCCAGAGCTCTTCCTTCACATAGGTTCTTGGGTTCAGGAAGGTAGATCGTCGCCGGCCTGATCTTTCATTAGTCTCGCACTGTACTCCCAACACGATGCAAGATGGACCCACGCTTCACACCTCGCTGGCCATTGGGGACGGTGTCGGTCGCCTCAGGACTTTGAATCGCGGACATACCAGCGCGCAGGGCTATCAGAGCCCAGTGTGGTAGCAGGTATATTCTGTAATGACGAGAGCATCTCGAAGCCACCGGGTGTTCATGAGCGCGCAATGTCGCGTCGCTGATAGAAAGAGTGATGCGACGCTAGCGCGATGGATCGGGTAGTCCTTCCGCTGGCACAGATTACGTCATGCCACCTGCGAACTCTACCCCATGTTCGATGCACGATGCACGTGTTCTCGCAGGTCGAGAAATACGCTGTTGCCATGATTGCGACATACAAAGACAAGGCCAACGATCGAAAATTCCAAGAGACAAAAGTATGCCATTTACCCGAGAACGGCAGTATTTAAGTTAGGCAGAAGCCGCATATCAAGTGTGGCTACGCTATGTCTCCTGGGAGTTTGTGTCTTACGATATGCTGTTGACCTCAAACAAATAGACACGCTCTCTCCTTAACAGTCTATTTTTTATTCCTTTTCCATTTCTTCATCGCTTCCGCGCAGTTTTCCCTAGTCTTACACAAATCATTCTTACGGCGCCAGATTCCCAAATCTCATGCGCCCTGCTCCGAGTACGAAACGCATGAAAAATGCACAGCAAAATCGTGGCCCGCAAGCTTATTGTGATAAGATAAGGGATACCCTCACATCAGCCGCCCGGCCTATAGAATAGGCCTGGCGTATGCTGTGCAATGCAGTCGGTCGGGGTTGGTGCGGGGCACATTCAAAGCCCCCTACAGGAATACGCCTCCAGTACAATTCTGTCTGGTAGGAAGGATATTCTGGAGGCCCAGGATACTCTTCAGCTTACCCCACCAATATTCTTAGAGTGAGCTCAATACGTCAGGGTCGTCCCCAGGTCAGGGTTTTCCTTACAAATCATGCCTTAAAAGGGGCTTTATCCGTACTTGTGAAGCTTGTCGATAGATCTGTAAGAGGAATATAGATCTCATTATCAGAACTCGGACCTAGCTGGAAGACGACTAGACGAATGATCTTGCGAATTCACGAATGACAAATTTGACGCCTTAGCATCATGGAACCAAGCGATATGGACGGCAATCCTAGCTCTGAGGCGCCATTTTGGACTCAATTCGCCTCTTGGATTACCCTGCCTCGCATACTAGCTCTATTGTTATTAGCTTTCGCTGTTGATTATGCTTGGATGCTGTATACGAGATGGCGCATGGTAAGCAGAAATTCAACATAAAAGATGCTAGTACTAACAGAATAATAGCCACCAGGGCCATTTCCGTGGCCTATATGTGGCAACACATTCAGCCTCCCCGACAATAAGCCTTGGTACCGCTTCGAGAAGCTCTCGAAAGAACACAACTCTCCTCTGATCACATTCTGGCTTGGGAGGTACGTTCAGAGACACTAGTAGTGTACTTTGGTTGCTCATCTGTTTCAAGGAGACCAAGCATATGGATCAATGATGCCTGGGCTGCCGACGAGCTCCTAGTCAAACGAGCAGGGATATACAATTCACGCCCACGCATGCTCATATTTGCCGAGCTGGGCGCAGGGCAGGCTAATCTTCTGCACAAATACACATACACCAAGGACCAACGCGACCGCTTTCGTATTCTAAAGAAACTCACTCACTTCGGTGTTGGCATACAATAAGTGAGTGACATTGGACAACCAACCTTCACGGCTAACATACGCAGGTCCAAGGATACCGTACCTTCCAGGATGATGAGAACAAAGTCGTTGTTCACGACCTTCTCACATCACCTGAAGCGTTCTTTACTCACTTCGAACGTTATGCTGCAAGCGTCGTTTCCATCATTGGTTTTGGTCGTCGCATTTCAACCACCACAGACCCAATCATTACAGAGGTTATCGGCTTCATGCAAGCAGCCGCACATGCTGCAGTCATCGCCAAGGACTTTCCACGAGTGATGGAGAGCTTTCCATGTTTGTCCTTCACACGAGACTTGACAAATAGCACATCTAACATGAAACAGGGGTATCGACAGTATCGAATTGGTTGGCACAACGAAAGGTTAACATGGGCAGTCTGGTGTATGCCAGCAAACACGACAGCAGCGCTCGTCACGGGTTCTTCTACGCTCTCGCTCAAGAAGCCAACGAATCCGAGCAAGATAACTACTGCAAATATCTTTTCCGCGAAGGCCCCAAGTACAATCTTACTCCTGATGAACTTTCCAATCTAGCTGCAAATCTGTTGGGAGCTGGCGCCGACACCTCAAGCAGCACCCTTATCACTGCAGTGCTAGCCATGCGCGCGTTCCCAGAGACAATGAAACCTGGATGGGAAGAACTCAATCGAGTAGTCGGTCATGACCGCAGCCCGGGTGTTGGCGATGAGTTACCATACATGCGTGCCTTTGTCAAAGAAGTATTTCGCTGGCGCTCGGTTGCCATTATTGGAGGCACTGCGCATGCGCCTACACAAGATGATATGTGGAACGGGCATCTCATCCCGAAGGGCACCTGGATTCAAGGAAACGTTTGGGCAATACATCACAACGAGAGAGAATTCCCAGAACCGGATCGCTTCAACCCGAGGAGGTTCTTGGATACCGAGGATGCGAGGCCGTTCCCGGGTGAAAAGGGTTATATGACTTTTGGTTGGGGTCGCAGGTCTTGCAATGGACAGGCGTTGGCTGAGCAGGGCACGTTCCTGAGTGTTTGTAGGTTGATCTGGGCGTACAAAATCGAGCCAGCTGTCGATGAAGATGGAAATGAGGTGCCGGTGGATATTTTTGCTTACACGTAAGTACTTATCGCAGCGGTTGTATTGTGCTGACGCGAACTAGTAACGGGTCAAACTGGCGACCTGAGCCATTCAAAGTCAAGTTTATGCCTCAGAGTGAGGCGATCAAGCGGACTATCGAAAGAGAGGGGAAGCAGGCGCTGGAAAATCTGTCCAAGTACGACCGCGAAACGAAGTACAGGTTCAGTACTTTTGGTAGATGAGTCGGCGTTTGGATGTGTACTTGCGGAGTTTGGACTCGATTCCAATTTGGTTGAGTCCATCGAGCGAAGCATTTTGGTATCACTTCACGGGGACACACACTACTCATGCTGCAAAACAAGCTGCCTCTTGCGCTCTTATACAAATCTGTTTCACTCAACACTTCTCGCATAAACAAACCTTGCGACATTCTTTGCAAGGAAAACGCGATTTACGTCACCTTTGCGATATGGGTAATTGGCTTTATGGAATACCATATTCGAGACTAGAGTTCCATTGCCACCAACAGCACCTGTTTACTATACTTGCTTTTTTTTTTAGTAAGATTCATCATCTATGCTTCCTTGCCTGCGACTAATTGATTTCAATGCGCAGAAACTTAGGGTAGTGTACTACTTCCGGTTTTCGCAACACCGTATCGACCGAACGTCTGAAGACTACCGTAGTATATATACATATACATTAGTCTTCCGCAAGACTGACGAAATTGAACGCGAAACGGCAGACTTCTGGATCATGCTTGTACCTACCGGCATTCACTTCTCTTCCTACTACAAACGTCCCACTGATGGGAATACCCTGGATGATCGCACAACTTCAAATTCGATAGAATCAGTAGTTGCTTAGAAGCGCCCCACAATTGATTTACTGGTGGACCTCAAAACGCCATTCAGGGTGCTGAAAAGCCCTGAGTGATAGAACGAGGAGATACGATAAACACAATTATTCAGGAAGAGTATGGGAGCCTGAGACAGTTTCGCATTTCCTTCAGCCTTTGGAAACTCTGGAACCACTGACTTATCATGCTATGTAAGCCCAAGTGCGGGAAGAGCATCTGGATTATATTTGCCGGTGCATGCTACTTCATTCGGCTAGCCTTCATGCCGACCCTGTTACTCCGCTTTGCGGAGTAAGATCACCATCCCCATACCCCGCAAACGATTCATGTACCATGTAAGCTGTGAGTGGAAGTAGATAAGTGTAGTGTACCTCCGTGAGTCTCACCGTACTGCATCGTCCCCGTTTCCACACCATGACTTCGATAGATAAGTCCACGCTGTGGGCCAACCGCAAATGTCTCCTCATCTGTTCAGCGGTCGCAATGGCCAGCATGCAGTACGGTATAGATACTGCAGCGGTGGGAGGTTTGCAAGCGATGCCGGGATTCCTGATGGTGTTTGGGTATGAAGATCCCACGAGTCCGCTGGGTTATGGCATTGATGTATGTGTGTCGCATGTAGACATCAATGGAGTTGCTGATGTGTGAGGTAGTCGACCGTACAACAGCTCATGACCAGCCTGATGAATTTAGGGGCCTGCATCTCCTCCATCGCGGCAGGTATCTTCGGCGCCTACTTTGGTCGCAGACCAGCTTTATGGCTGGCATGTCTCTTGTGCTCTGGATCTGTCGCATTACAGATCGGGTCGTCTTCACCGGCGGGTCTCTACGTCGGCCGCCTCTTCCTGGGGTTCTCAAATGGATTCTTCGTAGTCTTCTCGACTGTGTATTGCAGTGAAGCGGCACCCGCACATCTTCGAGAGTAAGATGATCTCCTGAGTCGCAGAACATCTCTCGATACTGACTTTCATAGAATCATGGTCGGACTCTTTTCTTTCTATGTTAACCTTGGCAGCATCATCGGCTCCGTGGTCGACAACTATACGAAGCACCATCTCAGCAAACTCAGCTATCGCATTCCGCTAGCTTGTATGTTCATCGTCCCATGTCTCCTGACAATTTCCCTCCTCTTCGTCCCAGAAAGTCCTCGGTGGCTGCTACACCATGATCAGACCGATGCAGCGCGCAAGTCACTGGAAACGCTCCGGTCCGACCACGGCGAGCAACTCGAACTGGAATGGGCGGAGATGCTACGCGGAGTTGCAGAAGAACAGCGCATCGCCAAGAGTACGCAGCTCATGGACATGTTCAAGGGCCATGATCGTCGACGAACGCTATTGTGCTACGCTACGATTGCGTCGCAATCTGCGTCGGGAAGCTGGTTTTTCATTGGTTACCAGACATACTTCTTGAGCCTTGCTGGTATTACCAAAGCTTTCGAGTACACCATTATGATTACCTGTATCGGCTTCATTGGTGTGCATGTCGGGCTGTTCAGTATGAACAAGATTTGTGGGAGGAGATCGATTATGATTGTAGGTGCTTTAAGCTGTGGACTATGCGAGTTAGCGTGCGGCATTGCTTCGAGCGTTTCGCCAAACTCAAAGGCGACGGGCAACGTGTTGGTCGCTTTTACCGCGCTTTTCATGTTTTGCTATAATGCCGGAGTAGGAGTCGCAACTTCGCCCTTAGCAACGGAAATGGTCAGCTCGCGACTTCGTGCTTCGACCGTAGGAAGCGCTAACGCGCTCGGGTACTTCCTCGCATGGCTCGTGGGCTTTTGTACGCCATACTTCATTAATCCGCAGGATCTGAACTGGTGAGTGTGACAACTCTTACTTCAAACCGAAACTGACATGACTAGGGGCCGCAGTATTCGTACATTTGGGCCGCTTCGAACTTCATATGTCTGATTTGGTTCTATTTCTTCATTCCGGAGACGAAAGCGCGATCCCTAGAGGAACTCGATGAGATCTTCGAGGAGGGTATTTCTGCGAGAAAGTTCAAGCAGTATCAGTGCCGAATCGTAGAAGACGCCAAGCACGATGTTTTCGGAGAGAAGGTCGAAGCCGTGAAGTAAAGTTTCCTAGGGTACTGTCAGAGTGCCCTTGAGTGCGAGGAATCAGGACTGTGATTGGAGACTCAGATAGATTCACGCTGACAGAATTCGGAGGCAATCAGGGAAATACTTGAACAGCATCAATATATGGCACTTGCTCAAGTATTCTTAATGTAATGGAAGTGACCGTAGTACGATCGGCCTCTGGCTCAGCAAATATTTTAGCGAGAAGGAGTCTGTTCAACGATATCTACATGCTTATTTCGCTGGTATGGGTGCTTGATGCCTTTGGAGCCTTCGATTCAAGATCCTCCATCTGCACCAGAGAGATTTCGTCACCATCGCCACGGTGTACTGCATATGTCTGTGCGTAGGTGATAGCATGTGGAGCCCTGCTCGACCTTTTATCCAGGCCACTTTTGAATATATGTGGTCCACCCGCACCACTGCGATTGCCTTCCTTTGAGTAAACATGCGTAGCGTCTCTCCGGGAGCCAAGTGCCTTGGGAAAGAGACGGACAAGCATGATACGTATGGATGGCATGCATATGCAAACAACACCGACACCCATTTCAATATTGGACCAGTGAATTATCTGGGCCTGGTCCCATGTCGGATTCATCGAGGTAGCAAATTTTACGAGCGATTGAAGTCGAAGTCCAGAAACCACGGTGATGCTGGAAGTTTATTAACACTGGCCCTTGGAAATCTAGAGCCCGGGCAACTTACAAGGTACCGACGAGAAACATCAAGCTCACGCATATCTTGCGACGCCAGGACAACTGAAGGTGGTATACCTCGTATAGTGGTAAAGCCAGCATCCAGATGTCAATAACAATGCTGATGATGGCATTCGACCAGGCTATGGCATTCAAGTTGTTGCAGTGGCCAGAGGTAGAGCTTGTGTCATCCCATTGCGTCCAGTAGTACGATATTGGTCTGCACTGGAAGACGCCAACGATTATAAATACAATGCCATATATGACATTGAATACGACTGTTGCCCATAGCAATCGTCGAGTCCAGGTTTTTGGGAAGATCCTGAGGAAGAAGAAGAGGAGTGCAAGCTTGACTGTCGGCACCATCAAGAAATATGTGAGTGTCAAGATGTACAACCAAAAGGAGAAGCGCGTAATGTTTTCGAATGGGACAGCCCATACATCTTTTCCGATTCCATTGGGTATGACACCTCTGTCAATAATGATGACGGTAGCGATTCCCAGTATAGTAGCTCCTAGCACGATGTAGTCGTCCACGTCGAGTCCTTTTAGGCCGGAGGTCAAGCACTTATGGAAAATGCGCAACGCACAACAGGTAGCTGCGAGTACAACGATGATGATGTTTGTGACGCGGATTTTGTCTGATTCATCGCGCATTGGGGCATTACAAAGCGTTGTAGTAGTGTTCTTGGTAACTGATGAGCAAAGTGAACAATTAGCCAAAACATAAACCAAAGATGTGGTGAAATTTGACTTACACAAACTTTGCCTGAGAGTGCAAGATTTCATTACACATGCATCTGTCGCACCAATGAACTGAGCACTGGTACATAAGCACTTTTGGTCGGTAGGCTGGCAGGGTGAATGATCCAGTGCAGTCATCAGGCAGGATTGCTACCGAGAAGAATCAGTACGCCTTCGATTTCAAATTTTCCTCTTTAGCAGAAACATACCGCGCATGTAGGGAGACTTGGGACTGCAGCAAGCAGTTCCGTAGTATCATCCTGCGCAGTCCCAATTTGGGCCCACGTCAAGACCGACAGGAGGAGGTAAAACAATCTCATAGCGCCCGAGTATACACATCTGCAGAGCTCATCGAAGGCTGAAGTGTACAGCGCTTAAGTAAACTTCATGGGAGTCGATCGTTGTTCAAAAGCAAGTCAAAGGGCATAGCCAGTTCTAGCGATCGTAGCGTACCAATATACCCATCTACCCAACGTCAGCTCATGGCTCAATTACTTTGCCGGGGATCTCTGACTAGCATGGGTGTAATCGATCCCAGGTGGGTATTTCGCTATGATTCGACGTTTCCGGAACGCACAGTCTGCCACAGGACCGTTCCTGGCTAGGCTCCACGAAGGACCGCGGAGACTAGGCTCATAGCTCAGCGGGCTAGACTTCAGTGAGCGACAATCCCGTGAGATAGGCGACCTGGTGCCGATGCTGAACGCGCCTAGAGTGCCTGGGAAAGTTTAAATTTCGCCAATTCCATGTTGCAGACCGCCACCGAAGCAAGGTGCGACATCCTTCGGAAGTTCGGGTCGCTTCCGGAGGAAAGCCAGTTAGGTCTTAGTGGCTTAGGGCTGTACGGATATCTGCATGAAACACCACCACGTGATGGTAACATTGCCCGATTTGGCTGCTGTTTGGGAAATATTCTGGGGATCTGGATGATCGCTGTGGTGCATGTCATCCTACAAAATTTAGATCTCCCCCAGCATTAATGTCGATACTGATCGTGCCCTGATCGATTTCGGAAAGTGCCCTTTTCCAGTATCCTCGAAACCACTTCCTATGTTAAAATTGCCCCGGTTCCTGGATTTGCCGGCGCTCACGTGAAAATACCCGTCAGCAATGTTTAGGTAATTGCTTATTAGGTATCTAGATACACCCAGCAAGCCGTCAATGATCAAGCAGCCCCCGCCAAGTTCCAGGGTCGATCTTGATTCTTTGTTCTCTTTGTCGATTGCGGTCCGGAGCCCCTGATGCTTTCTTTTCGCGACCATGCCCATACATAGGTACGTCGCATTTGTGGCTCAAGGTGGCTCATGCCCCACATGCACATCGACAACGTCTGTAGAAACCTGGGCTGTAAAAGACAAGGGACAGATGGGATCGTGGCTCATCAACCATTTCCGCACGCAATATGCGCTGGAGCAAACTAGAACTAAAAGATACCTAGGGAGTTCCTTAGCACTGGCGCGTATTGACACCATGTGGGGCTGTTGATTCTCAATCATTCTTCCCCGCAAGCGAGGCATGTTAGGGACAACGCCTGATCCAACAGAATACAACAAGCCATCTTCGCAGCATTTTATGGTGAATAGATTTGCTCGTAGCTAGGTGAATAGTACGAATTTTCTTGAGGACTTGCAAAGCTGCTCAGCTGTGATTCAAGAAATTTATGTCTAGGTGTTTACTTTACTCGATGCTTATTACTGCAATGCATTGTCAACACGAACCAAAGTTGCGTTCTGTGCGGGACGGGTGGCGGCTGCTCCGCCTTACTCGATCCGTCTCATATATCGCCATGCCCCTATCACATGCAGAAGAAGCGATTGACGGCATCTCAAGATACGACAGGCCAGTCCTTCCCACGCAAAGAACCATGCTCTTGTTGGAACTGTATCGGCTGCTCCACAGAGCCTCTGTTGTTGTGATGAACACGGCAGTGGGAATAGCACTGCGATCCAAATTCTATGTTATCGCCAGTACCCGGGTCTGAGCACGAGCAGTATTAGCATAAGCAACATCGAAGACGCAACAGATGTGCAGGAGAGCACGCGATCTTGACAAGACTGCATACGCATCAATGCGCTTAGCACAGATTATTCTGGTTCGTTATAGATGAACGTCCACAGGTCCTTACACGTGGATCCCGGGAGTACCTAGTCGAGCAACGTTCATTACGGCCATTTTCGTTGGATATCAATCATCATCGTTGAATCTCACCTATTTTTATTATGAGCCCTAGGTAGTATTACTCCCTCAGCAAGCAAGTACATGGTTCTTCAATTTCAAGACCAGCTGTGCTTACACGTTTGTGCGTTCACGGCAGTAGCTGAAAACTGTACTAACAACGACTCATTTTTGTCGGCAATTGGCAGTTAGAGACGCTCACCGTTCAGTTCCTATCCTTGAACCTTATGCGTTGTTCGGATCGACTATTTTGCGAAAAGAAAAGCAATGGATTGATGCATATTGGATCAATGCTTCGCACCAATGCAAGAAAGAACATGCTTGGGTGTTCGCCTCTCGTGACCTACAGGCGCATGATTAGCAAAACCGACCGCATCGCCAATGGGTGGGTGCAGGCCAAGCCAGTGCATGGTCGATATTGATCACTCTTGAAATGAACTTGAGAAGGAACAAAGATTCGCTATCTTGCCATCGACAAATTGCCATGAGTAAGACAACGCCGGAAAAAGCAATATGTCTGAGTCATGTTCCCACAAAGGAGTAACCCGCATGTGTCACTCAACGCTTTAGCTCGATTTCACTCGCGAGATTATACGAGTTAGTTCCCTTGACATGACTCTTCGAAGGTTCTGATCTGCCATACAATCGAGCTGCAGGAGCATAAGTTCTATCCAGCTACCCGCCTAGCACGGAGTTGCCCGAGGATCAAGGATCCGCAAACTACAGATCTGTATACCACAAAGGTAAGTGGTGGTGAGTCTCCAAAAAGCAGGTCCAAACCAAGAGTCGCGAAGCAGAGCCCGGTAAGCCCATCTCCATGGTCTGGAACATTACGATTCGTAAATTTTGTTTCATGCTAGGCTTTGTCTGGATTCCTTGAGTCGTAAACATTTGCGACTTCTTCAGAGGATGATGAAAAAGTCTTGTTTGTCATGTATCGGTCCGAAATGACGAAAATAGCTGTACGATTCCCTCAAATTTCGAATCTAGATAGCACCATGTCGCAGAGCCATTTAGAGGTTTATTTCATAGGCAAAGGTTACTACGTTGCTTCGGTAGATGCGTCACACAGCTGGAGACTCGATAATGCGACGGCAAGTTGCAACACAGCAGCAAACACTCCCACGTTTAGTGTTTCGTTTATTTGGCGCCCTGCCAGATTCAGGCGACTGCTTGGATATACATGCAGTATGAGCGCAAACGTTGAAGTGCGACAAGATTGGGCACTACTATTACTATTACTATTTATACTCTTAAAAGCGTCAAGCAGACAGCAGAATGAAGCTATTACCAGCTACGTTTATTGTGCTGGGTTCACCGAGAACTGGTCCACGCGGATGAAATTGTATGGCGCATTGCCCGAGCACCGGATGTCGAGCTGAAAGTCCACCGAAAGTTCAGGCCCAGCTACGCTGACACCCTGTCGCTCTCCATAGAAAGGCCCAGCGCTGAGACCAGACACCCACATCCACCCAGCACCCACTTTCGTCGGTTGTGGCACCGGGCCACTGTTCTTGAGTTCGCCAGCAACATAGACGTAGTACGTGCAGCTATCCGTGCCGTAGGGTCGGCGGATTTGAAATCCAAGTTTGTATGCCAACTTGGGGCACATCTTGAGGGAGGTCTTGAGGTTGGCGCCGCCGTTGGGTGCATAAAGAGAGAATATGCCCACACTCCTGTCTGCATCTTCGGCTCCACCATCAAAGCCAACATCAAAGCGCGAGTTGCCACCACCGCTGACAATCTGCCCACTCCAGTCGTTTCCTCCATTCGCGAAGTTTCCGTTCCGGAAGGCGTTGCCGCGAGAGCAAAAGGCTGGAGGCGTGTAGGGCTGGCCTTGAACACAGTAGCCAGACGGAGACCCTCGCCCACAACTTCCACAGTTTTTCGGGTGAGAAGACAAGCTCACACAACGATCGCCGCACTGTTCCGCAGGACATTTGCACTGTCCGCCTTCGCATCTTGAGCCTTGGGGGCAGGTACGTCCACAAGCGCCACAGTTGTTGACATCGTTAGATTTGACGTTGAGACATTGGAACTGCCCTTTGACCATGCAGCCGTCGGGTGTCGAGCCTGTGCAAAAGCATCTGCATCGATCAGTGTTGGCAGAGTCTGTCTCTTGTTAGGAAGGTTATGATGCTTGCATCTGTGCAAAACACTTACAGAAAGCCATCTGTCCCGCGACGCTTGACACCACACTGTAGTAGAACAAGGCCGTATTCAAGCATCCCAGGTAGAGAGGATAGCTGTACCAATGATCTAGATGTTTGCATCCAGATCCGCTCATACACGAAAGGAACCGGTTGTTACCCTCCATGAATGTCATCGAGCAGTCGTCAAAGTCGTTGTCGTGTTGGTCGCAGCAACTGCCGAAGCTCAAATCTGGGACCTTGAACGACTTCGAGCCGCACTTGTTCGGATTGTTGCCTCGGGCGCCATCGAAAACGCGTGCGTCGAGGGGTCGAGGATACGATGGGCAGCGTGGGACATAGCTGTCCTGCGACTTGGTGCGTTTGCGTCGCTGCACCGCAGCCGCTTTAGTGGGTAATGTCCACATCGTGTCTGGCGTGCCGTCCGCCTTTGCCATCACTGTGTTGCCGTTACTCAGCGCCCAGGTGTAGTATTGCGTACCAATCCGCACAGTGACGCGGCCTTCGCATGTTACATCGAAGATGGACGTTACTAGCTGATCGTCGTTGGTGACCTGGTCTGTTAATGTCACCGAATCATCAGGCTTTTTGGCAACATATTGGCGGGGATTGTCATTGGTAAAGATGTCGAAGAGCCCGTTGCCGCTGCTGACAAACGCGAACGAGGTCAATTTGACGTCCTCGACGACAATAGGCTTCATTGCTTCGTATTCCGCCTCGGATTTTGGCGCCTTGATAGGGCCGAGGGTCCCATCAGCACGTTTAACAATAGGCACACGATCATTCGGCTCTAACAAGTTGAACGTAGCGTCAGCTTGTCCTGGTATAATGAGACACGTCGGTACCAAGTTTGGTGACATGGGCTCAGCGCCCGTCACGATAGGTGGACTACCCATTGCGACAGGCGTTGGCAGCGGGTCGTCCTGGAAAGTGAACGTAGCAAGGAACTGTTCAGGATCTGATGGTAAAACGACGCTCGCTGTCGGTGTGAACGGTGGGCTGTCGTTGTTTATTGTCGAAGATGCATCCAATGAGCTGCTCTGAGAAGCAATAGTGGTGGATTCAGAAGACGGAGACGACCCGGCGGAGGCGACGAGTACGGGAGTCGAAGCCGAGCTGAGGGTGCTGACGGATATGATGCTATCGGCTGGCGATGGAGTGTTGGCTGAAGGTAGGCTAGAAGACAGGCTAGAAGACTGGATTGAGGCAGCAGAGATGCCGGTTGACAAAGGCGGGACAGATGATCCAGCGCTATCAGGGGCTGATAGAGAGGCGGACGACTGGGCAGCACTTGATGTACCCGATGCTACCGCGCTACCTTTTGACGAAGTCAAAGGCGTTGCAGAGGTCTGAATCGAGGTACTCGACGAATGCGGAGCATTGCACTTTCCATAACCTTTCTGGCATGTCTTTGCATTACAGTGGTCTAGTTTTGTTAATATTGTCCGTACCAGTAGGGCGCATTCGTACCTTTGCTTGATCCACAGTAACTGTACTGCGAACAACAGTCTCCCCACTGGCTACCTATGCAAGTTTTATCGCCAAAAGACTTTCCACATCGCGCGTTGGTAGAGACAGCTAGGTTAGATGGTGACGCAGGGATGACAGAAGGCGCAGAGCCCTTGGATGACGTCTTTGCCGGAGCACTGGACGACTTCACGACAGTGTCCTGGTTACATTTTCCGAACTTGGATTGGCAGCCTTTGTCACAGTAGTTTCTGTCGCTACCACACCAGCCATACTATGCTATACGTTAGCATATGTACAGTCTTTCAGCCGATGGTGCGTAGACACATACCTGCGAGCAACAATTCCCGAAGGACGATCCAAGACAAGAATAGCCTTTCGCACCGCCGCAGGTTGCATCCTTTGAGATGCGCTGAGAGAGCACCCCACAAGGAGCCAATGCAAGAAAAAGGAGAGTGAGGGAACGCATGATGAGGATTTTTAAGCAGTAAGGAGAGGACGAGCACTGTGTACTCAAATGATCGACTTGGGGATATAGCACCTCGTGTTGGATACAGCTCGGCTAGGACTTGGGGTCGCAAACTTATATGTTGTTGTTCAACAGCATTTCTCTTCACTCTTCCAGCCAGCGCCATGTTCATTTCCACCATGTGAGCGCATTCTCGGTGAACCCGTAGGGACGTCAATAGTACGCTTCTAGACTTTCATAAAGAGGTAGACAAGCTTCTACAAAGTTGAAAGCTCTAGCCGAATTCACAGTAGTGAGAGCCCGTAGGCACAAATGGAGCTGTGTAGGCTCAGGCGATGCGCAGCCTCTGGGTCGCTTAGCAGTGCTTCGCAAAGAAGCTGGACGCAGCTGAAGTGAGGCCATTACACAAGCGACTGCAGGTACCTGACCAAAAGGAAGTTGATGTGGTGGTGTTAGCACATAAAGGCGTCATGTGTGGTTAGTGTGATAGGTGGCTCTGGGGTAAGGGGCCCCTGCCAAGGTACTAAGGCAGCCTAGACTCCCAGAACGCAATATCGCGATCGTGGGGCTGAAGACGTGGCTGACTGAGCTGATGCTTTTGGGTGTTAAGGGACGAGTTCGACGGCACGAGTTGCTTCTTGACTCGCTTTTCCCTAGCGAAGTCAGTCAGGTACGCGTCTTGATGTCGGCGAGCATTATATGGCCTGCGCAATCTGTGAGCCAGGCCTATAGTTTTTGGACTTGGTGAAGACTTCTAAAGACTTCTGCAGGCCCATTGCAATAACAATCATTTTAGTATCTATGATGTCTGCCTATGACTTCTTCTGACTTGTGAGTAGTGCACTTTGCTACTCCTAGAGAACCTATGGCAACTACCACGACCTCTGGACATTCCCAGCTTCAATCCAACCAACTTCCAAATTCTAATGCAATCTCCTAGTCCTTCCTCGCTCTTTTCCTCCTCTTCATCTCCCTGCCCATCCCCTCGTCCTCTCCCGATTTCCCCTCCTCTCCAAAACCCCCTCCAAGCGCATGTCTGATCTCCCCCGCGACCATCCTCACCACCGCCCTCGGCGTCGGCCCACCTCTCGTCGCCTCAAAAACCTCACTATCATGCACCTGTCCGTGCGTCGTCAAAACCGTACAATCCACCCCAGCGCGCTGCAAAATCTCTCCATAAGCCTCGCCCTCACTTCTCAGCAAGTCGACCGCAGAGTTAATGATGAGCGTGGGTGGCTGCAGCTTCGCATGCGCGGCGGAGATGTTCAGGGGCGTAGCGAGTTCAGAGTCGCGATCGTCGGCGTTGGGAATGTAGATAGCGAATGATTTCTTGTTGAATGGCACGGTAAGTAAGGGACCGGCGAAGAATTCGAATTCGCTGAGGGTCTGCCTGTCGGAAATACGTGTGTCGGTGCAGGGGTGGAGGAGGGATTGGTGGGATATGGGGATCTTTGGGGTGCGGGTTGATGCGAGGATGGAGGTTGCGATTGCGAGTTGGCCTGTGGGAGTGTCAGTGTCTTGAATGTGTTGTGGCAGCATCAAGACCTCATACCTCCGGCGCTGTCACCGACGACTGCGAATTTGTCTTGCGACAAGCCTTTCTTCGCTCCATTTTGCGTGATCCATTTCAATACAGCGTAGCATTGCTCCTGCTGCGTGGGCCATCTTGCTTCGGGTGCCAGGGCGTATTCCACGAAGACGATTGCGTAGCCTGTCTGCAGTGCTAGGTCGCGGCATATGCTATCGTACGAAGTCACACTACACACGCTCACGTTAGCAGTTGTAACCAAGTCTCCAGCCCTGATATATGCGTACCTTCCAACAATAAATGCCCCGCCGTGTAAAAACAATACGACAGGCAACGAGTCTACTCGCTTCATACTGTCTTTTCTGAACACGAATACCTCGGCACCAGACTCAAAAGGTACCGTGAAGCTTGTGCGAGTTACACCTGAAATAGTCTTGTCGTGATGCTGCAGCTCTTCAAATGTCACACGGAACTCCGGAGGTGATAAGTCTTCAATGGGCGGTTGCTTCGCAAATGCGTCGGCAAAAGCTTGGTTGAGGGGATCGAGATAAGGAGCCATGATGAATAGAAATATAAATGTCATGAACTTGCAGGAAGAACATCCTGAAGCTTATATACCAAGAATGACAGGACAGTATTCGGAACAAGTCTACAACTGGAGTCTCACCAGCTAAAAGCCAAATTTGGACAAATATGTGAGATCCTGCTTACTTTTAGGATCCTTTGGCTACCGAAGTAGACAATGATGATATGAGCGAGGTGGGCATGTGTTTCTCACCGAGATTATAGTGAGTTGTTATGCTGACGCCAGCGCCACGCATGACCAAGCCCTACGCCACACATCATGTCAGTATCTTGATCAGAAGTCTGACCACCAGCATATTCAAATCTAATGATGGAAACTGAGGAGAGGGAGGAGCAAGCGTTTACTCCCCGATACCTGCTCACCCCTAATCCCTCTCTTCAACACTGACTCGAATCTCCTCCCTGACATGCAACAACAACGGATCCGCAACACTCCCCGCCAATACCCTCTGCACCTCCTCCCTTCCCGCCTTAATCCTCACCCTCCCGAACACGCCCACCAGCACAGCGCAAAACTCCACCTGGCTAAACTTCATCCCCGGACAAACCCGCGGGCCGAAACCCCAGGGGAAAAATTTCTCGGGGGCGGCGTTGGAGAGCCAGAGTTTGGGATTCCATTCGGTAGACGGAGGGGATGTGGCTGGGGAAAGGGAGGAGTAAATGTGGTGTACAGGCCAGGAGTTCAGTATGATTTGCGTCTTTGGGGGGAGCGTGAGTATGCCGCTGCCAGTAGAGGTAGGGATATCGCATGGAAGAGAAGGGTTGTAGTAAGTACGTGGAAGAGGTGGGGAGGGCGCGAAGAGGCGGAGAGTTTCGAACTGTCGAAAAGTCAGCACCCACCTCCTTCATCTCGGGGGCTGTTTACGTACCATGACCGCTCTGACCCTCCCCAGCCTCGGAAAAACCTTCCCGTAGTCGTCAGAGAGATCAGTGAGGCCGTCTATTTCCTCATACACCCACTCCTGTACCTCAGGATTCACAGCGAGTAAAGCAAGCGCGTATGTCAGTGTCGCGCTCGTCGATTCCAGCCCGCCAATGGTGAAGAGGAAGACGTTCCCTCTGAGCTCCGAGTCTGACAGCTGAGGCTTGCCGGCCTGATCAACCGCTGCATTCGCGTGGATCAAAGTCTGGATTAAATTCCGCGGCGCGGCGGAGTGTTTCTGGCTCTGCGCGCGTTCTCGGGTGACGAGGTCGTCCATGTATTGCGAGAACTCACTCATAGCGCGCAAAAGTCTGCGGATTCTGGGCGGTAGACAGATTCGCACAAGGGGATTGTGCATGAAGCCCTCCACCATTGGCGAGATATACGTGCTCATCACTGTCGTCAGCGCTTCTTTGAGACTCATTGTATGACCTGCAGTAGGCTCGTTAACGTTGTGATTCTCAAACGCCACGGCGGAAATGACATTGAGCGCGAGGGTACTCATGCCCTCGACTATCGCCCCCGACTTGGAATCGAGCCAGGATTTAACAAGTCTGTCGGTCTGGGCGAGCGCCTCGATCCAGACTCGAGCGCTTGCGCGCTCGTTGAAGCATGGGGCGATGATTTTTCGGTGGCGCGTCCAGTCGTCGCCGTTGGACTGTGTTTCGTCAATCCCACACCCTCACTGCACTACGCAGTCATATACGTACTGTATCAACATTCCGCCCAAAAGTGCCCAAAATATCTATTTCCCGTCAGCCATCCTCTCCCCTTTCTCTTCTCAAACATACCATTAACCCATTCCGGCTTCTCAAACTCGCGCCACTTCCTCAGCACCCCTTCAATCGTCTTCTCGTCGCGTGTGCACAACAAGATTAAGCCGGGACTGACTACTAATACTTCCTTTTCGGCGCTGGTAGAAGCTAGGCTGGCGTCTTGCCAGCAACACGTCCAGTCGATTACGCGGTACCAGGTGCAGTGCTGCAGGATTGGTCTGAGTGAGGATGACGCGATGCGCCAGGTCAAGTTGTATGGCGTGATGGGACTGATGATAACACGGAGGCCGGTTCTACGCGCGCGGATATAGTTTTGGGTGAGTGGGAAGAGAAGGAAGATAAGAAGATAGAGGGTGGCGACCGTTGTGAGGGTCTTGAGGAGGCTGGAGATGGTGGTTAGGTAGCTCGCCAGGACGTGGGTGATGAACGACATGAGCGCTTCGAAGTCAAATCAGAACAACAGAACAGTGCAGGTTGAGTTAAATCTTGATGAGACTTTCATTGCAAGGGGAGGTGATGTCGTTCTGTTGGTACCGTGAGCTTTAGTTTTGGGACATGTATGGTGGGGGTACATGCATATATGCATGTGAGATTGCATGGGGAAGGCGCCACACTGGATGCGACAGCTGTCCGTTCAAGATGAGTGTTTTTTAGTACTGAACTCATGCTCAAGGCCTATTTTGACTACCCAACTATGCCACCATCAAGCCTTCGCATTTTCATGTCAATGCCTGTGTCGGCTTCAACTGTTCCTACTGGTCAAATTATTGTACAAAACTCGCGCTCCTTTTCTTGGATCCCAGAATGCCCTGCCAGTTAGCGAAAAGACGAAAGAAAGTGAGATGTTGTATCAGAGGCGTCTACCACGCGTCAACGTCGAAGCCTTCCTCAGAAAACTGAGTTGCGACGACGGTTCTCCTGGAGAACTGACGTCCGGCAAGAGCCTTGATGGCGCGTTGCGCAGACTCGGTATCCTGGTACTTGATGTAAATCTTACCAACGCCGAGACTGGAGCGGGCACCAGCGGGGCGAGGAATCTTGGTCTCGACAATGGGTCCGTACTTCTGACACTCTTCCTCAATGTCTTCCTTGATTTCTAGGTGATCGTTAGTAGTATTCTAGTAAGCAACACTTCAGTTCGACCTACCCTCATACTCCTCGTCGTTGATCAGCTCATCAGATGTTACCATGTTCATGAGGCAAACGACGCGGCCGTGCTCGAGGTTGCTGGTCGGCTCTGCACTAGCCAGCATGGAGATGGCATTGACACCTCCATCCAAACCGGCATTCTGCTGCATACCGACGGTCGCACGAGACACCTTGAGGTTGCCCTCGCCGAGAGTAATGTCGTTTAAGCCCTCGATGACAGCATTTACGACTTCGTTGTCGGCGTACTCGCAGAAGGCAATACCCTAGTACAAATTAGCAAATGTAGTCTGTCGCTAGATTAGTAGGAGGCGGCATACGCGATGTTGCTCGGAGCTGATGTCCTTGACCAGGACAAACGCATTGAGCTTGCCCATAGTCTCGACGAGTTCGCGGATCTGCTCCTCTTCGATGAAGGTGGGGATGTTGACGATGCTGAGCTTGTTGGGGCTGTCCTTGACAACGCTCGACACCTCGTCTCCGGGGTAGGCGTTCTCGTCGGCGGATGGGGTGATGTAGTCCTTGGGGCGGCGGATGGAGAGGCCACTTCGGTCTGGACCTCCACCGTCGTCGCGCATGGAAATGCCGCTCATGGCAAGGGCGACCGTGGCATCCTCGGGCGTCTTGAACTCGAGCGCGGCATACGTCTTGCTCGAGGCGATCTGTGCAGATAAGCAGGGGTCTTGCCCAGATACCACGTTCAGGCCGTTGAGCTGGAGGTTGAAGAACTCGAGGAGCTCCTCCGACGTGGTTCCAGAGGGGAGGTTGTGGACGTAGAGACGCTTCGACTGCTTGGATGCACCGGGCGCGAGGGCAGCAGCGGACGCAGTGCCTGCAGAGGGGCTCATGAAAGCAGCCAGCTTGGAAGGATCCATGGGCGCGGCGCGGGGAGCTCCAGGCAGCGGGAACATGCCCGACAGCTTGGCCTGCTCGGCGGTAATGTTCTCATAGCCGGCGGGCTTGATGTCCCACTGGGTCATGCGGCGCTCGCGCTTGAGGATGTTGGTGAAGGGAGCGAGGTCCGGCGTGGGTTCGCGCGCCTTGTTGGGTAGAGGCGACTCCTCCTTGGGCTGGCGAGGGCCTCCACGACCGCCGCCAAAGCCTCCTCCATCCCGTCCACCCCGCCTGCGGTCGTCGCCGTAGCCTCCGCCATCACGATCGCCACGGTCTCGTCGGTCTCGTCGGTCCTGTCGGGGGGCACGGTCGTCGTCGCGGTCGCCACGGTCTCGTCCAGGACGGTCGCGTCGCGCATACGAATCGCCCCAGCTGCGGTCGCCGCGCTCACCGCCCGCGCCCCGGTCGTCGCGCCTCGTCTCGCGGCGGGCATATGTGTCTTCGCGCTCGCGCTCGCGGTAATCGCGGCTGGACGAGTACGTGTCGACCTCGTAGTCGCGGCGAGAACCTCCTCCTCCACCACCTCCATGGCGAGGAGAGCGCGATCGGCGGCGGCGTCTGTCATCACCGCCTCGGTCGCCTCCTCGGCGGTCGTCTCTCGAAGACTGCCCGGTTAGTGTGCGCCCGGTGTTGAGGGTCTTGTCGGCACTCACGTAGTTGCTCCTTCCGCCTTGCCGACCGCCGTCTGCTTTTGTTATTAGTGTCTTGCTTCTCTGCGGAACTGTGCACCAGTCAGTACGTGTACTGAGCCAATCGCTTACCTCGGGAGTAGCTGTCGCCGTTCATGCTGGGCTATGTGCTGCTTGCTCTACTGTGGACGAAGCTGGGGCGCGCTGACAGGATTTACAGCCGCGCGGAATGGTGCAGCGGTGGAATATGTACAGAAGCTGCAATTAGCAGTCGCTGATCAAAAAGGTGGTGATGATTGGGTTGCCCGCTGCTGTCCGAGCACTTGGACGCGATGCTTTGGCGGTGTTGAGGTTGCTGGCGCGGAAAGTAAAAGTGCTGGGCCGCGTCCGTGCCTTCCACTGACGCGCCTTGGCGTGCACCGAGGCTAGACCGCGTAGCTCAGGGACCTGAACGGCCACTCGCAACCTCAATTCGTGCTTCACACATTGAAATGGCGCTACGAGCTGCAGAATGGCACAAACTGCCTACCAGTCTTACGGAATTGTGCCTCAACACCACATTGCGCTGCGGACAGTCTTTCAGGTACAGCACTTGACATCGAGCTCCATGGCACATCTGACGTACTATCAGATGGCGCAAATCTGCTGAAGACGTTTGGTCCTGTGCTCTCCACGGACGGATACTATCTCTCCGTCAGGATGCAGAGTCTCTTCACTACCGCGCGATATACCCACCACCTGCTTCGAAACTTCCCACGCCGCCACCCTCGAATGCGCCCTCGGTCACTGCCGAAGAAGACGACACTCTCGCCCTCATACAGCACTACTTCAACCTCGCGCCGAATCTTGGCCAGCTGTACGAGCAGTGGGCAGCCTCTGACGCCAATTTTCGAAAGAAGGCGCCAAAATTCACTGGTGTTCGCATACTGCGTCAAGATGCCTGGGAGGCGCTGATAGGCTTTATATGCAGTAGTAACAACAACATCAGCCGCATATCTGGCATGGTGCACAACCTCTGTTTGCACTACGGACCGCTCATCGCGCACATTGATGATGTACCATACCACGACTTCCCCACGCCAGATGCACTGTCAGGTCCCAAGGTTGAGGCGCATCTAAGAGAACTTGGTTTTGGATATAGGGCCAAATACATCGCAAAGACTGCGCAAATAGTCTCACAAGAGAAGGGAATGAAGTGGCTGGAAGACCTCAGTAACCCCGAGTGCCCCCAGTTTGGCATGACCGAGAAGCCTGCAGGAGACCTGCTTGAGGGTGGTCGCGAGGGCTACCGGACAGCTCATGAAGAACTCCTGGCACTATCCGGCGTTGGCCCGAAAGTCGCCGATTGCGTATGTCTGTTCGGTCTGGGTTGGTCCGAAGCAGTTCCAGTTGACACACACGTGTGGCAAATCGCCCAGCGCGACTACAAGTTCGGCAAGGGTAAACACACCAGCATGACCGCCGCCATGTACGTTGCTATCGGCAATCTCTTCCGGAAGTTCTGGGGAAAAGAAGCTGGTTGGGCGCATTCAGTGCTCTTCACTGCCGATCTCAAGGCCTTTTCTGAACGACTGGTTGTCAAGACTGAAGTCAAAGAAGAAGAGGTTGTTATCAAGAAGGAAGAAAATGAGACAGTGATTGAGGATGTTGTCAAGAAAGAAACTGTAAAGCGCAAGATGATCAAGCAGGAGCCGCAGGAGGATGAGCATCCAGTTCTCGAAGTCAAGGAAGAGACTACGCGTAGAAGCAAACGCCGGAAAGCTTGATAGCCCTCCAACCACGAAGTATGACGCCATTTGACTCACGCCAACGATCAGACTGATTGCACAACCGGAAGGGCATGGACTGATTGCAATCCACATAGTTACATGTTTGACGGTCGCCCTTCTCCGGCGCCAACTCCGACAAGGGCGCAGCACTGACTCCGCCACACCTTTCGGGTTTCCGCATTCAGCCAGAACACACATCCAGCATATATATCAATCAAAAGCATGCAGCAACCTAATCACAACTATTCAAAATGCCTTCTCCACATCCCCTCATGCCACGCGATCGCCACGACTCCGCCACCCTCACACACCTCAAATCCCTCGGCCCATCCACCTGGGCCCCCCTAATACCCCCCTCTGCCCCGGACGGCGGTCTGTTGCACTGGCTCGAAGACATAAACTGGCCGATTGCCCGGCCAATCTCCAAATTATTAGTTTCGCTGGCGGATGATGTAGACGCGCGGGAGCAGTACGGACATTATCTCGTCGATACGGTGAATAAGTTGTTTAAAAGCAGTGAGGATTGGGAGTGGGTTTATTATGTGCTAGTGTATGTGGTGTGTGAGGTTGAGGATAAGGAGTGGGCGAGGAGCAAATTTGGGGATGGGGTGAGGGGGTTGGAGGGGAGGATGAGGGGGGAGGAAGAGAAGGAGTGGGGGTTTGGTGAATACATTGGGAAACTTTTGGAGGAAGACTGGTTGTGAGGATAGACTGCGCGCAGCGCCGCTACGATTCGTGAGTTACACCAATTGAAATGGGACAGAATGACTATAACTGAGGCTGTCAAAATGGAAGGCTTTTCGAGGATATTACAATTTGACGACGTTCGCGAAGAGTTGGGTTGTCGAGAGCTTCGATTTCACAAGAAGGGCCAAGCTTGAAGGCTTCAGTTCCGATAAGCATTTGGATTACTATTTGCTGTTTTGTCGCGCTGTTCTCAATACATGTCACGGCCTGCAGATGATGACGCCGAGGGGGAAAGTACGCTAAATTTGAGGCCTAGCAGTTTTTTGCCTCATCAGGCTACACTTCAATTCCAGTCAGTCATCGTGTGCTTTCTCGTTTTCCTTCTTGTGCCCGGGCGCTCTTCTTCAGCCTCCACTTCCTTCGAGCCTGGTGCTTGCCCATGGAATACCTGTGTGGAGCCATCGCTACATCCTTTTGGTAGAGTTCAATCTCAGACTTTAGTCAAGCAAGCTTCCAGCTCGAAGATTTACATGAACATCACCTTTACGCTGACCCGAGCTTGATTTGTCCGGATCCTCACACTGGTCTTCCGCTAGCGACCCAGTCTCGAATACCCCTTGAGGAAGAGCCACAAACCCCACTTGACGAGGATGGATTCCCGCCTTTGCCTGAATGCGTTTTACTTGAACCACGGTGACAACACTCCTTTGAACTCTTACCTCCCTCTTTCGAGGCCCAATCTTCCATCTCAGACCATGCCCAACAACTGCCACAATCCAGTGACCAGCAAGCTCCGCACACCTGCCAAGAATGTGGGCAGGGCTTTCGCCGTCCGCGAGATCTGAAGTAAGCTCAAGATTCTAGACGATAGATAACCGAGAGTGAATGGGTGGGTCTCGTAAACGTAATGGTAATCGTCCGGGAGGCGGTAATACGGTGTTATCGTCGGAATTTTGCGGTGGAGTTAGAGGCCAGTTAGAGGGCTCGGAGGCGTTAGGTGGCTACAAGGAGTCTAGTTTTATTAGCGATTTGCGCCCAAGTTGAGACTGGCTGACGCGTGGTCGCGCCCAAGGGCCCCAGAACGCCCACCAGCTCGTTCGCGGGCTCCTCCACCTCAGGCTCCTTCTCCTCCACCAGCTCCTTGAGCCAATCAGAACCTCCCTACGATGAGAACACGTGATCTTGGCAGTACTACGGCATACGGCTCGTAGGCCTTACCCGGAGCGTCACCTCCGTGAGTAATTCACCCTGAGGTGGGCAGTAGCGTAGCTACCCGAGGCCTATACACTCCCCTCCCATGAACGGACTGCTATCACCGGTAAGCACAACAAGGGCATGTCCAGGGCTCAATCCCAATCAAAAAAATTGTACTGGACAAAACCCCCTGTCTTGCCCCTTGTCTCCGGATCCACGCTAGCACTCCGTTCATGGGAGGGGACTGTAGTAGTCGTACTACGGCCCGTTGCGGGCGCTGCGAGTCAAGAACAGTCCTTTCCATGAATAGAAAGCACACTGACCAACCAGTCAACACTGCAAGAGACACGAGCCCAACTGGGAATGTACCGACTGCCAAGTCAAACTCAAGAATCGCAAAGACCTGAACAAAGACATCGAGCGACACAAGGTGTCGAACAAACATCGCAGTCGGGTTGGAGGACAATCGGCTGGACGGCCAACCTGCCCTAAACCATCTTGCGCGAAGAGCATGCGCAAGGACAACTTCAAGCGGCATATGCGCACGCAACATCCTGGATACACAATTCTATAGTTGATTGATAGGGTGACAAAACATCGAGATAGATATATGTCGCAGTATTGATACATGAGAACAGTGAAGTACTGATCCACGTGACCTAGCTGACTAAGCTCAGGAAGTGGACTAACGTTTCTCCGTGATCTGTTTGTATATCTAAGCCGGCTCATCTGATATACTAGAAGAGCAGTGATCAATACAATCCTTTCTCTCAAGTTTGCTCAGCCACAACAATACATTCTACTCAGCTGCGTGACTCCTTGCTTGTTGGTTCCTGAGCTACTTCATTAAAGGTAAATAACGGAGCGAGTTGCACCTCCCCACTGCTATTCACCGCGATCATCTGGGGCTAGTGTCACATGTGGAGCTGGCTTTTAACCAAGCCTGAGTCGCACTAACTTTCATCTACTTGTGTGTGCAACAGTCGCGTCGTGGTAGAAATAATGCGGTATTAATGTAGAAAACGTTTATTAGCCTACAATAGGCCTTCAACATAACTTGCTCGATCAAAAGAGGTAAAGAAGACTTCTCTACTCGTTGGATTGCAATACTCGAGTTTAAACTAGATTTCTTGTCCTACTCTGCTTTCCACTCCATTATCTCTGCCCATTTCTGAATAGCGTCATAATCTCTACAACTTCGCTCAGACCAATATCCGTCAGTGATGTTTGGATAATTGGGATCTGGAGGCTCCAAGTTTGTATCAGCAGCGCATAGAATTGTTTGGATAAGGTAATCGAAGCAATGGTGTATGTGATTGGACCGTAGATCGACATCAATGGTTCCAATAAAGGCGCTCTGAATACTATGGTTTCGTAGAATATCGAGTTCGTACTTCGTTTTATAATACGATAGTTGTAGAGCGTGCTTTTGAAATAGAATTAGTGACACATCTATGTTTAGGACCTAAAGTACTTACTAGGCAGTGTAATTGATGATAAAATGTAACGCTCAACGGTATAGAGTGATCTTCAGGTTTCATGACAAATCCCCCATTTGCTATGTTACTGTTAGCTTATTAAACATATCTAGGATCATGTCATAAGAGTTGTAAGAGAAGGCTGTCGATAGGCATATTGCTGTAGAGCAGCTGGAGAGGAGCAGGAAAGATCACATGTTCTGGCACAAATGTCTGTTCCAAAAAGAGTTATACATACATAGTATCAAAGATTCCCATGCTACCTCAGATGCATTGGAAGGGTCGTTATAAAAGACCGAAATGGGAGCGAAAGTTTTCTTGGTACGGCCGAATGGTTCTTCAATTAGATCAACAAAGGACATTTACACTTCGTGAATACTGCGTCTTACCAAATATCTCCTTGTCTGTTTCAATACGCAATCTACCAAGATATAATCCGATCCCAAGATTAACCAGGGCGATTGCAACGCATATCGCTATCTTAGCAAGGTGAGGATTGAATCGTGATAATAGTTCTTTTTGGCTGGACTTGCCGTCATTAGTAGACACGCGTATGTAGGTGCGCGAGTTATGTGTCCGACCAAACATAATGGGAAATGCAAAGTATGTAATTCAAACTGCGAACATAAATATACATCGAAAAGATGTATTGTTTGATGCAAAGCTCGCTACGGCTCCTATATATATCCAAGGCTATCCTCAGCAATTATCTATCCTTGGGGGTAGAATCATCTAGAGTTTGACAAACACAACCAAACTTCTAGCTGACGCTAGGAATAGCCGGCTTCTAGCGGAAGCTGACGGCAGCTTCTCTTCTAGACTTTAGACGAAACTGAGGATAAATTGGCTTCTGCAGTCGAGTTCTGGCTAGCTTCCGCGGACAGCCGGGCGGTTCTAAGTAGATTATTATTGGCTTCAATGAGATTCTGAGAAAAGCCTTCTGGCCGAAGCTGACGACAACCTATGTAGATTCTGGCTAAAGGTAATAACAACCTATATAGATTCTATAGGGTCTCTAAATGCTAAGGCGCATCCTAGTTAATTCTAGCTATCGTTAGTACTGCACGTTAGCACTGCTAGTAGGAGGCTAAGCATGCTTAGTGTTAATATAGTTTCTAGCTCTATAGCACTAGTAATACTAAATAAATAAATACTTCTTAATAAAAGAATATATATAGTATATAGCTAGCGCTATTTTAACTTTTTATCTAATTCTATTAAGCTATTATGCTGCTAGTATTATATAGCTAGAAATTATACTATCTTTAGCCTTCTACTAGCAGTGCTAATATATAGTATATATTACTATATTAGATCTTTATATATTTATCTTCTTAGAGAAAAGATAATAGTAAATTAGTATAAAAGTATAAGATTTATAAATAATAATTAAACTTAGATTATTAAATTTTATAGCAGCTAATTAACTATGCTATTAGAATAAGCCTTAGCGTTTAGAGTCTCTATAGCTAAAGCTAATAATAAAATATATAGATTCTAGCTAAAGCTGCTAATAATCTATATATAATAGTAATAGGTAAAAGTAGTAATAGTAGAGATAGCTATATTAGCATAGACTACTATTAATATTATTACTAATTAGAGAGTATACTAATTATATTAACTATAGTCTCTACTATTACTACTTCTCTCTAAAACTATAGTAGATTCTAGCTAAAGCTAACGTATTCTATTATTAAGCTAGCTATATTATTAAGCTAGCTACTTTTTCTTAGCACTGCAAACACTATATATAAACTATAATGCTATCTTAAAATAGCTCTAACTTATTATATGAAGAAGGCAGAATTAATCTTGCTCTTTAGGCCTATATCTTAGGCTAATTTAAGAGCCTATAACGCGCTGCTGCTGCCTTTAGCATATAATATTAGTAGCTCTCTAATTAGCTTAATAAAATTAAGCCTTAAGCTTAAGTACTACTAAACTATTAGAAACTCTCTTCTATAGAAGAGCAAACTATTATATAATATATCCTTAACCTAGACGCGCAAAGATTTGCTCTATAGCTTTATAAGGTAGTAGATATAGCTAATAAGCTATTAGCTATACGTAGTAGAATACTTATTAGCAAGGTATAAGCTATACGCTTTATTTCTTATATAGAGAAGCTTAAGATAGCATTTAACTAAGCAAAGAATTATTAGAGAATACTCTAGAAAGACTCTAAGGTTATTAGCGCCTAGTTTAAGCTTATATAAGAGATAAAAGCTAAGTATAAAGTTCTAGATAATAATATCTATAACTTTAATAAGATAGGCTTCTAGATAAGCATTATTAGCTTAATAAAAGTAGTAACTAGCTTAGAGCGTCGTATAAGGCTAAAT